AGGATGCTAGCTGATGGGTTCACAAAGGTATTATCTGGGAACAAGTGGAACAGGTTCTTGGAACAATTGAGGCTGCAAAGAATGAAGGGCTCAAATGCCCTGAAGGAGATAGACTTGGATGAAGTACAAGGCAAGTTAGAAGATATGCTACTCTGAAGAGGAGATATGGTTAGGTCCAGCTTGCAATGGGTTCTAAGCTAAGAGGATGTGTCAGATGGTAAGCCAGTTTATAGACATCCTATCTGGAACTGGAGAGGAGGACTGGGAGAAGTTTATGTACCAGTACTGTCTGAGGACATGTGGCTAGTGATTCTGCAGTGGCTAGTGCTCTATGCAGCCTTGGTGCCCAGAGAAGGAATATCAAAACCAGTGTCAGGCCCCAGCCTTACACACACAAGCACACACCTGAATACAATCAGTCAACCCATCTTCAATCAATCTTTCTGCCACCGTGACATCTTCAGATACCATCAAATCTGACAATAACAGATAGTCCCTAGATAGCCCTATATAAGATACCTTAGAATTAGGTAAGATAGCTTAGGCTAGCCTAAGTTAGCCTAGGCCTACTAGGGCCACACGAGCCTAAGCTAGAGTGCAAAGATTTCTTTATATACAGCTTAGTCCCTATGCTTTATACAGCAAAAGATTGCATTTATCTTACCTTATATAAGGATGCCTTTAGTACTTAGTTATTTGTACCTATCTTCTATAGGTACTCTAGTCTATACCTATTTTTTATATTTTAATAGATTTAGGAGAGGGCACAGCAGAGAGAGCTTTTAGCAGCTTTAAAATTAGCTTTATAGCAGGCTTTTTAGCGCTTTTCTTTTGCCTATAATTTTAACGGTTACAGAACTTAAACTTCTTACTTTCTAGGTCGGCGGCGAGGTTATTTTGTACGCTAGCGGGCGAAATGCGTAGTTTTAGTAGTTACTATACAAAATTGTATAAAGTAAAAAATCCCTAGCTATATTTGTAGCTAGCTTGGCCTACTTACCCGCCCCCTACAATATTCTAACCTTATCCAAATATAGTTACAATTTACTCTTTCATAGTTGCTGCTTATTAAACTTACTATTAATAGCAGTAACTTACTGTTCGAAACGCTGCCCGTCATCCTCCTGAAGTCTTGCGGCAAAACTTGCAAATAGGCGTTTCGCTCGGGCGGAGTGTGTTCTACCTGAGGGAAGTGGGAGGGAGAGGGAGACGTTTGAGCGGGAAATACTTCGAGACGAACGAAAGATGAGTCAAAGGTCTCTTGGGTTCGTGAGCAATCCATACAGTAGGAACTGGTTTCGGTCATTGGACTTGTTGAGACTTGCTGCTATAACAGGAAAATGCATGATATATGAACCGAGTTAAACAGGCAGGGTATCTCAATATTAGGATTAATAGCTACTGAGTTGGTGGTTCCCGGACCCCGCCGGCCAGAGTTTGAACATTACTTTGCCTCTTCTGCGCTATTTCTCGCCTTCGTCTCCTAGTCGAAATACAACACCAGCAGACACAACCAACGATCAACGCGACGGATACGATCGGCACCACGATAATGATGATCGTGACTTGACGGCCAAGATCACACATTGTGTCGCAGCCTCTGGCGGATGGTGTTGCTGTAGCCAGTGGATGACGGCCATCACCGGTGACCCCGTCCTCGACGACGTAGGTCATACTCAGTGCTGGCGCCATCAGCAAGTCTTTTGCTGGATCGAATACTGCGGATGCAGTAGTGGCCGGAGAAGACAGTGAGTTCTGCGACACCGTTACGGTCCAGGGAGGGGTGCCTGGCAAAGACGGAGAGACAGCGGCGCAGCCGCCATCTGAGGAGCGATCCGTCGTGGTGTATGTGAAGCTTTGGTGACTGGTATGTCCATCAGGGTCATGGTCAGGAAGGGAAGTTTTGCTGTGCTCGCATACCTGGGACAGCATGCCAGAGTCCCCCTTGTCCGGCTCTTCCACGCAGTGGTGGTGGAGTTGACACTGGTGTATGAGATGGGACAGGCGGTCCCTGGAAGATGTCGCGTGCCGAAAGTCGCATCAGTCATGCAGTCGTTTGCCTCGGCCTCGTCGCCATCGTTCCTTCCCAGCGAAAAGAATGTGCAGGTGGCAGAGCTCCCGACCTCGCATGGCTCCACTACTGCCCAGATGTCATCGAAGCAGTATGGAGCAGGTGTGAAGAGAGGGATTGCGGGTGGTGCGGTGGCCGCGGTCACGGGTGTGGATGACATGATGGCCGCGTCCCGTCGTTAAAGTTGAGCTGCTCCGCCTTAGAGATGCAACAAGGAGACATACAGCTACGGAGTTACGTTGGAGGTTGTAAAACGAGAGCGTCCGCGGACCAGTTATATTGCTGATAGACCCTAGCAGACGAGCATTTATCCAAGCGCAGCCACAAGCTGTGCGACCAACGGCGGATTTCGTTTGTATAGATGAAAGCGCTGGACAACCCTATGATCTTGAAGAAATGGATTACACCAACCGATTGGAACGAGATTATACTATGGTACAGTAAGTCGGGCCAGCCAGAATAAGATGAAGTTTAATATATTTCGTACATGGATTAGGGATATAGACAGACTGGATACACACAGAGTACGTATCAATCTAGTTCCCAACAATAATAAAACCTAGATAGGGTCCGCAACTGTGCCTCAGTGCTGCCTACAGAATCATGCCAACCCCTTTTTGCAATTCAGATTTGATCATTCACAATGACCCAGGAGTATGTCAGATATCAGTAGTCAGGAAGCTGTCGGGCTCGCATCCCTCGATCAATTGGAATCATGGGCCGGAACATTCAGGGATCATGCGGCGCTGCTACGGCGAAGTCGAATCGATGTCGCAGCTTGAGAAGCATCCTGTCTTTCGTTGAGGATAGTACAAATATAAAAGACTAGGGACCTCCACAATGAACTTGTTCCGTAGCTTCCCTCAAGTCATCGCATTATCTCGTCCCTCATTACCCTGTCGCTCACTACCCCGTCACTCATTACAACACCTCTTATCTGCTATTATGATTATATTCTTTCATTTGTTGCTCCTCTGCTGGGGCCTTACTCAATTCCAAGTCCTTTCTGCCTCGTTGCCCCGCTTCCGTCTGGTTCAAAGAGCAGACAACTCAACGGCTCCTCTCGCTCGAAATGTCACCGTTGAAGAGATCAAGGCCGCACGTGCAATCGTTAAGGAGGCTATCGCTAAGGCTTCCAAACTCAACAAGGCTCGCTTGGACAACCCGTCGCGCAATGTATACAAGCTTCGTCGTGGCACCCACATCAAAGCGAAGCGTCAACCTGAAGAGCCACCTCGGCCCCTCCTGGATGTTACCCCTGAAATTGCTGCCGCTGCTGCCCTTCTTGCGGAGTTGGATGCAGAAGAAGTGAATGAGGGCGTGCAGAAAAGAGCTGCCGGCTCGTTTTGGATGGAAACCATCGCACGCAGAGGCTCCTACCCATCCTCGTGGGGAGGCTCATCTGGATACAAGGTCTTCCGGAATGTTAAGGACTATGGGGCTCGCGGTGACGGCGTTATTGTCAGTGACTTCCATCGACCACAGTCTCCTGCCTTGGTCGGTGAATTATGAAACCCTTGATGCTGACACTTACAGGACGACACGGCTGCCATTAACAGAGCTATCATGGACGGTGACCGATGTGGCGCGAATTGCAACGGCGCGACGAACAAGAACGCCATAGTGTATTTCCCTGCTGGTATCTATCTGGTGTCGGGAACAATCAAAGTTGTCTTTGGGACCCAGTTGATCGGAGACGCAAACAACAGGCCAGAGATCCGAGCGGCCCCAAGTTTTGTTGGACTCGGTGTCCTCTCCACAGACGAGTATGTTGAAAATGGAGGCACTGGACCGGATGGGAACGCCCTGCAATGGTATATCAACACTTCCAGATTTTACGGCCAGATTCGAAACTTCGTTATCGACATCACTCGAACGCATCCCGATGAGTACGTATGCGCCATCCACTACCAGGTCGCGCAAGCGACGAGCATACAAGATGTCGAGTTGGTCGCTAAGACGGGAACCACTCAGCAAGGCATGTACTCGGAGAACGGTAGTGGCGGTGTCATGTCGGACATCACTTTCCGTGGAGGCAATTTTGGCTTCTACGGAGGCAACCAACAGTTCACCGCCCAGAGGATGAATTTCATTGGTTGCAAGACGGCTGTTCAGCTGATCTGGGATTGGGGTTGGACTTGGAAATCTGTCAAAATTAGCGACTCCGAGGTCGGCTTCCGCTTGCTCAGTGAAGGCGGAGCCGGTACTATTGGGTCGGTCAGCGTCATGGACTCAGTATTCTCCAACGTAGGAACTGCCATTCTTTCTGGCCCGCCGAGCCAGGACCCAGGTACGGGGACCACTGGAATCGTCATCGAAAACAGTGCGTTCCAGAATGTCCCCAAGATCGTGGCCACCACTGCTGGAGCAACACTACTTACGGGAACCTCAATCAAACATTGGGTTCTCGGGCCAACTTACAAGGGTGGGACCAGGACGTGGTCCTCTGGTAAGAGCGCTGAGTATCCGCGTGAGGAGTCGCTTCTCGCACCCAGCAGCGGGGACCTTCCCGATCGGCCATACTTTGAGAGAAAGAGAGACCAGTACGCATCTGCAAGTGTCTCCCAGTTTGTTCACATCAAGGACTACGGCGCAAAAGGTAGGCGTCTCTGATGTTCCATCAGTAGACACCGCTAACAATGCACAGGGGATGGAACCACTGACGACACACAAGCGGTGCAGAAGGCCTTTGATGCTGTCAACGGCAATGGCAAGATCTTGTTCGTGGACGCGGGAGTCTACATGATTCGGGACACAGTCACCATCCCGAAGAACGCGAAAATTGTTGGCGAGTGTTGGGCATCATTTGTGGCAGTGGGAGACAACTTCTCCGATGCAAAGTATGTTTCTCCATCGCCTCAGCCAGAAGGAATCCTAATCAAAATCTCAGCAACCCCCGAGTACTCTTGCGTGTCGGGCAGAAAGGCGACATCGGAAACGTCGAATTGCAAGATCTGATTGTTCTCACAAAAGGCGGCACTGCGGGCGCTGTCCTGATTGAATGGAACGTCCAAGCAGAGAATCAAGGTTCGGCAGCGCTGTGGGACGTCCATGCCCGTGTTGGCGGTGCGATTGGAACGGATCAGAATCCGTCAGACTGCCCTCCTATCACTAGTGGCACGAACCGGACGAAGTGCCAGGTCGCCACGATGCTCATGCATATCACTCCAAAAGCATCGGGTTTCTTCGACAACATGTGGCTCTGGGTTGCAGATCATCTCATCGACGACCCTGCCAGGCAGGATCCAAAGAACAACATGGACCAGCTCTCGATTTACGTAGCTCGAGGTATTCTCATCGAAAGTCAAAAGGCTACATGGTTGTATGGAACTGCTTCGGAACATGCCGTCTTCTACCAGTACAACTTCCACAAAGCAAAGAACATCTTCGCTGGCATGCTCCAAACTGAGCCGCCATACTTCCAGCCAATGCCAAAGGCACCGGAACCATTTACGGGCTTGGTCGGCAGGTATCCTGGCGATCCTGACTACTCCTGTAAAGGGGCCGATTTCGATGGATGCGATACTGCATGGGCGGTAGTCCTCAGGGAGTCATCCAACATCATGATCGCCGGTGCAGGCACTTACTCATGGTTTGACAAGTACACTCAGGAGTGCATCGATGAACACAGATGCCAAAAGGCCCTCTGGTTTCTTGAAAAGAACTACGACAATATCCGTATCCAACATCTTATCACGATAGGAGCGAAGTACATGTTGGTGTCTGAGGGCAATGGAGTTCTCGCAACTGACAATCTCGCCACGAAAGCGCATCCCCAGTGGTCCCATATTGCCTACTACGATGTCCAGTCAAATGGCAAGCAGCCAGAGCAAGAAGACCCCGACAACAAGTGTGATCCGAAGGATGCCACCTTCAAGGATCAGACACCTGTGGGACATTACTATCCTGAGCCTGCCAGTACCGGGTGGGATTATACCGAGACAGGAAACTCGATCATAGACGGCAGCGTTGCCTATGTCACCATCGTCAACCTTACGCCATATACGTTCAAGTTGGATCATATCGACAGCTATCAAATGGACATTATGGACTTTGCGGATATTGCTCCTGGGCAGACCCGACAGAATACGATGAGATACTTCGGCGGGAAGGATGGCAAAAACCCCGTGGATGACAAAGGCGAGGTGTACTACAAGATTGTCCAGGGTACCGAGACGAAGACGGAGTTTGTGGTGAAAGCTCGAACGCGCATTCCAGATATCACCGATGTCCATCGCATTGTCGTCGAATTGGGCGGCCTGGGCGTTGGCATCCGCGAATACGAAGGCAGAGGTGGTGAGCGAGCAATCAATCTCGTCATCACTGGAAGTGAGGAGTATGGCTACTATACCTCCATGTTTGCGCCTCCGATCGGATGGATGCAAGAGTTGAAGGATGTGATTGGGCCAAGAAAAGTGAAACACGTCGTCATGCCGGGAACGCATGATGCCGCCATGAGCGTCATCGGAAAGTATCAGTGGTTGGGTAAGTCACTATGGCTTTGCTGTGCGTGGAATATTCACAGTACCGGCTACAGAATTGACGAAAGTGCAGGTGTCAGGGAAAATACTCAAACTCAGGCTTACAATATTTACGATCAAGCTCGTCTGGGGTCGCGTTACTTCGATCTCCGTATCATTAATATCCGTCAGCCCGACGGAACGATTGAATTTCACACAGCACATACAACAAAGCGTGACCCGCGTGAACTTGTTAAAATCGTAGGCGCAACCGGCATCAGGACTGAGGAGCTCATCAAGTATATTAACCAGTTTACTAGCGAGTAAGTTATACTCTGTACTGTACTGGTTGGTACAAAGCTGACTCAACCTAGATACCCTGGAGAGGTTTTGTTCTTCTATGTGTCCAAGGAGTCTCTCTTCACGATTGACCAACTTGATGGAACCAATATCGTGAACCAATATAGCGATTTCCGCAAGGCTGAATGGGAGGCGCTGCTTAAGCTTCTCAGTGAGGTGAACAATCGTTGTCCGTTGAATGAAACCGAATTGACGACCTCTATCGACGACTGGAAGATGGGAGATTTCATGAACAAGAATAACGGGAAAGGCTGCGTGTTCTTCTTCATGGACAAGCTGGAGGCAGGGTCAAACGCTTACGACATCTCTCGTGGATTCTTCCGTCCGTCGGATTTCAGCCGGAATGACTTCGTGAGTTTTCGCCGACGCAAGATACATGATGGCTTATTAGAGCACGCTAACATTCATGCAGTGGGCCGACGAAAAACAGATACAGCCGCTTGTAAAACAACAAGTCGCCCAATGGGTTGACAACCGCAAAACCGTTGGTAAGCTCAAGGACAACTTCCACATTGCGCAGTGGATCGTGACGCCGGAGGGCGTCGGCGTTACTCTCTATGTCGGTATCGAGGGATGGGCGTCGCGCTACGTATATGATACACTATTTTGGGCCGGCGCCGGCAACATGTCACCGAGACAGTTCCCGACCGTCATGTTGCTCGACTACCTGGGTGTCGTTATACCGGGGCGGACCGACTTCGCAAAGGACGCGGACCACGAGGTGCGCACGCTGGCCATGGGATTGAATCTATACATGGTCAGCGAGAACTGCGATACGGGTGTCATCAAGCACCCGCTGAAGAGGAAGAAGGCGAATGCCATGGTTGTGAACAGTGTATTGGTCAATGAGACGGTGAGAGTAGAGGAGGAACTGTTCCGGACACTGGAGTTAGGACCGCCGCCGGAGCCGGCAGATGTGATGAAGATGAGAAAAAGGAGCCAGGGCGCAGTACTCTTGCGATGATCGTTTTTCAAGTACTCTTGCGATGACCCTTTTTTCAAATCTTCAAGTCGCCAGACATGGGCAAGGTTCTGGCAGGGGAATAGGGGATAGTTTTTACCACCTTTCATGTAATATTCATTGACCTCTGCAGAAAATGATGTTGTTGTGGGAAATGTCGCAGCGATGCGGGTCTCAGCTCCCGCTAAGTTTATATATAATGCCACTCCCGATTAAAAGAGCAACCAACCTCTTCCCCAAGGGCTCCTTCCAAAGCCTTCGTCGAAAACACTATCTGCTTGGATGCATATGTTAAAAGCATAGTACGGCCAACAATTTGCAAAGTGCATAAAGTGAGAGGAGCAGATGCAGACAAGCATAAACCATGGAACGTGAATATCATAGTGTTTTGGTCCACGGATGTAGAGTAGGATTAGGACTTCTTGTCCCGGTTACCATCCACGATGTGATGGGACTATCAAGCTTGCTAAGCTGCAGCTTGGTTCTGTCAGTCTCTCGGCAACTGCGCAATTTTCTTTCGCGTGGATAGCAAGATATATCTTCCGCTGTTCCGTCGAAGATAATCCAACTGACCGTTCCTGCTGCCCCGGTTGATGGCGCTTCAACATCACCCTCTAGAAGCAACGCCAACGTCTAAATGGATTATCACGACATCTTCAGCCTTTAAGACCCATGTGCGCTTTCAACCTCTTCCCGTTCCCTTTACATAGCGGCAGATATATGGCAATGGAATCCAACGACCAGATCGCGCTTTAATCAGCATTCGTCTTCTCAAAGCCAATACTTTAGGCATCCGCATATAGTCCTAAGTTTTATACCTATAGCTAGTAGACTCATATAGAAGGTAGGAGTTCTACAAAGCTTGCGGTTTCGGCTTGTAACGCTTGTTCATCACTTTCAAATATCGCTTGCGATCTGGCAATACTGCGCCACCGTTCCGCATGTAACTTCCCCCGGATTTGTGGACCTATTGCAAGTTTAGTTGTACGTGGGAAGCCGAAGTAGGTGTGCTAGGGACCTCTATAGTTACCATCTTCCTAGTCCTCTCGCTTGCCTCTGTTCACATCCAATTGAACATCCCCCTGCACTTCCTCTGTACTGCTGTTTTCTATATGCAATTTAACCAGCTAGCAGGCGCAGTAATATAGGAGGTCCTGCAGTTAGCTTTATAGCGCGCCTTTATATATAGTAGTATATTTAAAAGAAAATCCTACCTCTTGCATTATTAAGTTGTAGCTAGTTAGCTTGTGCTAGGTACGTAATTCTACCTACAGAGGAATCGCAGCCGGATGTTTAGTCGGGCGTGGAAAGCCGTAGTATCCGTCAAACGGACGCACAGGCTCGCCTCCCAGGAGCACACACCATTCTGGAATCGCAACCCTGAGCTAATTTTCCTCCTTATAAACAATAAATAGTAATAAATTTAACATACAAAAGGCGGGTCTTATGGTCTAGTGGTATGATTCTCGCTTAGGGCGCTTACGGCGCTTACTCCCTGAGCAAATTTGCGAGAGGCCCCGCGTTCGAATCGCGGTAAGACCCTTTTTTGGCCTCCGCCTTCGAATAGGAAGAATTTTCTTTTCTCTACCTTTCCGAAGTCTGACTCAAGTTTCGTGTTCTCCACGGCATGAGGCAAATTGCTTGCTTAAACTTAGCGTTTCCTGGAATGCTTTTCACAAAAGCTCCCGCGAATTCAACTGCTGTTGCTAGAGGAAAGTAAGTACATAGTTTTTATTGCTAGGATAACTACCTTGTTAACAGTACCTAGGACGGAAGACTAATAGGACGTAACGAGAGACATAGAGCGACGCTAAGGTTGTACGCCTCTGCTGCTTCTATAGAATCGTCGTAAGAAGAAAAGAGGGGTGGTGCTTTATAAAGTCTTAGTATGTACATCCCTCTACAGGCATACAACAGCAGTGTAACCAGGCTTAGTTGGGCAGGCATTTTATATGTAGAAAACATACAGGAAGATATCGAAATGTCTAACGCGGAAACGGTTGCGTTTTAGTATATACATCCCCGGGCCGTTAAACTATGTCTTCCTTTGCTATTGTTTAGCTTCGCCCTATTATGGATTGATTCAAGCAGAGGAGAAGATTCGCGGTTGCGGCCGTTCATTTTGACGCTGTTATAGGTCCGACATCGAGGATTTCTTATCTTCTTCGGCGCTCCTGATACATAATCCCGGTTTCACAACCGCTCTGCTCTCGTGAAAGAGATCTGTTGTATTTGAACAATACCCCAGTCTCTTCGTTGTTGTTGAGAAGATTTAATGAATGTAGATGCCAGGCGTGGATGCATTTCTCAGTCCCACATTTGGCGGAAGTGTCTGGTTGAAACGATGGTGTTATTGTTAGGCACTGCCGTAAATGGAGCTGTGTTCGCCAACTCGATAGCTACAACTCCAGTCTTCATGGCCTCGACTGGATTCCAAGTGCTCGTATGAGAGTGGAACCGACTGGAATCCTTCTCACAATGCCGCTACCGTGATCTTTCTTTCGAGAAAGAGCTATGGTGTCGGTCCATTCCACTTTTGTTGTTACCAGTGGCGTCTTTGCCCTCTATAATTCAGAGTCTTTGGGCTGTAATCTTCTGATCGGGTCCTATTGGAAAAAAAAATGGCTGGTGAGGAGTCCACAAAAGAGAAGAACTCCATGGACGTTGATATTTCCAGGAGCGTAGGGAGCGGAGTCCTAATATCTACTTAACAAGTGTATAAACACTAGTTGGCATTGGCGAAAAAACTTCAACCAGAAACACTTAAGTCTTGCTTTAGCAGCTGCACAGTTCCCGTGACCTCTGATTTGCTCTATGCAGTGCCTGCTTTTGCACTTTAGTGACAGCAAGGTGATGGGCGTCCGCCGTCATGCGTAAACGGGGCCCGCTCGAACCTGGTGTCTCATGGAGTCTTCGACGCGCAATTGGGGAAAGTGCAAAGCGTCGCCGACATCAACACATGTACAGCTGCTTCAAATTTTGCCATGGCAGGCCAATCATGACGTATTCAGTGACAGACGTCCCTGCTGCATTGCTTAGAGAAGTTTTTACGTAAGTTGTTTTCATGCTTCGTCAAGTCTTCATTGGAGTAGTTGGGGACATTAAATTCGCCAACGCGTTTGCCCCATATAATCTCCTCTTGAAACAGGAACTTTCTGCAACTTGCACGTCCTTCCGTTCACCGCGTACATGCTCCGGTATTCAGCTAAAGCGTATCGACACACCCAGACAAAGGCGGTAATTCTGTTCCGGCCGCTCTCGCTGTTAAGCTCCTTGAATTGCTTACTCCTATGGATTTTGGGAGATCTTTGCAACATTGACTCTTGACAAACCTCCCATGAGGGTGACCGGATCGTCGTTGTGTTTAGTTGAAGCGGGGTCTTGTGGAATGGACAGCTCAATGAGTATCAGTTCACTTTCAGTGTCGGTGGTCGCGTCTGACGCGTCTCCGATGATCAGATCAAAGGGGACCTGAACACCGATATCGTCCTAGATCAATGGGATTATTCGAGACTGCGTCGATCAACCTCTTGCATGGACGGCAGGCCGAGAGAATCTCTGGTTGTCCTCAGTCAAAGCAGCTTTCTTTTCAGTTCCAGCATGAAGCCAGCCATTAGGCTTCTTCCAGCCGAGTGCGGCAGCAGGTTGCCGATTGAGCAAGATTGTTCCATCAAGACTTTCGTCCTCGCATATGTCCGTAACATCCATTCGTTTGCCATTTGGCGGCAAAAAGATAAAGCGGCCGTATACATAGGAGATAGGGTGCACTGGGTCACTGAATGATTTCCAGGTTCACGGATCCACACCGACCAAGCATTATCGGCCTGGTTGCTCCCTTTCCTGTCCCCAACCGCCATCCATATCCCATCATACCATCTCGAACGCCCCAGCGATTCGATCCACGGATGCGATACCGTAAAGAACACTGAATTAGCACCAGATGCAATAATGATTAGCCTGTTCAATCCTTGTCTCCAATTTTTCCTTATTAGATAGTCACCAACGTACGGACTGTGACGATCGAACTTACACAGTTCACATCACTCACCTCCTTGGTACCAGGCTAGCAGCGTCTACCCTAGGGTATGCGGACCTGGGAAATTGGGATGAGAGACCCAAAGCATACGATCCAAAGGGAGACCGAAAATGGAGTCCTTTATTCTGCCTACGATACTCTCCGCTTACCACGCAATACTCACTGCGCTTAGCAGCCAGAAAGTATGCATCACCAGACCCTCTCATCTTACGCCCCTTCACTACCCCGGCACCTCATGCCGCGCGACACTTCCGGCATCTACCTCACACCTCCCCTGCCCATGCCCATTCCAACCGTCCGAGTCCGACCCCGGCACAGGCGGCGAGTTATATACCTCTTTCTCCGCAGACGCAGGAACCGCGCCACTGATCGCAGGAACAGATGACAAACGGTACCGCGCGACGATTCTCCGCCGACAGACCCAGCACGCAGCCAGCACGCCCAGGAGGACCAGAAGCGGGATCCCGAGTCCGAGGCCCAGCGCCATACCCAGCGTCCTCGTCTCGCCTGACTTCCCATTCTCAACCGTGCTCGCATCGCCAGACAAAGGCGGTGCCTGCGTGGTAGACGGCAGAGCCCCATCCGTCACCATACTCGACGATGGAGTCCCTCCTCCTGTGGCAGTGAGAGAAAAAGCGCGACTGATGGACGCCGCAGCAGCTTGATCCTCGACCACGCGAATGGTCCTTGAATTGAAGCCGAAGCCGTTGAAGATGAGGGCGTTGAAATGGGTCAGTTGGTTCGGCCAGTCCGGGTCGGATGTATTCACTGGGGCGGCGGTCCAGGAGAGGCTTTTGGGTTGCGGCGAGTTGGCTGTGTTTTCTGTTCTTTTTCGTCAGGATCGTACGCATACCCATACCCATGCCACTGCGATCATTTATGCTCTTGGACCCCCCTATGGGTGAAGACCGTCGGCAGAGGGATTATTGGTGATTGGCACGAACCTAACAACTTAACTGCGTAAAACCGCGGTTCCGCCGTGCGGTCTCGCTTCCACTGGTACTGCCATATAGTAATAGGCTCGATGTAGTCCGTCTCCCAACGCAGCGTCACCTTCTCCCCGACAACCAACACGATATCCGAACCTTCGAGGCCGTCATTGGTGAAAGAATGCGGAGGGTAGGTAAAGCCATTGTCGCGGGCAACAACGAGCTCGAAAAACAGCAGAAGAAGAGTAACAAGGGAAAACGCGCAACTTGACATGAGGGAAGCTAAGTACAGCCTTCGCGCGAGGCGATAGGGGGCTCTGCTCCCTTTTAATTGTTAACATCAGACCTCCCAGCTCTCGCGTTCTGGTCTCGCTTCCACTCACCAAGATCAATGCCAAGTCGAGAATGTTCAAAGTGTGTTAGCCGCGACAATTCTCAGGCCATGGCTTGGAGATTCCCGCTTTGGTTGGTGAGATGGCCGCCGTGGCGCCACGGCCAGTGTTGCAGCGGAATCACTACGTACCAAGACCTACCTATACAAGTGCAGGGCAAGCATGTAGTGCGAGTACGAGTCAAGGTAGTCTTCTTGGAAAGAAATATATCGGCGGAGACCAATTCAAAGGTTAGTTGGATAGTATTCCCGCGGCTTATTTATTTATTAGTTATAGCATCTTAGTCCTCGAATTCAATCTTATATTACGTACAATTAATGTCTACAAGTTATATTCGGATGGTAGGTATTTCGCTTATCCCATCCCTACCCAGATACTCACGCTGCATATCTAATAGCATATAAGCGTACCATGTACACACGACAGATGATTCACATGCTATTCACCTACAGGGCTGCCTAAATTCTACCAATCCCCGTCGCTCACCATCAGCATCTCCTACACGCGCTGCCGAGAGCGCCGCAAACCGCCTGCACACACCCCAATAATGGCAGCGAAGCCCTGTATTCGATACCGAAAGTCTGAATTCCTAGATGTTACATCTCACAAACCCGGCACCCCTATACGTCCATCTACAGAATCTCCGTTCCCGTCGTAAACCCCAAATGTCCGAACCGGAACGACTGCATTGCCGTGAACCCCTTACCATCATGGTACGCCAGCGGACCTCCGCATACAGAAAGCCAACCCCACTCCTTCACTCCTTCACTCCTTCACATCCTTCTGTTTGTGAGCGTCCTTTGGCGACTCATAGTAACTCCCCTGCTTTAAAGGCGGCCTGCCACTCAACGTATTCACCACCTCCTTCAGGTCCATCCAGAACTCGTTCAGCGGCCTCCTCGCCGGCCAGTCCGTGTGGTGCTTCTCCACCACCTCCATGGGCGAGAACAGGACCTTGGCGCCCTGGATGCCAATCACGGCCGTGGACAAGGGGTCTTCCGCAATCTCGCTCCTCGATTTGCCCGCAAAGCTCTCCAGATGCTGGAGACTCCTGACGCCGAAGCGGACGGCACGGACGCGGTCCATGGGCGAGGGCGTGGTGCCCTGCTGGAAGTGTCCAGGGACACCGTGCCTGGACTCGAACTTTCCTTTGCCAGCTTCGGCGATCATGTCGGCGATGATCTGGACACTGTATACCTTGGAGGCTTGCTCGTTGACCAGGATGATCTTTCCGGCGCGGTTTTGGCCCCTGTCTCGGAGGAAGACATTGCGCAAGTGGTCAATATCGTGGTCTAGCATCTTGATGTTGATTCCTTCTTCTGGGGTATAGACTGCGAGCGCGCCGATGCAGAGGCCGGCCAAGGTAGCGATGTAACCTGATTTACCACCCTGGGTCTCGATGACGAAGACTCGCCGCCGTGATGCCGACGCAGACTGGCGGCACGCGTCGCAATACTGGATAAGTGCATTCAAGCACGTATCGGAGCCAATCGAGTATTCCGTCCCAGGAACGTTGTTCGAGATGGTAGCCGGCAGGATGACCATTGGAATCTTGAAGGCCTTGTAATGTTCGCGACCCTTCCTCAGCTCACTGACGGCAGTGAAGGCCTCGAAGCCGCCCACGACGAAGAGCGCCTGAATGTTGTAGGTCGAAAACACATATGCGACGGTTTCCAGATCCTCAGAGGGAAGCCCTCTGTTCGTTCCGATTTCAGAGCCGCCCTTGCTGGACCACGACTCGGCTTCCGCCCAAGCAATGTCACGCACCGCACCGAGGGGCTTATCGCTGTGGTGCCTAATGAGGCCAGGGAAGCCGTTGTACAGGGCCACAGGGGTGTGTCCACGAGCGAAACAGTATGCCACAGCCGCACGGGTTGCAGCATTCATGCCACCTGCTGGAGCGCCGACGTGGATGATACCGATCCGCATCCGCTTCTCGGGTGGCAGCATGAGATGTGGCTGATCGGCTGCCGTGGTGATCTTGTAGGCATTGTAGTATTCTTGGAACTCTGCGTCCCGCAAGTGCATGGCCTTTTCGAAATCCTTGTTGTTGATGGCAACCGCGACTTCTTTCGTCTGTGCTACAGCTTCAACGAGCGGACGTCGGCAAATCTTATTCCTAGGTAGGGTTAGCCTGGCGTCCTATACAACTGAAACGGTAGAGAAGACTTACTCTACAATGCAGATTACCGGACTCGGTTTATCGGGCTGTCACAACGTTAGCTGAACTTCATGCCTGACGTTGAAAGCTAGTCGTACCGTGCATTCCAAAACCGCCTTCACGGCATCAACACCTTGGAGCGTCGCAAGCATACGATCGTATGCGCACGGCGTCCCTCCTCTCTGAACATGCCCCAGGGTTGTTACTCGTGTATCTAGCTTCGCTTGATTCGACAAGATGTCCTTGACCATGTTCGGCGTTATCTTATTGAGTTTCTCGTCTGCACTCCGTTAGCCACGTCGCGCGTCAGGAAAGGAGCACGAACCTATTGCGCCTTCAGCAATGATGACAATAGTTTTCCGCTTGCCCAACTTGCGGTGCTTCTGGACGGTTGCGCACAAGTCCTCAGCCCAGGTCTCCTGGCATGGGTTCTCTGGAATGAAGATGAAGTCGGCACCCGTCGCCACGCCCGCCATGAGGGCCAGCCAACCGCAGTGCCTCCCCATGACTTCGATGATGAAAGCGCGCTGGTGGGAGGTGGCCGTGGTGTCTACGCTGTCCACTGCCTCACAGATGCGGGTGAGGGATGTGTAGCAGCCGATGGTGGCGTCGGTCATGGACAAGTCGTTGTCAATGGAGCCTACAAGGCCGACAATGTTGAGATGCTTGAAGGGCTCGACATCCTGCTCCGAGAGCTGGCTCGAGGACACCAGTTCTTCCAGGAGGCCAGGCCACTCTGCTCGGAAGACGTCGGCTCCCGTCAAGCTGCCATCACCACCGATGACAATCAGAGCATCGATGCCCTTTGAAATCAGGTTTCTCGCGGCTTGGAGGCGACCCGGCCGCTGCATGAACTCCTTGCCTGCCGGTTTTAGCGCCCATTCTGCCACCATGGAAGCTGTATATCGCAAACTAACATCGTGCTGTGCCAATCAGTGTGCCACCCTCGGACAGGAAACCTCGAACGTCCTCCCAGGCCATTGGCCTAATCAAATCGCCTCCCTTGACGAGACCATCGTAGCCTTCGTAGATGGCGAAGGCTTCGCACTCGTAATGGATTGCCATGCGCACTCTGTCGCAAGGCTCTGTCAGCCTACAGGTCTCTTTAGGTCGCAATACTGGAGCATACACACATTGCACGCACGGCTCCATTCATGCCAGGTGCATCACCTCCGGAGGTGAGCACTCCAATTCTCCTCTTCTTCCCCGGTAGAGGTGTCGGCGGGACACCACCAGACGTCATATTGTTCGCTCAAGCTCTGCGGTGCCGAGATGGCGGGGGGTGAGGGAGGTGAGGTGAGGTAGGTAGGATCGGAGTAGCTGGCGGTCTCGGCGGGGTAAGTCTCGGAATAAGAAATGAAGGACTCGGGAGGGCTCGAGAGGGCTCAGCTGAAAGCTCAAGGCGACCGATTGGAGTGGAAGATGGGGTGAATGGTGTTGCACTGGCTTCTGGACAGACCTGCCTGCCTTCCAAAACCTTATCGACAAGGAAAAGGCGCGGGGGGGCAACACAGTACAATACAGCTTGGAACCATGACGTGGGGTACAATTTTTTGCTTCTGGAAAACGGCCGCCGGAGTGGGGCAAGCCGACCGCAAGCGCGTTCCTGAGCTATTATTTACTGGCCATTATGCTTGATCATCGGTCATTTCTGTTGGAGTGATACTCTCCATCTTCTTCCCTTTCGCATTTATCTATCATATGACATCGGTGTCTTTCAACGCGCGCAAGGGTCCGCGGGGGATATACGAATAGCGAGAGGCCGAGACCGCAGCTCAATAAGATCCCCAAACGGACAAAAAACACTTTTCCTCTGGAATGTGGGTCGCCGAGTTCCCCAACGTACAAATAGCAATTACTACATATCAACGGAGGCCATGCCGCGTGTGGGTGTGTGGCTGGTCTAGTGGTGGGTTCCTTTGCTTAGCTGTAGTTCACATCGGAGCTTATTAGTGGGTGTACGTCCTTCTAGGTACACGGAGCACATCATCTTTTTGTAACAATGTGCATGCATACAACGCACAATATATCAAACTGGACGGGTATATGCAATCAACCAACCGTTCTAAAAGAGAGGTATCATCCAACCATCCAACCCGCCGCAATATCATCCTTTCAACGCCGAACCTCCCACCAAATCGAAGAGGCAACGCAGATGAGATACCCCAAGCATACAGGCACGACCCAAACCTCAACGCCATTCGTCACTCCACATAGACGAAGCTCACTGCTCAAGCTCCTCCGCATCACCAAGCATATCCTGCTCTTCGTAGCTGCGTTCCACCTCATCGGCGATGAACTGCTCGTACTCCTCCAACGACCGCTGGATATGCAGTTTGAAACGCACAATGTCATCCAACATGCGTTCAATCTCGGTGTGCAGTTCTTCTCTAAGAGCATTGGCCCGCAGAGTGAGTTGTTCATATCTACAGTCTGTGTTAGCAATGTGTCAGTGCAATAGGGACGAAAGGACATACTCAATATTCACTGCCATCTCCCTCTGCACCATCAACTGCACGTTGTCTCCAAGATTACTCCTCATCCTGCCCAACTCCTTCTCCATCTTCTCGATTTGCGCATCCGACGCCGTCTTCTGTGTGCTCGTAATCTCGCGCAACTTTTCCAGCTCTTCTTCTGCTTGCGCAACCTTGTGTCCTAGTGCCTCGACCTCGGCCTGCTTCTCGTCCATTGCTTCTTTGATTTTGTCGAGTAAGTCATGGTTGTTCATGTCGGCTTCCAGAGCGGCGTTCCGACGCTCCGCAATGTCCCTCCGCAGAGCCAGAATGTTGGACTTGACAGTACCGCGCAGATCCAGATTGAGGAGGTGATGGGGAGAGTAGCCAGTGCCAGCGTCAGCAAGCAGACGGTCACCCTCTTGTGTGGAAGCTCCCATTTGTGACCCTGAGAAGTTGGGACCATCGTTGATCGTAAGAATGAGCTCGTAGTCCTGCCCCTTCGCATTGGGCGCTGTAGATGGTATGATACCAATCTGGTAGCCCAGGTTATTGAACCGCTCTATTGTCTGTTCCAACTCGTCCAACTTGCGCGACGCAGCGAGCTCCTTCTCTGCTACCCGCTTCTTCGATTCTTCGGCGCGCGCAGCAACCGCTTGTAGCGACGACTCCAGTCGTTCCTTTTCCGTCGCCATGCGGTCAATGTCCGAGATGGTCATTCCCCGGCTATCGACAATAGCCTGGAGCTCCTGTTGTTCCTTCTCGGAAGCTTCGAGCTCCGCCTCAATCTCCTTGATGGCGTTCTCCAGAAACTGGCATTTCTCCGTGTACTTCGTCACTTTCGCTTCCATGGAGTTGTTGTAGTTCTCGAACTTGACGCGGTCCTCTTCCAGAATCTTGATCTGCTCTTCCAGCTTCGCGATCCTTGGTCCGGACTTCCCGAGCTCGTCGATCTGTTCCTGCAGAGCTTTGTGCTCTGCCTCGAGGATCTTGACGTGCTCATGATTTTGAGCGTTGGCCTCATCAAAGCGTGCGGCCATGCGCTCGATATGTGGCTGTATAAGCCTTGCTTGCGCCTCCTCGTCTTCATCGTCGTCATCTGCTGTGAGCCATGTTCTATAGGCGTCCGAAAGGAAGTCGAAGATAATGCGGTCCCCAGACACATCGAAACCAGCTTCAAAGCACGCATCATCGTACTGCCCAGACTCAAACGCTTGCATGATCTTCGCCAGTTGCATCATCCAGTGCAAAAGGCCGAGGAAAGTATACCAGTTGTTCCCTCCCACAGCAGCAATCTGTGACTTCATAATCGATTTCTCAAAGGGATAGCGCATCTGCTTGAGCAAGATCGGAACCTCCTGATCAATCGATTTCTGGAAGCGGTATCCTCGGTCTATCTTGCGATACAGCCATTGAAACATGCAGTTGAAATCCTTCTGTGTTGGGGACGTCATAGACTTGCTTGAGAGTGAATGCTTCGCCTCCATCTCGAAATTGTTTTGCGTCAAGTACTCCATCAGCTCGTGCGCCATCTGCTGTCGTGTACTCGCATCCTTCAGTCTGCGCGGATCTGTCGGAACGCCAGAAGGAAGCGGTCCAGTCGCAAAGAAGGACTGTTTCACGCCGGTTTGACCAGGGCCATGAGAAGGTCGCCCCTTAAAGACACTACTACGCCGTTGTGTTTGGTCAAGACTAGAAGTGGGAGGCGCGGGCGTCTGAAATATCGAACCAGGTGCCAGACTTCTCCTTGCGCTTGTCGAGCCGCGATTGACGGATTGAAGACCCATTTCTGCGAGGTTGGTCCCGGATGACGACCGTTGAAAGATGGGCTGTGCTGGTCGGCCTGCAGCAAGAGACATTCTGGACCCTGACTGTGAGCGTCCGTGGGTGTACGGGCCGGATGTGTGCATGTTGACGGAGCTTGCGCGCTTCAAGGCGGAGGACGGCATGGGAATCGCGGATACATTGTGACTGACCGGGCCGAGGGTCTGCGCGTAATGTCAGCTCCCTGTAGAGCTTCGCAGCACTGTCTCCTAGGCATAAGAAGGCGCCTACCTCGCGCGGTCTGCGCACTGAGAAGAGGCCCGTTTCATGGGCCATGTCGCTGTGTGAGGGTCGCTGTAGCTGGTATGAATACACAGTATGTCGCGCTAAGTAGATGTCGCAAGTAAGTTGGGCAACAAAATTCGGTGCGCCTCTGGCTGTATCTGGTGCGCGATCAAAGGCGGGTGGTTGAGATGGTAGTGCATGTGGAGTGGGTGGGCGTTTGCGCGCTTTCGTGTTTGTTGTCAAGCTCGAGCCCCACCTGCATGGCAACGCCGCACGTGAGTGGTCGTTCAACGGTGTACCTTCACCTTGTTAGTACCACCCACGAATGTTGCTGAAGCCAATTCTTGTACGAAGAATTAATGATATGTATATTTATCTGCAATAGCAGCATCTGCTGAATTATACAAAGGGAAAAGGTCGATCCGGTGTCCGGAGAGCGACGCCTAGTCAAATGGCAATAACAGGAAGTGTCTCATGCGCTCGTCCCAATAGGTCCAACAATCACCCCACAAGCCCAATCTCCCTTCTCTAGCCGGGACCACCCCCTAGATGCTACTACGAGTAGCAATATGTCCCTTCGATACTGGCTAACTCTCGACCGGGGCCTGCTCCCAATGTCTTTCAGTCGCTCCTGACGGGGTATCGTGTCGTATGCAAGAAGGGGAAAAAAAAAAGGATATCCACCAATCTTTTGAAAAACCAATGATGGCCTGCTAATGCATCCAAGAATCGACAAATGTCATTAAGTTGAACCCTCCTTGTTCCTCTCTCTCTCTCTCTCTCCGTCCAGTCATTAGTTGATGTTTTTGAACAGATCTTCAGCACCCAGGCTCGTCGTCTCTTCGCTCACTCCAAAGGCAGAGAGCGAAGGTAGCGCTGGCGGGGGCGGTCCCTGTTTCGCAGGCGGCGTTTTGTCGCTGACCTGCGCGCCATTGCCCTGGGGTGCGCTATTTTCTTTCATCTCCGGCAATGGGCCTCCCATGAATGAGCTCTTCCTCCTGCCAAACCAGCCGCTGCTCCTCTTCCTCGTCAAGCCCTGTCGGCTGTCTATTGTTGCCGGCGATCCCGGCCTTTCTGACCTCAAGCTGTCGGAGGACGATAACGGGCGTAGCCCAAGGAACTTTCGCACGGAGCCAGGCCGCTTGCCTACGGGGCTTGTTGGAGAGAGTGTTCCGCTATTCTCCCCATTTGAGAGGGTGCTTTGATGCTGCGAACTATCCGCCGATTTGGCTGATCCCTGCTGAGGCGGCGTAGGATGCGAGTCGAGCGGGCCCTTCCCCGGGGTAGGAGGGCGCGGTGTTTCCGGCGGCGATTCTGGTGGTGCGGGGATTTGAGTGCCCTCGGTCAAGGAGAAGTTGATGGGCGCGAGAGTAAGCGGCTGGTACTTTCCCACCATGATGCGAGTTGAAGCTTTGGGATATTGTAGGGACGTCTGATGCTAGTCGTAGGCGTTGAGAGGGTGCAGTCGTGTGAACAACACGTGGCGGAAGGGCAGACAGTGAATTGAGTGTCGAGCTCAGGAGTTTGTAGACCGGAAAGCTTGACGCTACAAGAGCAAATAACACAAAACCGACGAGGGTGCCGGCGCGATCCGAGTTATCTGCGGGAGCGGGTTGGTACCGTGTATAAGGGCCCACGTTGAGAACCGATTCCAAAACCTCTTCTCTTCAAGACGAGGTAGGATGTGAATGGTGAGGAGGCGGTACGTGGATGCGACCGTTGGAGTGAAGCTTTCCCCTTCTTGCGGAGAGGCTTAGGTGCCTGCATCTGGGCAGGGACAAGCAACGCTAGGCCCAATTAGGCTGCTGGCTTCATCGCCTTATGTTTTGTGCAATTGTTGCTGGTTGCCATGGAAGCTTATAGATATCGAATACTTGATGCTATTATATCCAGGGGTGGGGTATATTAATTCGGTCGCCAGCCAAAATCCCTTTACAATGACGCATAAACGGAGTATGCCACGCTTCAATCCTGACTGCGACCTCCTCACACTCTCAAAATCACCGTTCCCCTCCACAGCATGACCCTGCACAGTGTATCGGGAACCTACGTGCCTCTTCTCTTTCCACTGACGGAACAGACCCAAGAAGATGATCAGTATCTACCCCTCACCGGGTCTTTCGTTGCTGCATCTCCTCCAATTCGGCAATCTCATCCAGCAATTGAACCGTTTCTGCCGGGCTCGCAATCCAAGCCGTAGTGCAGGCGAGGCGTGCTTTGAAGTCATTCGCTCCGGCAGACAGGAACTGGTCTCCGACATGTAACGTTTTGCCCCCCTCTATACCTCCAAAGAATCGCTGGCAGGCAAGTACGCCCCAGGATTTATCTCCAATGTCGACGAAGACGTCGTTTCCACCTGGGGATTCGTCAGCAGAAGTCGGGATGATGAGTGGAAATCATCATACCATTGAAGGCGCAGAAGGGAAGACGACGTCCGACAGGAGACATTTCCTAGCTTGGTCAGCATATGTCCGCTCCTTTCGAAAGCTCTTACAAACCAGAATCTTTTGCACGATTAGGACCGTCTCCTCGAGTGTCTCTCTGCAGAATTTCTGTCCTCGTGCGGGTACAATACCCACCGCTCTTTCTTTTCGAACAAGGATAGCTTCCATTCTCATATTCCGTATCGTTTCCCGAAGAGCAGCTTCGGCAACGTCAAGCAGCTCCGTTATGTCCTCCTCCGTCCACAACAGCATCTCGTCAAGCAACCACTCCTTCCGTGGCACCCACTTGAGTAGATCTGGACTGTCACCAGAGAACTTGAAGCAGAAATTGCTCTCTCCGCCAAGAACAACGAGGTTCTGCTTGATTGAAGTCGGAAGTTCGGAAGCATGTAGTGCATCGAGCAGTCCGTATAGGCGTTCGTAATATCTCCTGGCTTCAGTGTATCCTGCAGCCGTCACGATACCAATCTTGGTACCACCTTGCATCAGTCTCAGGATGCGTGGAATCGCGGTATTATCCGGAGTTAGACACTGTCCATCATCATAGAGGGTGACATCTCCATCGAACGTTACCAGTTCCAAGGGGCCAGCACGAACGAGACTCATTACCTGCGCCGTGTTCAAGACCAGTCTGATATCGTTGAATGAGGGCGGAACAAAACGACGGCGACTGATACACCGACGCTGGTCCTGCCATATGAACGCATCATGTAGTGCCAAAGGTGTAAAGAAATTGGCCACGGTCGGTACAATGAGTTTCAGTTTTGAACGATCCTGTGTGCCAGATTTCTGGTGATTTACTAGCTAACGTTAGCTCCTGTAACTTGAGCTGAGTAGGGAATAGCTATACTATGGTCATTCACCATCTCTTCCACATCCCGCATGATCTCAGCATACCGCCGCTGGGCAGCGGTGGCCATCTGCTCCACGCTCTCATTTCGGGGCTCAAATACAGCCGTGGGCTGGGAATGAAGGATAAAAGGCACGGCTAGGAGTCCCTGGAGGAGGGTGGTTGTTAGCGGAGAGGCCCGCAGTGAGGTAGTCTAGCGGGGCAATGGGCATACCTTAATCCATTCGATCTAAAGTAAAAGATTAACCAAGGCATTAGGCATCCCAACAATATCACTTACAAGCTGATCTCGTCGGTGGGTCTGACTGAAGCATTAACATCTTTTCTCACGAGAGAGCCCGGCGCCCATACCTTGAGAGCATCTGCATGAGCCAAGTTAGCATGGAAATCAACAGCTTAATGAAACTTTTACCGGAGAACGAAAAAGACGCGAAAGACTTACACTCTACTCTATACCTTGTTGTCATATCGCAAAAACGAGTGTTATCGAAGAAGTGATGGTGAATTGAGAGTCGTGGTAGATGGCAGATGACCCCCCGGTTGCACTCCGGGGTTGTCACTCCCTTGTCAAGGTACCGCCGCTAGCCTGAAACGGCATGCATCTTATCGATAACGAATCGTCGGAGCTCGGAGAGCACCGACCTGACCCTGGTCGCTTTGAGCTCCATGAACTTCGCTCACATTGCGTGAAAGAAGCATCGCACTCCGAATGTGGGTCTAGCTACAGCCACTACTTACAAGCCGTGGATGAGCTTCCGATTATGTCCGCTAGCGATGCGACTGCCACGGTCTTCCTACGACCATTACCCAGTTCGAAGAACGATGATTCCTCACCGGCAGGCCTTCAACTGCAGCTGGAACGCCTGGCGGCTGAGCGCGGCTTTCTGAGGGACGTCACGGAAGAAAGTTTACAAAAGGAGATTGAAGAGGGGCGGAAGGAAGAACACGATGATGCTGAGAACATCATGGAAGGTGTGGAGGGAGAGGAGGAGGCTGCGGATCAAGCTGAGAAGGATGATACCACACTCGAGGACCGACAAAAGGAGCTGCTAGAGGCGAGAAATAAAATGTTGAATGCGGTGCAGTAGGTCTTCCAGGGGCTATAGGCAAGGGCCATTGCTCACATCACATAGGCACGCGGGTTTTTATGCGCTGAACACACTTGATCTAATCTCATTCCTTCTGTCGCGAGATCCCAAGCGGTCGGTCGAGACATCCATGAGTCCCGGATTCAAAGCGCAAAACTTCCCACGGGGCTCATTCGCCATTGGAAAAACCCCTCATCCATTCAAAGATGCGAAGGAACTCAAAGTAGAGGCATACAAGGAGGAGCGCGTACGCCTGGCGAGTCGAGGTTCCCGCATGAAAGCCCTAGAAACAGCTACAGGCGATATTCTGAAAGCTGCAACGCAGCTGGAGACGGAAGTGCGGAAAGAGGTGCAATACTGGAATGAGATCTTGGCCATATCAGAGAAGGGGTGGCCCTTGCAGCGGCTCAGGAAGGATGTGGTGCGATCGCCCTTCGCAGTGCGGTACGGATCCCCGGAGGCCAGTGATCACTTCAAAGCACGGGGGCTTGCACCTTTGAAAATGGATAAAGACGGGAAAATCATTCTCGATCCCAGCCTCACACTAAAGCCAAAGACGCTCCGTGTGAGGGTCAGTGAGAACGGAGTTATCACCGCCGAATCTCGCCTCACTGCGAACAAGGGGATCGCGGAATCCGACATTGAGGAGTCCATCAAACTTGCACGCAACTCTGTTTTCGAAGAGGAGATATATCACGAAATCTGTATAGAAGCTCGCGATCTGCTTCCTTATGGGGTAGAAACTCGAAACTCCGTGGTCGAACTCGAACTCTCTGCCCTAGAACAACCGTCCTTAGTACCTAACGACAAAAAGATCCTCATCGACTGCATTCCACTGGACGAAGATGCGATATCTCAAAAAGAACAGACATCTGAATGGGTCGCGGAGGTTGTTGCTCAAGGCCTGCGCCTTCTCCTTGGCCATGAACATCGTATGCGCCGCTACCGCAGAGCAACGTCGTCTCGGTCAACCCCGGCCCAAAGGCCCAGAAAATCATCCCCGCCTCTTCTCCGCACCCTTCTCGCAATCGTCAGCCACCACAACGCCGTAAACTCACTTCAACAATACTTGGAGCTCACAGGGCGGACCCTCAAAGCAGCAGGCGTGAACGTGACGCTGAATTTGACTCGTGAAAAGTCAATGGCAGATCTCAGCCGCACCCTCTCCAAAACGGAACAAGGCCTCGATCCCATACACCAAGTCCTAGAACTCCTCGTCAAGCCCTTGGAGGGTGTGGCGAAACTCTCCTTTCCTTCGAATCCAAAAGGCACTTTGGTGATCACTGTGCGCACCTCCTTCGGCCCTCCCACATACGGCACCCAATTCAAGATCACTGTGCCCGAAGCACTAGCAGCCACTGTCACCACTGCCACCCTGCCAAAGCGCGATTTCAGGTTCCAGAATTTGGAGGAGGTGCGGAATTACCTCTACTGGGCGCTTTCTTTGGATATGGCGCATGGGTTGCTGGCGAAGCAGTATGGAAAACAGGCCGAGGTTTGGCTGAAGGAGCCTAGGTTTACAGTTACTCTCACGGGGAAGCAGCAGGCGGTGAAGAAGATCGTAGAGGTTGAGCTGCAGGATGCGAGATTGAGTGTAACGGTTGGAGAGTCGATATTAGGCGACATGGATGAAGGCGCGGACCGGGTTGAATGGAGTGACGGTGTGGGAGAAGGCTCACTTGTAGACAAAGTGAGAAGCCTTGTGGGTTAGAAGCCCGAAACAGTAGCACATCCATGATAATTAAGAAATCAATACTCGAGTCATCATTTGAGTACCTATCAAGCAACCTTGGGGTATCGAGAAAACAGGAAGCTGCCGTGATGTGCTGATGAGCAGGAATTACAAGGAGTAGGGCAAAAGGAACATCAAACAGGTGTACAGAAGGAAACCGAAACTCGGAGGACCAGGAATTCAGACGGACTATCGCCACCAGAATAAACACTTTACTTTTTCTCTGCTGCGGCGCCTGGCGATGGTAATTGGGAAACCGATGGTAAGTCATTCTCCTTAAGCTCACCACGTTCGGCAGCCGATCCCGCGGTAGTCTCATCTTTCTGGTATGCATCAGAAGGTGCACCTTCCACAGAAGCTGAAGCTGACTCAGTTACGTCGGTGAAGGAGGAAGCGCTGCTAGCAAGTGCAGAATCCGCTTCTTGTGCAGCAAGGCCTTCTTTTTCGAGACGAGTTTCCCGGCCGCGCTTGTGGCAATACCAGAAGACGAATAAGAGAACTGTCACATGTAAGCCACTCTGGGGTGTCTCGGGCGTGCGTACTGTGAAGACTTACGGAATACAGCAAGGGAAAGCAGTACATTCGTTCCCGTCATCAGTACGGGGAACCTCAGTTTCAGGAAATGGAGAATGCTTCTCAGCATGGTGGCTACAGCGCCCTCAGCCGAAAGCAGGCTCTTCAGACTCGGGATCCGAACGCGCTTGGACTTGGATTTCTTCTTCCCCGAGGCAGCTTCACGTTGTTTGCCATCGAAGCCTGGCTTTTCCGCTTGTGCGGCTAGCAGCTCTGGAGCGAGGGTGGCTGATATTTTGGCCGGTAGACTCTTGACGAGATTTTGTAAGAAAGGGGGGAGATCGCTGTACATTTTCTTCATTTGCGCGTCGGAGTCCGTAAGAAGCTTCTCGAGATCATTGTAAGCCGTGGGAACACCATTGACGAGATCTTTCAGCACGAGCTTGAACTTGTTCAACAGCTGCTCGGACTCCTTGCTGAAACTGAATACACGATTGTTGACGGCGGCAAGGTTGAGTTGATCTAGGATGGCTGTCAGATCTTGCTCTTCCTTCTCTACTTCTTCCTGTTCGGGAGACTTGACGGCTTCATTGGCGGAGTGAGTTGCTTTGATGCCACTCTTTTCGTGACCTTTTTTGTCATTCTTGTGCTCTGGACCCTTGCCTTCTCCCTTGTCCGAGCGCTTGAACTTGGACTGTACCAAATCGAAATAAGACATGACACCCTTCTTCTTCTTCTCTCCACTTCGTGCAGTTTCCTCCTCTTTCCCCTTCCCTTTCGCCTTGTTATCGCTATCTTCCACAGTTATTTCTGGTGGATTTGTCCCTTCCTGTGTATCCTTTCCGGCTTTCTTCTCTCCTCCGTCGAGAGTAGAAACAGGCCTGTCTGGAAGCGGTGGTGGTGTGCCCTCAGGCTCTTGCGATAAGGAGGCGAGACGCTGGAGAAACTGCTCGTCTTCTTCATCCAGGACGGGAGAGGAGGCTGGTTCTTCCTTGGGCGAGGAGACAGTGGGTGCCGGGGGCAAGCTGGCTTTGTCATGCGTATCGGTTTCTGGTTGTTTGGATTGTCGCCGGAATTTCTTGATGTTAAAGTATGAAAGTGACATGGTGGATGCGGGGTCCAGGAAGCGGTAGGAGTATGGAAGATATTTGGGGTGTAGGATGGTTATGTTCTTGTATGAAGGCTGCACGGCGCGATAGCTCGAGCCACAGGAGTATTCTCAAAGGAACTGTCGAACCTGGATATGGATGAGGTGTGTGAAGTCGTTATGCCGTTGCGTCATCCCGCAGGCTAGCTCGCGCCACAAAACGTCCGCCACCGTTGCACAGCCACGATGAAATCGACCCCGAAGTGGTTGTCAAAGATTGCCACAAACCATTCCTCCATCATGCCTGCAAAGCTCGGATACACAATTCTTTCTCAATGTCATCAGAGCAGAACAGTAAATGCTCTGCGTGTCACGGCCATAGCCTACCCGACTTACTCAGCTCAGACCTCTGCTTTAAAATTTGATACCCATGTCGGCTAAGGATAGAACTCTGTATCAACGAGATGATACCATTCTACAGCGGGTTTGCTCCTCCTGGTGGTATTTACGGCATTTTTTAATCCGGCTGAACTTGATATGCTCTAATAGAATTCTCTATATCAGAGTCCGAGAGCGGGAGCGGGGTAGGCTGAGCTGAGTTATACGGTACGTCGTGGCGCATATGGCCAAGCGGGAAATGCGATCTCGTCTTACTATAGGACAATAATCGTTCCTTATTCAATGATTTCGGCTTTAGGCTTAATTCAATGCAAGCCTTGCAAGCCTCAGTAAGCTGGGCTTGTAAGTCTCGGAGAATAACTGAACGATGTTGAGACATAAGTATCTCACGCCTTCTTTAGCCAATCTACTAGGGTAGTTGTCAGAGTCTCGCATTAGACCATCAACCACTCTGAGTAATGAAGCAGCTCCATTTTCATACTTTCTTTCTTTCCGCAGTCCTTCCTTTCCTAGCGCTAAGTGCTCCACAGCCTCGTCCGTCACCCCTTGGATACGGGCCCAAATGTCCTCCTTTCAGCGGCAACTTCACAGTCAATAGATACCAATTATACCCCGAGAACGCGGACTTCGACTTCAACAATTGTCTACTGTACATAGGGTCAGTGTACCGCTATTGCCCAATCCGCCTGCTGACAAGGCTGAAGAGTTGTCTGGAACGCTTCTGTCGGCATATATGACCCTTACACCAAGGACATTGAGATCCTAGAGTTTGATGGCATTACCCACGACCCTATATACCATATTGGCGGCGTGGCAGCAAACCCTCGGACGAGCTTAGTCTCCATCGTCGTTGATTACTGGCCAACCATATTGACAGGCGGAGTAGACATGTCTGGAACGAACTACATCATGTTGTTAGACCCAGAAACCCGCAAGCTTCTGTACAACTTCAACATAACCACGGTTACCCAAGGCCGTGCGAGTGGATACCAAGACGTGGAATTTGATCCGGATGACAACGTCTATGTCGTCGGCACGTATCCGAGCAGCATAGTGAAGGTCGACAGCAAAGGAAAGAACCTTGGAATCTGGTATCTGGATGACAAAATAAACAGCACTGTTGCTGGGTTCACTGGTCTAGCAGCGAATGGATGGACTTTGCTCGCAAGTCATAGCAGCGAAGGGAACCTATATCGGCTTGACATGCGCTCCAAACGTGGCAAACCTGAACTGATTTCCGTGGCCCCTCCTCACAAGATAGACACTCCGGATGCCATACAATTGCCTCCTCGTTACAAAGGCACTGTCCTGTTAGTCGCGGAGCTCTTCAAAGGCGTGTCCGTATTCAGAGACAAGACCGGGAAATGGAAGAATGCGGAATACCGGGGATTAGTCGAGTGGACTGATCCGGGCTCTGTTGTCACGGCGCCTGTGCAGGTTGGAGACGCCGTGTATATGAATCTGGTACCTTTTGGTGCTGGGCCAGGCGGAGGCGCGGGAAACGCCACGGAATTTCTATATTATGATATTACTGCTCAGGTGGACGCACTTCTGCAGGGCTGAGGTGAGGCAACTCGTGGATGGAGGCTTATTGCTCCAGCATATTGCACTGCAAATCGTCTTGTATCCTAAGCTTGGTAAACAGCTGAAGGTAGTGCTACCCTAGCGCAATTCACACGTTTTGCTGTACGTGGATGTGAGACATAGGATTAGGATACTATTTGCAATGCGCATTGGTTTATCGGTTTTGTTGGGCAAAAGCGGTCATCTGCGCAGAGCCGCCAAACCACACTCCATGCAACTCCTCAGCTTCACCTTGCCCATACATGCATCAAACTTACATCCGATGACCCCGACTCCCAGATAACGCAACTCGAGCTACTATCAGCCCCAAAACGGGCTTCATTTCCCAGTCCTTGCTCTTACAGCCTCATATCCCCGCACTGTCCTTCCCACGTCGCCTACATCAAGCCTTTCACCACCCACCCACAAACCATGTCGTAACCTACGCGCTCTGAAACCACACGCCCACAACGATCGAACGCGGTAAATAAGGTCTCCATAGCAACCAAATTTTACGTTTTCGCTGCGATCATCAGTTGAGCGGTCAGCGTTTTCTACTTCAGAATTCATGCCTCCCTGTTCCGTCTCTCACTTTTCTCCCACTCAAAAACGCAGGGCAACTGGGCTTGCAGGTACTCTTGCTAGCACCTCGTTTTGACAACTTCGAGAGGGCGGCGCTGACTCGAGCTTTATCGCACAAACAAACCAACACTGCACCCAAGGCCGCGCAGGCGCGTCAAGAGCAACCGACCGTCAACATGCCTTCCATCCACACCTTCACCATCAAAGAAAAGGGTACGTCCAGATCGCGATGCTCTCTAATCCGCGGGAGCAATAAACTAACCGGTACAGGCGGCAGCGAGATCAACTATGACGACGACCACGAGATGCCCGACTACTCTGGCCTCCCCACCTACCGCGATGCGGATGAGGGAGATGAAGATACCGATATGGGTCTCTTCGGCTATAGAGGCCTTAGACAACGTCAGCAGGCCGCACGCAGACAAGTCATTGAGGAGGAAGCGGAGATGGAGGAGCACGAGGAAGATTATGAGGGAGCGGGAGAGGAAGACGAAGAAGATGTACGTCCCATCCTACCGTCACACCCATACTCACACAACTCTACTAACGCATTTCATCAAGGAGGACGACAACGACTCCACCTTCCGCCTAGAAGGCTACGAAGACCTCGACGACGCCAACGCCGTCCCCTCTGGTGCCGAGCCCTCTGACAGCGACTACGCCGCCAACGATGAATCCGACTCGGACAACGATGAAAACAACAGCAAGACCAAGAATTCCAACCGCAGTAGGGATTCCACCATGCCTCCACCGGCAAAGAAAACCCGTCCCGCCCACTTTTCCCGCAGCATCACTGCCGCCCGTCGCGCCGCCCTTCGCACCGAGGTCAATGCCGCGCACTCATTCCTCCTGCACGAATCTCCATCCGGCTCTGCATTCGCCACTCCCACCCGTCGCGGCCGCACCAGCCTAACCGCCACCCGAGGAGCAGGAGGAGGAGGAGAAGCAGGAAGTGTCCGGTCCGCCACGCCCATGGGCCTCACGTACAACAAAAAGATCACCGCAGAACTAGACTCGGACGACGACCTCATCATGAACATGCGCAGCGCGGGCTACACGGACGCGCAGATTGCCACGCGCCTCACGCGCGAAGGCCGGCACACATTCAACGCCAAGTCCATCTCGACGCGCATCGGGCGCATCAAGTACGCGCAGTACGCGCAGTCGGATTACCTGCTCAAGGAAGGGTACAAGGAGTGGACGCACGAGGACGACCTGCGGCTGATGCAGGCGTACGAGTTCGCCGAGATGGAGATACGGTACGAGATTGAGAAGGCCAGGGCGTGGCGGTGGAGGAAGGTGAGTGAGTTTCTGAGACGCATGGATGCGGAGTGTATTTTTAGTGAGAAGGCGTGTCGGGAGCGGTTTATTGCGTTGGAGGAGGGGACGGCGAAGATTCCCATTGATGAGGATGATGATCCGGAGGCTAGGCGGAAGGAGATGGAGGAGTATAGGGAGGGTAGGGAGAGGGCGAGGCTGGAGGAGGAAAATAAAAAGAGGCAGGAAGAGGATTTAAAGAAGAGAATCAAGGAAGAGGCCAAGCTGAGAAGTAGCGAGAAGGCGGAGGCTCTGGCGAAGAAGCGGGAGGCGAGGCAGAAGGAGAAGGCGCAGAAGGCGAGGCAGAAGGCGGCAAAGACTCAGATGTGGTTGGCAAGGGTGGAGGAGAATGCCGAGCAGAAAGAAAGGAGAGCCGAGGAGTTGCGCCAGAAGAAGAGGGAGGAGAAGATCAAGGAAGAGCTGGCGCTGCTGAGCCGGAATAAGAATGCGCATGTGCCGTTGACGTTTGTGGCGGATTTGAAAAATGTGACGGCTGAGACGCCGGATCCCAGGATCTTCCTGGATTTGAAGGACCTGAAGCATCTCTGCAAGGAGAGAAATCTCAATGACGAGGGGAGCAGCAAGGAAGAGTTAGTGAAGAGCCTGAGGGATGCGGACGACTTGAGGCCGCTGGCGGAGCTTAAGAAGATGTGCAGGATGCGGGGGCTGAATACCGCCGGCACGAAGATGCAGCAGAAGTATCAACTGGCGTTAGCGGAGGCGAAGAAGTATCCTTCGTTCCTGAAAAACACGTCAAGGGATCAGGTGGAGGATGATGCAGATGAAGAGTGAGTGACTTTCCTCGCTCCGGCATATGCACATGATTTGGAATGGGAAACACCCCTGGAAAACGGCAACCGTTTGAGTGACGGTAACGGTTTTCAACATGCCATACCTAGAGGCAATGTGTGCTATGGCGGTATGAAGGCGAGCTCTGATGGTAGTGGAGATCAATCGCAAATGAGGAAATGACAAACTGGCTCTCCTCCAAAATTTCTGATTTGCACGGTTTTGCAACAAAGCAGCCCATCATCCCGTTTGCAATCAACGTACATTCTGCGGTCCAAAAGGCGGATTAGCAGAGAGACTTTTTGAAGTGTACAGTTACTATAGCAAAACTCGCTTTGCGTCATGCAATTCCATTTCCATTTGACCAAGCTCACGAAAGTGAAGCGAAGGCTTTCCGTCAAAAATTCTCATGGATGCTATTCTCCATGTCCAAAAACTGATTCGTGGCAGTCTTCTCTCAGCGTCCTAAATACTCGATCCAAATGTTAGACGCAAGCCAATCCTACACTTTCTTCCCTACTCAGTGCGCAATTCCAGAGACTTGCCTCGCGCGCTGAAGTATCAACACAGCAGTGTTCGCCTCTACGCCGCGAAATTCAAAACCGGGGATATTATGCATATGTTTACGCCAACATCTTCCCAATTCCTAAGAGGTTTTGGGGGAAAGGCAAATGCCAGGCCAGGGTTATATCTCTCTCGAGCTACATAGATTCACATTCCGACGACCTGGCAACTGGCCACTCTACCAATCCTTCCTAACAACAGCATCATGGCCCCTAACAACTCTTTTCTTTCCCCCTTCCTCTCTTTCTTATTCTAAAGCCAAGTACGCGAGCCCCATCCTCGCTCTCCATCTCTAACCAGTCATTGTTCCTTAGCGAAATCCAAGTCGCATACTCGCAGTGCCGCAACCCCGGTCTCGAATAGATGAACAATATGTATCAACCAAAAGGCCCACCACTCACAAACGTCGCCATGTCGCGGCAGTATAAACGGGTCTTTCTCCAAGCGACTTGGGAGACACCATATTTCTCCGAGGCGGGTTCCTCCAATTACCATGGAAGATGGCTCCACAATGTTTTGTGGGGTATCGCTGTGGAATTATACCAGCCTGGCGCATTGTTATAGCTTTAATGAATAAATGAAACCATAGATGCGAGCTGGCTTTGAGATATAGAGGACTTGTACATCTTCCTTCAGTTCTCTATCCTCATTTTTCGGATTTCTTTTTCAACCGTATCTTCGTACCTCCTCTCTTGTCGTGGTGGTTCCTTGAGGAGCTCCTCCCCAGCACAACCATGATCTTCTCATCACCACTCCTTCCCCTCCTGGGCCTGGCCTCCGTAGCCATCAGTGCTCCCAATGAGCTGAACAAACGCGCGCCAACAGTGTACCTCGCAGGTGACTCCACCATGGCGCAAGCCAAAGACAACACGCAAGGTAATTTGCTAGCTAGTCATCTTCCACTTCGCAGAGAAGTTCTCTTAAAGACTTCCTCCCTCGAAATATTCCCCTCTTAAAGATTCTCCTCCAAAACACCCCCATTGAGAGATTTTTCTTTCCAAAACTCCATCCTAACCCCTCCGTGCACCACAGGCTGGGGCGTCTACCTCCCCTACTCCCTCACCCTCCCCATCATCAACAAAGCCCTCGGCGGCCGCTCCGCCCGCTCCTACACCGTCGAAGGCCGCTTCCAAACCCTCATCGACACCGTCCGCCCCAACGACATCGTCGTCATCGAATTCGGCCACAACGACGGCGGCTCCCTCTCGAGCGGCGACAACGGGCGCACCGCGTGCCCGGGCGCGGGGGCCGAGACGTGCAAATCCACCTACAACGGCCAACCCGTCACCGTGCTGACGTACCCTGCGTACCTGACCAACGCAGGTAAAGCTTTAATAGCCAAGGGCGCAAAAGTCATCATTTCGAGCCCGACGCCGAATAATCCGTGGGAGGGGGGAAGCTTTTCCTACGCCCCGGGGAGATTTACGACGTACTCCAAGGCGGTGGCCGAGACGCTCGGGAAGGAGAATGCCATGTTTGTCGATCATGGGTCGTATACGGCGGATATCTTCAAGACGCTGGGGAAGCAGAAGGTGGATTCCTTCTTTCCGAATGATCATACGCATACGAGTCCCGCGGGGGCGGATGCCGTGCAGAAGGCGTTTGTGAAGGCGGTTCTGTGTCAGGGAGGTGGGTTCTTGAATGGCTACGTGAGGAATTCAACGGAGAGTGTTCCGGGGAGGTGTCTTTGAAGCGGCATTAAAAGGGGGAAGGAAAGGTGAATTGCTAGCACTCAGGGTAAGAGAGAGGGGGTTGAAGGAAGTCTGGGATTTCTTGTTCTATTCGACATGAATATAGCAAAAGAAAAGGAAGAAAACTCGGATACAATACCTGTCCCAGCCGCATCTGCATTCACTTACGGCTGCTCTTTGCGCTTCCTGTTGATATGCGAGAGTAGGCTACCGATCTACCTACCTAATGATCCATGCGGGGAGGAGTTTACGCACATGTTAGTACACGTCTCGAAATGAGAGGTAACTTGAACATGCGAAGGTGTCGCCCTGGAGCTGCTTCTTCGGAAATCCCATCGTCGTTGATCTCCTGTACAGACCTCGCGGAGAGTCTCAATTCCATACCTCGGCGTACGTGGCACGATAAGGAAACATCATCGGGAGCTTCGGTTTGATCGGAATCATGATGCCGTTTTGTGACAGTCCTTCACCTTGTCAACGGCGTCGGCGGTAGATCTTGGCATCGGTCTCGATATTGACTGCTCGCAAAGGCATCCGCAGTCTTTCGAAATGGTCGGTCGCATTGCGTCGACGCTCTTCCTTGTCGTTCGAGCACCAGCAGTTGAAACGATCCTGGATCCTTGCAAGACTGCAAACATTCAATGTTTCGGCTGTACTCTCTTCTTGGGGGAATACAGTACCGCGCTGCTTCGGTGACAAGATGGAGATAACGGACATGGCGACATGAACCTTGCAAACCTTCTCGATGTTCCATGAGCTCTGACTCGCAGATTTCAGCGTGCGGGACCTCCTTGCTCAGATGTTGATGTGTGATGTGTGGATCGACATGTGGATACCAAGGCTGCACACCGCCGCTTTTTAACTGCATCCAATCGTTCGCAATGGGAGTGTTGATTACTCGAAATATCCCGATGTGTGCTTCTGCTAAATGCAATCCGCGATTATTGTTACATTCAACCTGCTTTCAAATAGGCAAGCACGTTGCGTAGTAGAAGCTCAACAACGACGACAGCTGCATAAGTATGGCTTTCTGGACGGAGCACTTGCACTCACAGTAAATATTCCCCTAGAGCCGGGGCCTGACATTCAGACTGCAGAAGTGCAGTGATTGGTTGAGGTTCGGGCCTTCCTCGGTGACAAGTCAACTGCCGAAACGCTTGCCATCGCCCGGCGTCTGCTAACTCCTCCGTGCACGGGAGCCAGAGAGACGAGGGTCACTTGAAAGCTTGTTCCTCCTTCACGACTAAAGAGCACAAGGCCAAGAGGAGTGCTGCTAGGAAGTCGACTGAGAACAGCGTTGGCGGTGTTGACTGTATCTGTGCAGCTTGAGAATGCGATGTCAACCAAATGTATACTTCTCGGGGTGGTTCCGGACGTCGCTCTTGCTAAACGGCAGCAAAAGAAATCGAATATCTCACATGAGAGAACATAACCTCCAATCATGATAACAAGAACGGGGAACGAAATCGCAGAGCGATGGTCGCCTGTGACGATGCACAACTCGTCTGTATCGCTGCTTGTGATGGGGCTTCTTCAGGCGCATCTGGCCAGTTCCCCGTCGTTCTTCTGGTCGGAGGGTGAAACTGTTCGTGCAACACAGAAACTGAGAGTGTTGAGCTCATAGGACCCACGGAACCGATGAGGTGAGCGGTGTGCAAGCGATGTGCAAGCTGTTGTTTGCCAGGCACGTACGGAGCACTTTACTTGTACAGCAGATAGGGAAAGGTTCTTTCGTGGAATGGACCTCCTACAAGGAGGCGGTTATACACAACAGTCCGGATATGTAAAAAAGCGTGATTTTCAACCGAAGAAATAGCGGCGGGACGTCCAAAGTCCAGCGCAGCCGGTCCATCGGAAGCCTGCGGGCGTCGACGGGCGCTTACAGGGGAGGTAACCGGGCTCGATGGGTAGTCGTGAGCTATCTACCGAGGCGTTATCAACCCGCACGGTCTGCCAGGGAATACTCTCGTTTAGAGTTGCAGTTGCTCGACTCGTGTATCAACGTCGATGTGCCTGGCCTGACATGAGCAGTCTGCCTTTGGCTCGCCGACAGTAGAACTCAGCACTCGGTACCACAACAAGTGGGTAGACAGCTGTTGAGCGGCGGAATCTCGAGGTCTTGGTCAGCTCAACATTTGGCTTGGCGCAAGGTTGTCATGTTTACTGTGTCCAATTCTGCAGTGTGGGTGGACGGTCCTGAATCCCATCTCGCGTCGTCATCCCATTTTAAGCGGGCACAGCCACGTGAGTCGACGTCTCGGCCTGATTGCGAGCCCAAAGATTTCGCCGAATGGCGAATGCAAGTCGTGGAAGCCACGGACCCACTATGGGCCAGGGGGTGCAGCCCGGTCAGCGTGTCTGTGAGCCGTCCCCGCAGAAGGACAACGACATGTCCGGGATCAGGAGAATGCCGCAGGGATGCTCACTTGGCTCAAGCTAATATTAGCATGACGGGGGGTTGTTGGGCGGATTTGTTGATTGAAATTTTGCGTGTCACGCTTGCCCGCAATGTTGGAGGAGAAATGTGTCCTGCTGAGCGGTAGGTGCAGAAGAGCGGTGACGGGATGAATATCTCGCTGTGTGTGCGATGCGTCTGTGCAGGTGTGTGCGGGCCCACAGCGCTGCTGCATACTCTGAACTGGTGATTATTGGAGGTCCTGCCAAGGGGAGGCTGCGATTCGATGCTGGGCGAATATTATTCCCTCGAATCATGTCGTGCAACAGACGTCTCTGGTTGCTTGCTGTTGCTCCTGCCGTCACGCAAGGCAGAGAGTGCTCTCAACCCATGACTTGCCATGTTCCGTCTGATGGACGGGAGTATGTACTTGTATTCTCTCCCAGAGCGGCGGCGCAGCTGCACGTTATTGCTCTGTCCCACGGTCGATGCCCGCGTCAAGAGGTGGATGGAGACGTAAGATGCCGGTGCGACTGCGCAAGCTGCCGTGTCGCAGAAGTTGTGAGCATCGCGGTCAGAGGGGAGACTACTGGTCCAATAGGCAAGCGGGGCAATGGTTGCATGGCATGGAAAGGAGGGGGTCAAGAGGCCGGCGAGCATGACAGCAAAGCTCCATCCGGGTGCCAGAGCGACGTTTGCCAGACGTTGGACACACTCTGACAGAGACATGCTGAGAGAGACGACAGGAAGATGAAGATGTTTGGTATCGTCGACATGTCGTTCAAACAAGAGTCGACGGCGTGGAGGCGCGACAGTGAACCATTCCAGGAGAAGCATGGCTGGGGTGCCCAAGGGCCGGGCCCATCGCCCTCGCGGGGGGATCCAGCGTCAATGATTGGCGAGGCTGACTGTTCCTCCCAAGGCACTCTTTTCCTGCCTTCGTGGCGTGTCGTTGTCGTGTTTCTCAACAAGAAAAAAAAAAGAAAGAAATATCTCCAGGCCGGCTACGGAGGTACTCTACTGTGTATTCTCTGCGGCATAGAGGGGATGATGCCAATGCGTCTGGGATTCAAGATGACTGAAGAAGTTCGCCCTCATAGGAAAACGGCAGGTGCAGGCAGCTGCTACGGGTATCGTGGCTGGCATTCCGGCACCGTTGTCCGGCAGCAAAGCGGACGCGCAGGGTTGACGAGTCTGCTGACTGGCACTGCTCTGATTATTGCCGCCAAGGGGATGAAAGCGTCATGGAAGCTGCAGAGGCCGCATCCAAAGAGGCAACAAAGAGGAAAAGAGTTCCGGAAGAGCTTGGATGAGGAAATATGCGCGAGGCTGACGAACCTGATGACAAGTTGACAACAATACGGAGTGCATGTTCCAGTCGAGGGTCACTCAGGATCCTCGGCTCGGCAGGCAGAGTGCGTGGCGTGGCGGACCTGATGTTGTCCCCTGCCGCATGAGGGCGGTTCTGCGATCCAGGGTGCACGACAACGACGATACAGTAGATGATGGATCGAGGGCAGAGGAAGATGGGGAAAGGTCGAATTCATGATGCACAACAAGTAGTAGGTAGGGAGCAAAACACTCCCTGGAATCGGATCTGTGGTTCGAAACTCTTGATGTGATGCCACCCCACGCCTTCCTTTCCCGCAATCGCCGGATGCGCATCCAGACGCAAGACAGGCAGAAAATATTGCCCAACAACAGACACGAAAGACCAGTAGACTGCGGTGCACAAGGGGCGCAATAATCAAAGGTGCAGGCCGATGACAAGTTGGTGCCATGTTGACAGGTGGACGTGTTTGACAGCGAAATGTAATGATTGACGGGCCGACGGCGGCCGTGAATCATGTCTTCTGCTGAGAGGTCGCATTCGCATTTGTCGCCGCCCGCCGCACAGGTCACTGCCGTTTCTGGGCCTGGTTTGCGCGCGTGCAGAGCGAGATGAACAAGAGGGCGGGCGGCAGGCGACGGCTGGGCCGAAGAGTGCTTCGATGAGTGAGGAGTGAAGGCTTAAGGAGGTCTTCCACAAAGCGGAAAAGAAGCAGAATAATAGGAGATGCCATCTCCTATCCTAAGCATGCGGTCGTTTGCAGCGTTACACAGACGTGAAAACCACGCGCGGGCACCCCTTCAGCTAGCTTGACTGCCCCTGCCCATCCCCTTTAGCGTAGGAGCTAATCTCAGCCTCATCGACTTACCACGCCGTTCACGGGAGCTATGTACTGTGTCGTACTGTATCGCCGTCGCTCGACCCCGACCAGTACTTGTCGTCGTGAGTGCCGGGAGGTAAAAAAGAAAGACCACAGGCGGCAGCAAGCCGGCATCGTCGGACCAGGCGCGGGCACCTCTCCCACGCAGTGTCCAATAATAATGCCCAGCATCCATCAAAATCGTGATGGATCCATGGAATGCAGGGGCCGTAGAAGCGGAATTCCAAGCCAGGCGGAGGTTGTGCATTGTCCAGGTCCCTTTAGTCCCCAGCTTCGCCAAAACCTCGGGCTTGGCGTGGGCAGGAAGAAAAGATGTCGTCGCTGCTCCCCCCGACCTTCCCTCCTTCGTCACTAGCCTCGCATCGCCAACCTTGCCGGCGCCCTCACCACCATCACCATCCGGGCACCACTACTGGCACACCGCTCGATCCGTTCCCCTCTGGCCTGGCCCCAAGAATCATTTGCCGTCTCCTGGCTTCCTTCGGACAGGCGGCGTCTCCCACCACCCGCCGGTCGCCGGTCGCCGGTCGCAACTCGCAATTCCCCCAGTGCCCACGGCTCCCGCTGCTAGCACACGTCGCGCCCGCGTCCTACACGTGCAACCCGCGCCCACCAGCAGCAACCGTCTGGTAGCAACGCGCCCCGTCAGGAACGCGCCCCCGACGACGGCTCTCTCACCCTTACCAGCTCGAGCCAGGGCCCCATTCCAGGTTCAATTCTCTGTTGGCCGCCAGATCGCCCATCGCGGCCGCCAGCGCAACCCGCCTCTGCGGTCTCCTCGCAAGCTTGCAACCGCGTGGCCTTGTGCCCTATCCGACTCTACTCGTCTTCCGGCGTTTCTCTCTGCGCTGCTGCTCCTGCGACTCCCGCCGCTGCGTGAGTGTGCACCTGCTCCTGCAGACAATCCCAGCGCCCTTGCTGTTATTCCCATCGGAAAAGCGGCCGGACGAGAGGCTGATCGCTCCTGATCCTCGGCACACAGACAGCCAAGGTAAAAGAATCATTGGCAGCGAAAAGTGCGTCGAGGGCGTCAGAAATTCAAAACCCCAAAACAAAATTTCAGACGACGACGGGCCGACTGTTTCCACTTTTCCAGCATCCCCACAAGGGCAAAAGCCCACGGACTGCAACAGCACAACCGGCGACCACAGCAAAACAGTCGTCTCGTGAGAATCGGCGTACCATTTCTTCCCATTGCAGGGCCTCCATCTACCGAGTCCCGTACCTACTGGTAATCTGCCACTACCAGGCCAAGACAAGCTTCAACCACCTGAACAAGCTTACGCAAAATTCACCACCGCTGCTCTACTCCTAGCGATCTCCAGAATCACCCTCATTCCGGCTACCGCTACTACTGACGCGCGCCTTCTCTTTCCCACGAGCCCGGCTAAAAACGGTGTGGGGTTCGCGGCATACGCCATACGTACCTACGTTGTAAAGCGTAAATCCTACTACTGGTCAATTGTCCAGTGGTGTCAGCGCCCGGGGATCGAAGCTACGCAAGGTGCCGCAATCGACCATCTCGACCGATCGCACGGCCGCCATCATCGTGACCATCTCGCCGTCGCCAGACGAACATCATCTCGTTGTTCACTGCGAGGGAGCCTTGGCGCTTTGGCCACACACGCTCTAGCGCCACCACAACACCCCTCACCCCTTCGTACGCAGCAAAAGCTTGCAACTTTGAACCCACCCCAACCACCCCCGAGCAGAAGCCGCCACCTTGGGCCGGCCTGCCGCCAGTGCACGGCTCCTTCTTCCACACTTGCCCCAACTTTACCGCGGACCAGTCGTAGTGCCCATAACCCAGACCCGGTACACCACTACCCTTCGGGTTTAGTCTGGTGTCTGAACCACGCACACACATTCACCTGGGCTGCATTGCTTGCTAGCTGCATCCATCCTTCCGCCGCCCCCATCGAAATCCCGGCCCAACCGACTTGAGACGAAGAGCGGGTGCCCTCTCGCTCTCTCTCTCTTCTTTTATTATTTCACTTGCTAGCAACAGCCTCGTGTCACCGCCGCGTTGCATTCTTACACGCCGTGCACCCCTCTCCCCATTATTCTCTCGCCATCAAGCATCCTCCTGCTCCGTCCCCCCCACCAGGCCGTCCGGAACCCTCCGCAGAACCTCCACTCGAGAGCTCCTGATTGGATCGTCGACTGCCAGTCTCATAGTGCAACGCCATCGTCACTGGTGTCATTAGGGTCCGCGTCTACCGATTCGCCAAGTCCGCAAAACCCAAAGTAGAAAAGCCGGACCCTCTGCAAGACCACGCCGTGCGTCCACGGGTCTCCTGCACCTCCCCTCCCACCCCCCGCCACTACCCAATTCTGATCTTGCCTGGTTCACGTCAAGTGTACCTGCCCGTCTCGTCTCGGTTCCTGCAACACCATCCATCAATCATCGTCTCTCTCCTCCTGCCCGCACGCCCTCCCGTCCTTTCGCTTCCCCCGCCTCGCGTACGCGCTCCGTCATATGGAAACAAGGCAACCCGAGTATTCGCAGTCAGGTTCGAATCTGCCCTACCCTTCCTTTCCAGAACCTCCTTCTGAAGGTTCCTCTCCAGATCAGCCATCTGCTGCGCAATACCAGCAAGCCGCCGACCCTCGCTCATCCTCGACCTACTCGACCTCGGCCACGCCCACGTCCGAGTACACGCTCAACCCGCCGTCTGCGCGCTCCTCGGGCAACTTCCCAGACTACATCCAACGTTCGTACCAGGCGCCGGGCGTCCAAGGCACCTCCGCCGCTATGGCGCAGCAACAAAGTCCGTCCATGCCTCTGCAAAATGGCCAGAACAATGACCATGCTCCCAACCAAGAGCCTCAGTCTAACGCCGATGTGCCTATAGATCCGACCATCGCCGCAGGCGCGAGCCCCACGACCTATCCTCCGCACGGCCAGCAGTATGCCCCCTACGGCCATGGAGACATGCAGCATCACTACCAAGGCCAGCCCAACACGCAGATGTACACCCAACCCCGCCAGGAGTGGGGGGCACCCGCCTATCCCTCTCACATGTATCATCCCCACTCCTCGTCCGCAGGCCCGCCTGCTCCCTCCATGGTCTCGCCGGTGAGCCAGCGACCGCCAACGGTAATTGTCTCCTCTCCTCTGCTTTGTTGTTGTCCATGCATCCTCGTCCGAGCTCTTCACTGACGCCTGCAAACAGGGAGGCCATCCGCTGTCGACGGTCTACTCGTTCGTACCCATCCCCGGTGCGCAGCAGCACAAGAGGCCGCGACGCCGCTACGAAGAGATTGAGCGCATGTACAAGTGCGGCTGGAATGGTTGCGAAAAGGCCTATGGCACCCTGAACCATCTCAACGCCCATGTCACGATGCAGTCGCATGGCGCGAAGCGCACCCCTGAAGGTATGTTGCCAGTTTGACGTCAAGATCGATTCCGCGCCGGATTCCAGGCACCCGCTAGAGGAGGCGCTAGCTTAGCACCTGGGATGGTGTTGGTAGTCCCGCTGGGATGGATAGCCTCATCGGCTGAATCCCGCCACTGTCGACCCTTGCCCTCCCACCTTGGCACCCGTCTTAATTGCACATCTTATACATGCTGACTTGCCCCTTCACAGAATTCAAGGAGATACGAAAGGAATGGAAGGCCAAGAAGAAGGAGGAGGAAGCAGCTCGCAAGGCCGAGGAAGAGGCCAGGATGCGTGCCAGTGAAACACGCACCCACGATGGGGCGGCTCCCGTTGCTCAGTACGCAGAGGTGCGGCAGCCTCTCCCTATGGCCTCGGGCGCCCAGCTCCCTCCTCTTGGTTATCAAGCCGCTTCAAGCGCCTCCACGACCGCCAGCTACGGCAACCAGAGTCCCGGCTTGAACGAGTCAATGGCCCAGTACGTCAACCTTATGCACGGGAGTTGGAAAGAAGGTCAGAGCTAACATGTTGTAGTTATGCGCAGTCGCCGTACGGACAGAATCAAGCCCCCATGTACCAGCAGCAGAACCATTAGGCGGGTGAAGCTGATGTGCCACATCTCCCTTCCCCCCCTTCGCCCCGAACCAGAGGCGACTCTCCCTAAATGACTAGCGACGTCCGTGCGCTCTTGACGCATGTCTATCCCCAGGACCGTTCGAACCATTTCTCTCCCTCGTGAAAAACGCTCTTGCATGTTTTTGGTGTTTTCATATCCCCTGCATGGACTGGGACACATTGGCGGCTTATCTGCTTGGTATACCGGTACCGGTACACAACGGGTGTTTTTGGGGGCCGTGGGCTAGAGACGTTTCCGGTTCATATCTTATCTTTTCACCAATCTATCAGTTCTCTTATTCCTCCGTTTTACCTTCTACCCTTTTTGACTTTCCTTTTTGGTCAGGGTGCAGGGGGGGAGGCGGTTGATACATATTGGGATCAATGGTGCAGGACGGGCAGTGACGGTCGAGAGGAGATGAAGAGGTTTCGTCAAGGGCGTTTGACATTCATTTTGCTTTTTGCGACCCGTTTTGGTGGCGGTTCTTGCCGCGAACATTTTGGTGGTCTGGTTGGTGCGAGGTACGGGCGGCCACGGGTGGTGTGCCGTCGTCGTTTGATGCAAACCTGAGAGCTCCAGCGTATCAGTTACAGTAATAATCCGAAAGTGTGCTGTTCCATGTTGTTCATGGGTGCTCTGAGGGTTGCCAAGGATGGATGGTGATTGGGTCAGCGTCTACAGAGTACCTGATACCTGATGCCTAGAAACTATCTGCACAAATGTATGATCGCTCCACATTCAATCCTTTCAGTCACACACACTCTCTCTCTATCCCACCCACACCCACACACACGAATCTACGGCCCTCTCCTCTCCTCTCGACCTCTCGACCTCACCTCCTCTCCTCCTGATGCAGTCTGCCGGACCCTGCGCATCATCTGCCTCCCACCGCAGCTACGATATGCACAAAAAAAAGATACACGACAGAAGCCTGTTTCCTGCCGTGCTCCCACGACAACGTGGATCCAAACAGGGTTGGTTCCGGGTGAGGGACGTCGAGGGTTGTTTCACCGGTTGTCTGCCCTCCTGTGCCATGCAAGTGAGGTAAGAAAGAGAGGGAAGGTCTTAGACCTCTTCAGTGTGCCTTCGTCGTTGCTTACGGAAGGACGATGTGAGACAGTAATGATGGCGAGCCGGTCGAACAAGGTGCTGCTCTGGACCGTCCTTTGGCCTTGGGATTGGGACTCCAGAACTGGCTGTACGTCTCCAGACCAGGCATACTGCAAGCGAATAGGAGTAGGAGTAGGAGGCGAAACCTTAACGCACATAGTCCGATTAGCTGCACCCAAAAGTCCGTACCTGGCTGTCCTCACTCGCGTCTCCGGGAAAAAGGCCCGATAACGTGTCCGTCTCCTCACCTGGTGAAGGTTCGGATGTCCAGATCGACGGAGGAAGCCTTTCGCCATCGCAACCCTTTATCAAAGCAGCGGAACTTGCGAATCGATCTGCCGAGATAATCCTTGCATCCAACACCTTAAAGCTTCGCAAGATCTGCACCATGAGTGGCGAAGGCCGTCTCCAACTCTGGTCAGCGGGCGTCATCAATCACGCACATAATCGGCCCGCTTTGAAACACCGGTAGAGCCCGCATGTGCCAAGTCAGCGGAAAGTTCCCGTTACTTACGTGCTCTAGATCCATGGTGTGTCGTTGCTGGAAGCGTGGCGTGAGTCGTCCTGTTGGCTATATACATAGTAGTCAGTCCCAAACGGCTACCGTTGGTGATCTCTCGGAGTTAACTTTCGTGAGTTGGAGCAGCACCTTGATTGAGAAGCTGAAGCCACGTGATGTGATGGTTCTTGAGCTCTGGGGATGCTTCCGCCATTGGGTGCAATCTTTGGTTCAGATAAGTTGAATGTTAGACGGGCATGTGAAAGAAGCTTCAAGGAAGCTTGTGGATCCTGCCCCTGGACCCAGCATGCGATGACCTAGGAGAGCAGCGTCCAACCATATGTGAGCATGTGCGCACTGGAGATACCGAGTATGATTGTGAATAGGAGGTAACATTCCCCATCTCTGGGAAGGCTATCAGACGACTCCGCTTTTTACAATGACCTTACCAACATGGTAGTGCTTCCGAGGAAGTGACTATGACGATTGCTGATGCTGTGGGATTACGCTGAGCGTGTGCATGCCTGCTCGACGAGAGGATAGCCCCGAACAAAAGGGTCCGCAAAATGGGAAGCCTGTGCCACGGCAAGTAGCCCGTGAGTGGAAGGTGAAGTAGTAAAACCGCAGTGATATGGCTGCAGATGCAACTGCAAGCTGCCCTCGAGTCTGCATAGGGGAGGCCGGCCTATGAGAATCGAGCAAGTGGTGACTCGGAGATAAGTTGGCAAGATGCATTTGGCATCCCAGGCAGCACTTCGATAAACGGACTGAGTGGCACAGAGATTCGGAGACGTGGCCTGCAGTTGCAAGTGCGACTTGGGCAACGTCGCCCGTTCCGCATTTCCCTGGTGTGCTTGATTCGCTCTGGATGTCCACAACTGCCCCAAGCATAGCCCGTGACGCTTGCTGCGAGTAGTCATGGGGTGTTGGCGAGACAGAAGGGCGGGTTCGCGTTCGCTCGTTGTGTGGTCGATATTATCGTGAGGCTTGCAATGCTATCCAGTAGCCGTCTGTGATTGGACGGCTGGTGATGGCGGACGGCAGAGTTGCCAGAAGGCGAAAACTGGTACAACATTGAAGTTTAAATTTGATTGCTGTTGCGGAGTGTCGGTGTGGGAGAAACTGGGAAGAAAGAAGTGTCGTGGAGGCGTGTTCTCAGTGAAGAGTGCAACGACAATAGACTATATGTAGGTACGTTCGTTCCTGGCTAGATGGTACCTCGATGTACGCTTAGCAGTAGTCGACCATCAGCACCAAAAGAACCCTGCTAATAGATTTTATTACCTGGGACGATGAGATAGGCGGGGCAGGGGCCTCGATTGATGGCGGGTGATGGCGGGAGGCTAATGTGAGCGAGCGGCGTGTCAACCTGGGAGAGGCGTGGACTACCGCAGTACTAGTAGGTTGCACAGCATGAGATCCTTTACGAACCGGTGCTTGGCTGTTGGCGTTCTGTCGCTGTCGGGTGCCTGCGGTGCGGGGAGCAGCAGAGCACCGCAGGAGATTGCGCAAGAGGGAGGGTTGGAGCGTGGAGAGGTACCTACAAGGATGCGAGAGTCGGTGATGGATCTGTCGTGGAGTCGTCGAGAGAGCAGAGAGAGGGTCATGTCGGGGTTGTGTGCAGCAAGACTCCAATGATGGAAGTCGCAAGTCTCGTGATATCCCGTGCTACCTGTTAGAACCTTCAAATGTTCACAGTTATGTTCCGAGTACCTAGGTATTGCTCTGCTCATGGTATGCTGTTGCTGTTCCATCCAGACCGTTTCATGCGCCGCTTGCTGGAAGAACGCTACAAGTATGTCTAGGTGTCTACAGTAGAAGAGATGCTTCAGGGCAGCAACCAGGACCGGCGCCACGATCGCCGCTGGTCCCTCGCACCAACAGCCGGACACCGTCGCATTTCTTGCATGCCAACGGCTGTGTACCGTCGTCGCGGATCCCTCTTTTTGGTGTGCGACGGGCTTCCGGCCAGCGCGGCCCGACACGTTGGCCAGCCTTGCAGCCAACCCGCCAGCCCAGAGCTGGTGCTTGGGTCCCGCTCCGCTCCTCGGTCCGCTAGAACGGAGCGGCGGAGTCTTGGCGTCGGGTGGACACTTCGGCATGCCGCCCTAGCGCTAGCGCTAGTGCCATCCCGATTCCCGACGCCCAGCAACTTTTTTTGGACGCCATAATTGTGACGACGTTCAACGATCAGCTTGCTATAACAACGCCCTCCCCTACCTCCTCATGCTCGACTGTCGCGCCTGTCTCTGGCGTCGCCTTCGAGTGCTTGAAGCGAATCTCCTTAGAGACACCTCGGTCGGTCGCAATGCCGTCGCCTCGCGTCCATACCTCCAAAGGAGACTCTACTCGCAAACGCCAACGCTGGCTCGACCCGCTCCCAGTGTAAACGCTGAACAAATCGCTGTTGAACAACCTACAGCGGTAGCCGAGGGTACCGACAATGGGAACTCCCGCAAAGAACCGCAGTCTACCTATGCGGCAGGCATGAAGAAAAAGGAGAGGAAGGCCCTGACGCGTCCACTAAATGCCTCGATCCCCGACTTTAGGATCCGCAGGAAAGAGTTGAAATATCTGGCCGACCCGCTGGCTCTCGCCAACTATGTCAAGAAAATGTTAAGAAAAGACAGAGATGTGCAGATGCTCAATCTGGTAAGAATGGCCAGTCGCGAGGGACAGCGCATCGTCAGTTGGAATCACCTTATCGATTGGGCCCTGCAGAAAGGCCGCCTAGCCCACGCACTGAAGATGTACAATGAGGTACTGTCCAATGTTCTGCCTGGCCAATCCCACCATGCTAATGTCAGACCAGATGAAAAAGCGAGCACAATTCCCCGACGCTTATACGTACGCAATCCTCCTGAACGGCATGACGAATTGCGCCCATGCATCCGGTGTCCTGGAGAAGGCCCTCTCCGTATATCATTCCATGTTCGCCGACAATTCGCGCGTTCAGCCCTCCATAATTCACACCAACGCCATGTTGAAGCTCTGCGCGAGGATGAACAACATGGATGCGCTCTGGGGCGTGGCCGCAAAAATCCCGGATAAAGGCCCTGCAACCGCCAATGCCATTACCTATACGATCATACTCAACGCGATCCGCCAAAGTCTGCTCGTCGGTGTCCCACCAATGGAGTCGGATGAACAGAGGGACCTCCGTAGAGATCGCGGCGTCGTGGAAGGAAGACGTGTCTGGGAGGAGGTCGTCAGCAAGTGGAGAGACGCCCAACTCGTCATTGCAGAAGAGCTAGTCTGCGCAATGGGCCGCCTACTTCTCGTCGGCGCGCGCCCCCGAGACTGGGACGACGTCCTCTCCCTCGTCGAGCAAACCATGGACATCCCCCGCTTCGTGCCGCGCTTGGGATCCGTCGAACGCCGCGAAGCCGGCCTCCCTCACCTCCGCGCCCCCAACGTCTCCGACCAATTCCGCTACGATGACTCGCACCTCAGCCCTTCCAAGAATTCCCGCCGAGGCGACGAATTCCTTCCCGTCCTCCCCCAGGGTGTCGAAGGTGTCATACCCAGCACCCTGACGTACGCCAAACCCTCCAACAACACCCTCTCGCTCGTCCTCGAGGCCTGCCAAAAAATCGTCGCCAAAGACGCCGCAGACCGCTACTGGAACCTCCTCACCGACCCGTCCACCTACGCCATCACCCCAGATCTGAATAACCTCAACTTCCGCCTGCGCCTGCTGCGCCAGAACCGCGCTTCCACGGAAGCAGTCAAGCTCCTTAAAGAGTACTTTGTCGATAAGAAAAAGAGTTCGGAACTGGGTCTGGAAATGCGCCCCGGTACCCTGAGAATCGCCATGAGCACCTGCGTCCGCGACAAGAATAACCACCGCTCGCTTTGGAACGCAGGCGAGATTCTAGCCATCATGATGGACACGCTCGAAGACGCGGATGCCAAGACGGTCACGCGCTACGCCGACCTCGCGGTCGCGTTCCCCCTGGCCAAGGGCGGGGATCTGGTCGAGGCGCTGGCGAGGCTGGAGCCCGTGGTGAGGAATCTGCGCATGCAGCTGGGCGTCGGGGCGTCGGACATGGAACCCTGGGCGAAAGGGCATAAGATTCGCAGTGCGGAGGGCGCGGTGATATTGGAGGGGGAGCAGAGGGAGGCGGTGATTGAGGCGTTGAGGCGCGTGTATGCGGTGCACGATAAGCTGATCAATTCGAACCTGGTTTCGGAGCGGGAGAAGGAGCCGTTTAAGAGGAGGAAGGCGAGGTTGAGTGCGTTTCTGCATCGGTTGGGGTTCAAGGAGCGCGTCAAGAGCTTGCCGCCGGGGATGAAGTGGGATCGGATGAAGGGGAGGTTGGAGATGGAGGAGGAGTTGGAGGAGACTTGAGGGGTTGAATAATGGGATAGATGGTTGGAGGGGGAGGAGAAATGTATATCATAGATAACGGGTGGAGGGAGATATACTCCATGCATTTAGAGGGAGAGGTAGAACATGTTGTATGATATGTGTAAGGCTTGTATGAATACGTGTTCCGGAGGATGCCTCACGGTTCCCTCGCAGGTTTTTATTGCTGAGGCGGGTTTGATAGAAAGGGTTAGACACCGTTGCCTACATCACGCCAATTGACAAGATCCTCGTTTTCTTTGTCTGTCTTTTTTTTTTAGAAAAAGAAGAGATTTAAGAAAAAGTTAGTTGACACTTCCTAGATAGACCAGAGGTGTGATTTTGCTACGTAATTCCCTTCCTAATTTGGCCCCACGATTCGATTTTGGGAAGAGGGATGAAGGAAAGTAAAAGGGCTTGAGATTGCTTGTTACCGCCGTTTCCAGTCTGGAACTCTGCGCTTAAAATCCTGCTCCACTATCTAGTAGTTTGTCGAGCTGAATTCCATACATCTGGTTCAGTTTCGGTAGCGAGAAATAGGAAGGGATAGGGAAAAGCCATTTTTCGAGTGAATGAGTAGCAATGACACAAGAAAAACGGAGGAAGAGAGTTTTACTTCGCGGTCCCAGAGGTTAGTGCTACGATGAAGGCGTTACGTCTAGAAGGCTTGTCACTTATAGGAGGAGAGCAGGTAATCTGTCAGTCAACAACGGTCCTATTCAAGCAATCCATCAACCTCTTGCAACGCGCTTCGACCTGCAATGATTCCCCGTACCGACATTTATACTGGCACCAAGATCGTCTCCCCCGTTACCACTGTTCCTCGAATCTTCCACCTAAAAGCAGAGATGCATTCAGATAATCCAGCTTGGACTCATCTGCCAACCGCAGGACCCGGTATTCTCGTGGTCTGGAAACCTGACAACGGCCTTCGCTCCTTCACTTAGTCGTTCAATCTTCCCGACAGCTTACCTTTGCTTGGTCCGTGAAACTCCCTACCAGAATCCATTGAATGATTTCTGAGTAATATCTCGCAAAGGTGAGACTGCAAACTAGCTTCCTGTTCTCGTTCAGACAACATTTATCAGCCGCGAGAAGCTCAGGTTGCCGAAGGACGGACGCCATAGAAACTAATGATGTCAATTGAAAGACCCTTCACATGCTTCTCAACCTCTATCGCCGACTTGAATTAGTTGAACTTCTTGTCAAACCCAACGTCGGCCAATGTGACTAGGCCAGCAATGCCCGCAGCGGCTCCCATCAGAGCCTGATATCGAGAGGGTGTGTTGGGAGGTTGCTATGCCCAGGAACGTCGAGGATGAGACTGTATTACCTCGATCTCCTAGAGGACTGAGATGTGATTGGCGTATTTCAGTATAATCTGGTTGGTTCAACAGCCACTCGTGGTGTGCGGGAACTTCCGACTACAATTGACTGAGATTAGCACAAGCATGAAGATCTCGTCGAGCTGGAGTCGAATGCATATAAGCGTGGAGCTTGAGTGACGAAGCTGAAGAAGAACTCCGACTGCAGGCTACGTCGGAGCGAAATCCGAGAATCGAGGAAGGTACAAGGCGCACCTGTACCTGCCCGGGTTGCAAATCACATGAGAGGGTCACTGGAAAGGGCCAGCTGCACCAGAGGTAACAGAGGCGGCACCGTAGCATCTTCGTGAGCAAGACAGATCCAAAAGTGAAATGCCGATTTCTCGTCGACGGTTGATTCCTGCACTTACGTCTGCCCAAAAACAAATACACCCTTACCCTCCCGATACCCCTCCAAGGTGTCTTTCACCTTCGCAACCAGCTCTTCACCGGGGGTCTCCCAGTCCCATTTGATTTCATCAACTGGCATATCTTTGAATTTGCCCCTCCGAGTTAAATCAAGCACTTCCTCAACGGTCTTTTTCTTCTCTTCGGGATGCTGCTCACTCCACCTGGACACCCAGTAACCGTGGAAGTGTATGTCCTTGAAGATAAGCAGGCTAGCAGGAATCGTCAGCGGCTGCTTCGACATGGCCCCATATGTGACATAGTGTGCGCCTGAGGAGAGTAGCTTAGCCATGGCGGTCGCAGCCTTGCCGTTCACGCAATTGAGAGCGAGGGAGATGGGCTCCTTGCCGCCGTTGGTCCATTCTTTCGCCATGTCCTTGATGCCCTGGCTTTGCAGCTCACTGTCCGTTATCACGACAGTAGCGCCAATCTCTTTGAGTTCCTGCTTCAGCTTGTCTTCGGCCGCCCTGTCCTTGCGAGCTCGGATGACATTGACACTCTTCAGTCCCCACTCTCGCGCCAACTGTATTGCCGCACGTCCGACTCCTGAATTGGCACCGTTTTGGATAAACCAGTCACCCTCCTTCAGCAGTGAGAAATCGCGCAGCATGCGGTACGCCGTGCAAGGGTTGACGCTCACGGTTCCTGCTTGGATAGGGGTTATCCCCTCTCGCGCATGCTCCTCCAGCTTCAACAATTGCCCACTCGTAGCGCTTGCATGTGTCCTCCATGTTCCAAACCCGGGGGCTTTCATGATGACCCAATCCCCACGCTTGAAGCCTGCACTTTTTGCCTTATCTCCCAATGCGATGACTTCGGCGACACCTTCATTTCCACCAACTGCGATGGGGTTCGGGGTTCCTAGGGCGGTGGTGAAGGTCGGTTTGGAAGGGTATACGCCTTGGATTTGGTTGATGTCTGCGGGATTGATGGGGGAGGCTAGGAAGCGCAGGGTAAGTTGGTCGCCGTGAGGAGGGGAGATGGAATGTTTATGCAGTGAAAGAACTGAGGGGGGTTCGCCATAGTCTTGAAAGGTGAGCGCTTTGGCTTGAGTGTAGCCGTATGCGGAGATTGACCGCGTTTGTGAGTGTCGGACGTAGGTGGTGTGTCCATGGAGGGCGATTGGGCGGGCATGGCAGAGGGAGGGTGCCAGACTTGTTTTTGAGATGGCGAGGGAAGAGCGGAGAGCGCGGGATGCCATTGTCAATTGGAGGCACAGGCGCTGGACTGGGACTTTGACGTTGAAGAACTTTGTACTGAGACGTTGGGGAGCTTTGGAGCTATGACGTTGTCCCTTCAGCCGAGGCTGGGGCGCACGGTGGGATTCGTCTTCGACATCCAAGCTACTTGTACGCAGCATAGACCAATTGGAAAAGCACCTTCTAGTCCACTAGAGATTAGATTACCTATAGTCAGGCAGGGAACGTAGGTCAAATATTCTTCATTCTGTACAACAGAGTTACAGTGTCTATGTTGCCAGTTCGAAACCGGGCTTTATATCCAACCCTCCATGAGCATGAAGAGCCTATACTGTATGATTTATTTGGCCGGGCTCTAAGGGCCCTCTCCCTCATCGCGTATGACGGTGCTCGCACGTTCAATCTGTGCTTGCAGGTCCCTAATCAGGGCATCCCGCTCTTCGACCTCCTTTGCCCTCTGCACAAGCGCCTGTCGGAGTGTTGCGACCTCCTCCTTCAAACGTTCGATCTCGTCTTCCTGCCCAAAAACCCTATTCTGATCAGGGGTTTGTTGCACCACCAGTGCCGGGTCAATCTCCGAGACATCGTTCTCCCCATCCTCCTTCGCAGAAGGCTCAGGCGTCCACGTCGGCTCTCCCGCACCATCAGCCGTATCAGCACGAGTGGATTGCCCCGTTTTTCGTGCTCGTTTGATTTGTGCCCTGATATTATACACGTCCCGTTTTAATATGTGGATACCAGGAAGTCGTTCCTGGAGAATCTTGACTGTTCGCCCAACACCCCTGTCACGACCTTGTCCGCGGCCGCCGGCATACGCCATCTCTTGCTCTACAATCTTCCAAACCAGGCTGCCTCGCTCCATACTATGACTATCCGCTTGGGCTTGATCTCGTGGAGTATCCGAATGCTCTTCCGGCTCGTCTAACGGGTTTCTTTCATCGGTACTTCCTAATCGTTCCTTCTCTTCCTTAGCCGTTACTCCTCCCACTCCTACTCGACCTCCAAGCATACCCCAGGTTCGCTTTCTCTGCATTGCCCACTTATCCGGAGGACGACCGGGATGGTTGTGTTGCGGCTCACCAACCCGCAGAAGCCACGAGCCATCGTCTTGCTTCTTGCTTTCGACCCACATCCTGCATCCAGTCTTATAGCTGACGCGATTCTTCCGTATCCTCGTTTCCGGGGTGAGTTTATGGGTATTCTTCGGCGCGCCATAGCAGACGCATGCAAGCTTGATTCGTGACCGGTTCTTCGCCGTTGTATTTATGCTGAGCGCATACCCGTGCGCCGAGGCGTGCCTCTGCGCATAGTCATGAAGAGCTTGCCATGACGGGTGAACGCTGGCGGGCGGCGGGAGCATATCGAACTGTTCCGACGAAGTTATATTCTCTGCTATCGGCAGGTCGTGTGCCACGAAAGCCACCCTACTGGGGTCGGAAATTTCCTGAGCTGAGCCATGCCTTTGCGTCGTTGGAGAGGCGCCGAAGTAGGAGTTCTGGTGTTGACCTGAGCCGGCTACCACGTCGTGGGTTGGTGTCTCGCCCCGTTCATGTTCGAAATCCGGGATGTTATTCCCGATCGACGGGTCCACCGGCTGTGGCTCACCAGGGAAGGACGGAAAGGGAGGATATATCGACACATTGCTCTCAGTGTGATGAGCATGCGTGTGGAGTTCGGCAGACATGAGGCAGCTGCAGGTCCGTCCAGTCCTAGCTGGACAACCGCTCCGTAGAAGTTATTGGGGGCATGCGATGCAGTGTTCTTGGCGCTCATCACGTGCGATCCGGTTTGGACGATGTGGGAAGAAACTGCACTCGATGATATCTAATATTACCACACTGTATAAGACTGCAAAAACGAGGAATGCTCTTATCAGGTTTACATTGTACTTGAAGAAGTTGTGGTATTTGCCAAGCAGAAATCATTAGGAGTATTAAGTTCCTTTTGTCTCCAATTGGACTGTAACTGGCAACGTTGACGACGGAACTGAAAGCGCTTGTAAGTCTGCTCCCGTCTCCGTTGTCAGATGGCTTCACTTCGATACCGACGTATTCATATCTGTTAGATCAGGACCTAGGGCTTGTGGTGCCCGCTTCCCCCTCCTCCGCTCTCACTTCGGGCGTCTTCTGCTTTCCCCCTTGCTGGCCCTCGGCCTTAAGCTTGTCGTCTTCATCTGCGCCTTTCCCTCCCTTTTTCTCTTCCGCTTCATGCCACTTGCTCCATCTCTCTCTTACGCTCTCGATGAAACCCGCATCAGCTGTAATCTTCAAGTCCTTCCTTGTCGCGTCGTACATGACGACGTCATATACGACTATGATGGCCGTGACGCAGGATATGATCAAAGGCACCAACTGACTCGTGGATCTTATTGGTGATTTGGAAAGATCAATGTTGTTGGAGGTGAGTGTCAGTTGGACAAGTACAATACTGATTATAGAAGAGACTATGCATGACAAGCAACCAAACCCGCGGTAGAAGATGTTCTGCCACATGACGGTCTCCTTCCGGGCAGCCCGACCGGCTTCCTTTATCTCTTTTTCGGTGGGCTTGCGAACTTCGAGTGCCAAAGGGTCGTTCTGAACGGGAGGTGCTTTCGGAATCATTGTGCTAAATGCTTTCTTTCTGATGTCTCTGCGGGTTTTCCGGATGCCATCGTAGAAGATCCACACTGCGAAGACGAGGCCAATACAGCCTATGACAGCAACGCAGGCGGTAAAACGGAGCCATGAAAGGTACGCTGCATTGTATATGCTGATAGGGGCGAAGACAGGAAAGGTTCGAAGTTTTATGTCGCATCCTTCCTTTCTGCCTCTGTTCGCTGCCTTGAAATATAGCCAAGGGGTGGCTGAGAGATATGCGACCCATACAGCTAACACTATGCCCACGGTAATTTTCTCGCGTTGCCATAGCGGCTTCTGTTCCTTCCTGATCTCCTTATTCGCGAACTCTTCCGATTGAAGTACAATCAGCTCGGCTTCGTGTCGGTGGAGCCGTTCAGAGGCCTCGATGATGCCTTTGCGTTGCTCAGCGGACCAGTCATGATATTGTGAGAGGACTTCTATCATTCTCTCTTCGTAGATGCCTCGAAATGTCTCAAGGACATCCTGGCTGGCCGATAATCGCGCAGCGTAAGTCGCAAAGATACCGGCATCTCCAAGCGAGGCGCTTTGTATGAAATTGTTGACGGCAATGCGATAATTCTCTTCAGCTTGCGCATAATACGGATCGTTCATTCTGACAAGCGCTAGCTCCAGAAGGAAGCGCCGAACTTGCGTGTAGGCCTCCCTCAATCGTTCCATACGTTGATTCTTCTCAAGTTGAACTGCGCGGGCTTCGGATATCTTCGCTCTTAACGCCTTTTTTTCCTGCTTCATTTTCCATCCCATGAACTCGTAGTATAGGTAAGGCCACACGCTATACAGAGGGAGGATACCGATGAGATTCAGTACCATTTGCCAGTCCAGGATGACTACGTCGTCCCCTGTGGAGTTGATGCAGAGGTTGATGAAGAAAGCGATACTCAGGACGGTGAGTGTAAATCGAAATTGTCTTATGGCCTCGTCAAATTTGTACCACAGCGCGATGATGGCTGCCGCATATTGTATGTAGAAGCTCCAACGAACTCCTACCCCATAGAGGTCACCCTGGCCGAACAGATGGCATGGGTGATATGACTGCGCAACGACTTTGCCATCCGTCGTGACGAACTGGGTAGCAGAGGACATCTTCACATACAGTGCATTCAGAAGTCGCAGTACAAAGATTGGGATCTCTCACATCTCACGATCCCATTCATGCGAGGACGGAGCACTGCATATGAAGCTCAAGTCTATCCTATGGTATCAATATCTCCCGTTGCCCAGCACACCAACCTCTGCCTGTGCGGTCAAGAACGTGCACGCCACCGAATTTCAATAATGGGAGCTTTGTTGGCCAGGATGCTACATGCAAGGGGACCAGCTGCAACTTTTCAGCCAAAATCGCGTATTTTGGACCAGATGGGTAACCAGCACACCGCCCAATACCAGAGCCTGAGATTCCGCTGCCAAATCACACACGTCGGCGTATGCAATCTTTACTCTCAGCCAATCCTACGTAGACTCGAAAGCCATTTCAAATCACATTTCTGTAAAGAGAATTTTACACGCAGTCGCTTGATGGTCTCTCAATCGTGTCGCTCTGGTCCTCAGCCAAGCCACCGTGTTTATCTGCATGAGGCTCGAGAGTAGTGTGGACTAGAACAGCGGAGGTTTCCCATTTGGCTTAAGCCACGTACACAGAGCCAATTCGAAGGCCATCAACAAGGTGATCATGTCTTCAGCCTTGCCATTCGGACCAATGAAGCATCGCTGGTGCACTCCTCAGCTCGGAGAGGGAACTCCTTTGCCGTGGTGGCTGTTCTTGGCTCCAGCAATGTGATGTGACAACAATTGCATCTGCGAGGTTGACTTTCGTGGAGTGTTGGCTTTCATTGCTACCTAGGGTATCAAGTTTGAACAATTCACCGGGAGGGCAGCTGCGGGGGTACTGCGACCTGCCTATCTACCGACATCAACTACAAAACAAGTCGCTGGGAGCTTTGCGTGACGATAAAGACTAGTACAACCCAAACATGAGAGCATACAACTTTCTGAATCTCTTCTTCACTTTCAGCCTCGCATCCGCGACGCTGAACGTTCAATTCTCGCTTCCTCGAAACCCAACCCACTTCTTCAAACGTCAAGTCGGATATGGTCCAGAGTACGGTGATTGCACCACGGGGTTGACTTGCAAGGACTCATGCTGGAAGGATTACGAGCAATGCCCAGCATCAACAGACTTAGTGTTGTTCTGTTACAACCCTGTAGCAGGGCAGAAATGCTGCGACGATGGGAATGGGAGTACGTTTAGCACCTCATTGCGGCTTCTTATTGCTAAGCAAGAGTTAGAGGCATGTGATCGCGGCTACTACTGCACGCAAGACTCGGAGAATGAGACTTGGTGTTGTCCTGAGGTACGTAATCTCCTAGGGCATTTGTTCGATTTTATTGGCAATGGCTCATGGCAATTCAGGCACTGAGCCCAGAGGCATGTGCCTCGTCGTTCGGGTTTCCAAATCCGCTGAAGACTTCGGCGATATCTAGTTCGTCGTCTCCTTCGCCATCCGCTCTATCATCCACTTCAATATCCACGTCAGTGTCCAGTTCAACATCCACTGCCGCATCCACTGCAACATCTCCTTCAGCATCCGGCTCAACCTCTACTTCAGCCCCCACTGCATCGTTCACTTCAACTGGTCCCTCAACATCTATAAAGAACACAAGATTCCCGTCAACAACCACCGCATCAACCGGTATCACCACGATGAGCTACATCCCAACAATTACTCCCTTCATAAATACCACTACGCTGCCCAACAATACCGTGATATTCTTTACCGGCGGAGTCCAAGCCCTCAAGTTGCCGAGTATCTCATTTCTCATCTCAGTGTTGATGAGCTCAATGTTTGCGTTGTGCATTTGAGTGGGTGTTTCGGGCGGTTTGAACTGTTTGTGTAGCTGCTGAGAAGAAGTTCGCGGACTGTACGCTGTTAACGTCTAGTGGTATAATATCATGGTTCAGTGATTAGAATGAGATCTGCAACACTGCACGGCTTTGCCGTTGACGTTCGAAAGAAACGAAAATATACTACACATTAGGGTATAGAACGAGACGGCAGACCAACATCATCTATCCTGAAATGGCCAAGCCTTGATCCACTGTGCTCTCTCTTCCGGACTACCAGCCTCAGCATCCAGGAATTTTTCCTTGGCCTTCTGCAACCGCTCAGCCACGACGTCGTATTCATCGTGAGCAACAGCGCCGTCCCAGCCAGTGTATGCTCCGACATCTTCAATCACTCGCGCCTTTCGTTCGACATCCCTTTGCCACTTGGCCAGCTCTTCATTCTGTCGCGATCGTTCTTCATCTGTGTATGCCAGAGGGCAGGATACCGATCCGCCCACCTTGCTCCAAGTATCTGGCTCCGTGAGTTGTGCCAACAGGCTCTGAACATAAACCTCTCCGTCGTCAAAGACTGAACGATTAAGCCGAGCAACTGGCAAACCAGCGTGTCGCGGGAGTTAAGCACACGGAGCAACTCAGGGGTCTGTCGTTTGATATTGATCTGGTACAGGCTGTAAAAGGGCTGGGCCAGAAAAAGTGCTTTCGCTTGTTCTTTCTCGACGGGCTCCATCTCTTTGATATTCGGGGGCAATTGAGGGCTTGAGAGGGGCGGCAAGACAGGTCCATCGTATTCAACCAGGGAGGGATAGTGGACATGTAGAAAGGCGGGATGAAGGTGGACGCCCTGCCAATCAATGATGCCGGTAATCTCTGTCGGCCGGTCCGCGTTGACGAAAATGTTATCGCTATGCAAATCGTTATGCCATAGGACCGTGGCGGTAAATGCGTCCTCTTTTGGCATTATGTACGGAAGAACGCGGCTGCAGTCATTAAGAACTGACAACTTGAGAGCTTTTGACGGATGAAATCCACCTGGGCCGTTAAAGATTCCTTGTTGGCGGTCCCGCGGAAACTCTGGGAACGTCTCTAAACAGGCCATTTCCCGCTTTATGAGAGCTTTCATAACGTCCTCAGCAGTTTTCCCTAGAAGAGAATGATCAGCTTGTGATTGGTAGTGGAAAGGTAGTAGGTTCATACATGGACCACGGTCAATATCGACCTCTCCTCTTCGATCATCAAACCAAGAGCGGCTCGTTGTCGGTCCGACGCTGAACGTGTCATCAAGTTCAATACCACTACCACGTGGAATATCCCTTGAATAGTACAGTGAACCATAGCAGGGGAAGCGGGCCGTGTACAGTCTGGATGTGAAAGCCACTAGTTGCTTCACAATATCCACTCGCTCTTTTCCGGATAAACTGTCCCAAACGTGGCTGAGTTCGATTCCAGGACATTTCTCCATGATCAGGTACTCCGCCCCAACGCCATTCGTGCCTTCGCTTGTGTTGTATGTCAACACTTTGGGCACTGGGATATCGAGACGATCTCTGACCTGTAAGTCGAGTCAGTAAAGCCACTTGTAGAATGAGACAGATGTAAGATGGGGGGGAAGATTACATAGTCCATAGTCGCCACTTCGGAAGCGGTGGTATAATGAGAACGACCTGCGTTTGGGTTTGGCAACCGAGCGACCAGCTGACGTCCATCGTCCATCGTAGCCAAAAAGGCTTTGTTGAAGTTGCCTTCAGAAAACTTAGTGAGCTCTTTGCACGTTGCTCCAGGCCCGGCAGCATTTTGGAGTGCCTCTATCAAGGCTGTCATTTCGCATTTGAGATAGCGACGTTGAAGCTGCTCCGCTTCATTCCAAAGCCAGCGTTGTGCCTTGTACGTGAAGAGGTCATCCTCAGAAACGTTCTCTTGTTCAGTTAGAATGAATAGGCCGGGATGTATGCAAGAAGACCTACCGAACGTCTTCACCGTCGAAGAGCTCATCAGACCTTGCCGCGAAGATATCTCGGAGGTTGATGCTGAATGGGAGCTTCTCCCACGAAGCCATCTCGGTATAATATTATAGGACGGCCGACGAAAGACGTTGCTGCGCAGACGTAGGCGCGACAACATTATGAGTTCTCGTGTATCAGCAAATCTCATGAAGATATGAGTCTGCTACTTTCAATGCTGTTTGTTGATATGTGCCCAGCTATGCCGGACGCGAAAGGGTGCGCGCAGCGGTGCCCGAGCGCGACTTCGCTCACAGTGGGTACGAGGAGCAGGAACAGCATATATGAATCTTCCATTAAAGAACGGAAATGCACGTCTTGAATCTGTCCCTGCAAGGGACACTAGAGCCGTTCGATTTTGTGGATGAGCATGGACATAGTGCTGCCGCTTATTCGTATAGCTTTTGAATTCCCGACAGGAACCAAAATGAATCGACAGGAGTGCGAGGCTCGGTGTACTGTGGAAGAAGAGACGCGTCCCCGAAGCGTGAGGCGGCGAGGTCCCGCTTGGAGAGACGCTGGAGGGAACTATATCCTGAATGGGAACAACGGAAGCCCCCTCTCTTTTCAATTTAATCGACTCTTTTTATGTACATGACTTGAAGTCCCACTAGTTTCAGGAACGCATTATTAGTGCCAGTGAATGTACCTACCGCGTGCTTGCTACTCGATCCCGTCTTCTTTGGGTTTGGTTACTGGCCCGTGCGCATCGCGGTCTCGATGACGTCGGCATGTGATGCCGACAGAGAGGACGAACATTGAAATCGCTCCCGAGGTCTTGCCAATCTCATGGGACTCTCACGCGCCAACGCATTTCGAATCACCGGATGATGAGAGCGGCTCTATTCTTGGGCCGTCCATGTCTGTCTCAAGGGCTCCGGTCCTGTTCGACCGCAACGACATGCATACGGTTCCGTTCCTTCACGTCCGGTCATTCCTCCGGTTTCTCCTCGTTTACGAGGCGATACTTCGCGAGACCCCCGTTCTCTAAAGGCAGGATATTATGGTCTAGCGCTGCAGGCGCAAGTGCGGCAGCCCTTACCCCACTTGCGTTCGTAGCTCTGGGGAAGAATGAGTCGGAGAATGGAGGCATGACACAGGAGGAGGCGATGCTTGCGGCGTCGAGGAAAGAGCTGAGGGAACGGGTGCCAAAAGCACTGCAGAACTCGAAGAAGATACGGCGGGGCATCTACTTTTTCGTTGACCTCTACATCATCGAACCAATTGCCACGGCCTTTCGCTTTCTGCACCTAGTGGTCATATTCACACCAGTCCTATTGACGATACCGGTCATTTGGCTAGGAAAGAGACAACGGGATAGAGATAACGAAAGGAGCGGAACTCTCTGGTGGTATGGCTTTCTGGTGCGGTCGATGGAGCGTGCAGGAGCCGCATTTATCAAGGTAGTGCCTTTTCCCACGATAGAGCTTCGTAGTCTGACCATGTGTAGCTTGGGCAATGGGCGGCTTCCAGGACGGATATCTTCCCTGCTGAACTGTGTCTTACCATGTCCACCTTGCACTCGAACGCGCCGCCCCATTCTCTCGAGAAAACCAAGCGTACCATAGAAAAGGCTTTTGGTGGTCTTCCCTTCGATGAGATTTTCGAGGAGTTCGATGAAACACCGTTGGGAGTGGGTGCCATTGCTCAAGCATATAAGGCGAAACTAAAACCTGAACTTACCGCACCTCTTCAAGACACATTGCAGTTCGGGCCGGCAAACCTGCGACAACGAATCAAAAAGAACGTGGATGTGACACTAAAATACTCCCCTTCGAGAGTGCCGTCTAGCCATGTCGCTGTTAAGGTGCTACACCCGAAGATTGAGAGGATTGTACGTCGAGACCTGAACATCATGGCCTTCTTTGCTGCCCTCATCAACGCAATACCTACCATGGAGTGGCTATCATTTCCGGACGAAGTTGAGCAATTCGGAGAAATGATGCGATTGCAGCTAGACCTACGAATCGAAGCCGCCAATCTCACGCTCTTCCGTCAGCATTTCAAGGACCGTACCACTGCCTGGTTTCCCTATCCATACTCTCAGTACACAACGCGGGAGGTTCTGATCGAAGAGTTTGCGCAGGGAATACCGCTCGAGGCGTTTCTGCAGAACGGAGGCGGCGTTTTCCAGAAGGATATTGCCAACGAGGGTCTGGACGCTTTCCTGACCATGCTCCTGATTGATAACTTCATTCACGCTGACCTCCATCCGGGAAACATCATGGTGCGCTTCTATCAGCCCCAGAAACTGGACGTCTCCATTTTCAGTCGAAAGGAAGACAGGACCACCGGACCCAAAGACTCACCTGATGTCACCGAAGAAGTGCTCCAGCGGCTACGACCCTATATGAAGAATCCGAAAGAGTGGAGGAAGACTCTTCAAGAAATCGACAATGAAGGGTACCGGCCTCAGCTTATCTTCATCGATACGGGACTCGTCACTCAACTGAATTCTGTCAATAGAACTAACTTCCTCGATTTGTTCAAAGCAGTGGCAGAGTTTGATGGCTATAAAGCTGGCCACCTGATGGTCGAGCGCTGCAGGCAGCCTGATGCCGTCATTGATCCAGAAGTGTTTGCATTACGGATGCAGCATCTTGTCCTCGGAGTAAAGAGCCGTACCTTTGCATTGGGCAACATCAAGATTGGAGACATCTTGAATGAAGTGCTTTCAATGGTACGAAATCACCACGTGCGCCTAGAAGGGGATTTTGTCAATGTGGTGCTCAGCATTCTCCTGCTAGAGGGTATTGGCAGAAGTCTCAACCCTGATTTGGACCTCTTTGCAGGGTAAAACCAACTCCCCCATCAGTGGAGACTGGGATACTGACAGACGATTAGTGCTCTACCTATATTACGGCAACTAGGCGCGCAGAGTGGCGCATCGATGATCCGCGGCGGCGATTTCTCCATGCTTAAGGTGTGGGCTGGGCTGGAGGCTCGTAGTTTCCTGCAAGCCTCGGCTGAAGCTGTAGGTACATGCGAGATATCATTCAAGCACTTATTAACATGGACTAGGTGGAACGGTGTGTCAAGTCTGACCAGCTCTCTCCTAACATTTGATGCATTCTCCCCTCAATATCCAATGGAACAGCATAGTCAACACCCGAATTGCTTCTTGGCCTTTCCACATATACCCATCTTCTGCTTCTACCATTGTACATAGACTGTTATCCGGATATCCGTTTTGCTGGACATTGACGACGCTGGTTGCCGCCGAGCCTGTATGATAGTAAATATGATGATGCCGTGGAGCCCATGACAGTTTAGTCTCCCATCCTATAGGTATCCGTGATATTCAAAATCCAGAACGCCGCGCCATGCAATAGTTTCTCAAACCAGTTCACTCGTCCATTTGCCATGCATACTCCAACCGCTCCACATCCGCTCTCCGATTGCGACTCTTGAACCACTCCCTCTCAAACCCATTACTCCTATCCACCCCATCCCATCTATGGCCCGGCCGGATATTATAACGATTCGGCGGAAACGCGCCCTGATACAACGGTTTCCCCGTCACGCTCCTCCCCTCCTTCTTCTTCTTGATGAAGCCCATAGCCGGATCATTCCACCGATCCCGCTCCTTCAACTCCTCATTCAACTCGACATCATCCGCATACCTCGCCACAGTCAAACCCTTCGCATCCTTCAACTCGTCCCTCCGCCTCGCCGCCTCGGCATTCTGCACATCCCCCCTCGCCGCCCTCTCCAACTCCCTCTTCTTCCTCTCCTCCTCCTCGGCCTTCCTCCTCGCCTCGGCCCGCTTCATCGCCACATTGATGATCCTCCCGCTCGCATCGCGATAAATCGTCTCGCCGGGCCCTTCCTTGGCCGCCGCCGCCGCCTTCCTCGCCTCCTCATCCGCCTTCGCCTTCTCCTGCGCCGCCACCTGCGCCGCGCTCTGCAGTCCCGCGCGCGCCCCGGACTCCATCCTCAGCACCCCCTCCGTGTCCACCATTTCGGGTGCTTCGTCCTCAGCCTCCTCAGCGCGCTTGCGCTCCGCGGCCGCAGACGCAATGATGGCGTCTGCAGCGGCTTGATCGGCGGCGATTTGCTGTGCGGTCGAGGGCGCGGCGACGCCGACGGTCGTCCATGTCTGCGTCGGGGCTGACGGATCTTTCCATTCTTTCTTGTTCTTCTTTGACTTCTTCAAGGAGGAAAGAGGTATGTTTGCAGTGGATCCGACGATCATCGGTGCATCTTCGTCGTCCGAGGAGGCATGGGTCTTGAGGACGGACAGGTCGTCGTCGTCGTCGATGATGAGGTCCTTGTTTTTCCGCTTGCGCTTTTTGGATTTCTTTTCTGTGTCGGCGGTGAGGTAGTTTTTGGCGAGGTAGGAGGCTAGGTCGGACATTCTTTTTTCTTTAGGATGGAGGTTGGGAGGAGAGGATGGTTGATGGAGCTTTGGTGGGAGTGGATGCCAAGATTGATGTAATTTCTTGGCAAAACCAAGGAATTAGTCACGTGAATTGGCGCTCCCGCGTTTGACTTCAAAGTCGCGACGGAGGCCTGAGAGTCACAAGACAAGGTTCTGCACAACCGTGTCTCGTTCTGCATCGACCGGAAGCATCATGGCACGGGGCGAACGATCGGAAGAAGTATGGGCTTGGTACACGGCAGTCTACGAAGCCGTTCAGGAGATACCATATGGGCGCGTCACAACCTATGGGCACATTGCGAGACTGGTCGGCAAACGTACGAAAACCCGTATCACTCACGAAATGAGAAAAACATGAACTAACACGCACGCAGCTGAATGTCCAAGGTACATATCAAAGACACAAGATGCAAACGTAGCGATACCTCTGACGCATGCGGTTCTTGAAGACAGGTCGGAGTCTGCCTGAAACACCTCCCTTCTCCGTCGACGGATCCCACGAAGCCGAGCTCGACATTCCACAGCGGGAATGTGCCGTGGCAGCGCGTGATCAATGGCAGAGGCGGCATCAGTCCCAGGTATGTGCTGGACACTCAGACACTCGATCTCTTTGTCGTTCGTGACGGTTCTTTGTTGACATGGTCAAAGAGGACCGTCTGGCGCCTCGCGACAAGCTGCCGCTCTACGGGCAGAAGGGGTAGAAGTGGAACAGGGATCCATGGGCGAGTTTACCGTTAACCTGGAGAGGTTTGGGTGGTTCCCGGATATGCTGCCCAGCGAGGCTGCGCTCGTCGAGGGCAGCGATGAGGAGGACGAGGAGGATGAGGAAGCTCGGGATGAGGCTGCTTACCACACTTGAGATGGGAACTCGCGAGACAAATCGCATGTGACAGACCGAGAGGCACGTTTCGGCTCATGTGTGGTCGAACGGATCACACTCCAAGACTACTTGGCGGATATGTCGGATGGAAGCCTGGGCGGCACAGCTGCTCGTGGTAGGACGGGGAAACCTTATTGCTCTCTCGCTGCGACGGGATGACTCGCCCGATATGGCTGCAGTCGAGATAGGAAGACGCCGGACTGGGGAATGGGTGGGGGGCGAGCTTGTTTAGGGGAACATGAGGGGGAAGCGGGCACGTCCGGGCGGCTGTGCTGTGCTGAGATTCGAAAGCGCGTGCTTCAAGGCAGCCACTTCATAAGCGTAGGCCGATGGAGAGGAGACAGGATACTGAGCAATCAGAGTGGTTGTTGAGGGCGCACCAGCATCTACGGCACTGTGATGGAGCAGATGAATGCCAAGGAATGTCAGTGGGGGAACCGGCATTGGATCTGTGGATCTGATCACGAACTGCATCTCCTCCACCAGCTCGACCTGATCATCGAATGCCGACCTCAGCCACTACAGTACGAACCTGCTCAGCCTCCAACGAACCGCCCACGTTTGTTTTGCGCAACCAAGGCGATGGCAGTGTCGTCACGTCAGTCCGACTCATCAAGGCGTTCGCCAAACAGGAACCGGGAACGGTCGAAGATGATGCCTCGGCGTTGAGCTTCGTCACAGGACCGCAGCCAACCCTCGCTGCTTATCGTCGCCCAGTCCCGAGTCCGACCAGTTCCAGGCACAACAAAGGCTTGGTGGGAAGGCCATGCGCCCTCGCCCTTTGAGACCCGACCTACTAATAAAGGCGCGCCGCAGCGTTGCAGGGAGCCCTTTCATGATATGACTGTTGATATGATGACACCTCCTGCTGCCTCCAACAACCCGCGCTTAGACCATCAGCGTACTTAACACAGTAGGGAACCCGTTCCACCTGATACTGAGTCACACTCGTTCTGGAAGAGAGTCATCTTCGAGACACTGCCCACTCACCACTCGGAAGCTTCGCTGTATAACCTTCCCTACCGCCTTCACTCCCTCCCGTCCCCCCTGCCTAGTCCACCTCGTTTGCCTCCCTCCTCCCGACAATCGCCCCTTTCGTCGACAACTTCTTCCTCTCTATCACCACACCTAAGACCTCCCTACACACCTCCTACATCCAGCAAGACACATACCCACACCCAGTCAAGCACCCGTTCGGCAACACCATGGCGTCCGAGACCAGCGATCTCCGCAGCGGCTCCAAGGAGCATCGACGAGATAAGGAACGCAAGGTGAAATGGGCCTACGGAACCTCCTTCGGCCCAGGACGCCGCGCTGAGGACAACCGTCCTCGACCAGCACGTATCGATCCTGTCTGGAGGAAGCACAATGGGTGCGTCTACCTGACCCCTTCACGCTCAATAATCGAGACCCTAACTTGTTCCACTATAGGCTTCCCAAAGGCGAGCAGAAAGTCCGAGCCGTCCTGAACAACGATATCCACACCGCTAGCGGCGAGTCCTCTGCCGACGAAGACATCGAGGAGCCGTCGGCTGCCCCTGCGCCCGATGCAGAGATCACATACTCGTACGACGCTGAGAGGGGGCCCAGCCACGGCAGCCAGGTCCTCGGCCTTGCCCTTGCAAAGGCGATTGAACGATACGAGGTTCGCCAGACAGACAAGTTGATCAAGGAGGAGTACGAGGTGTTGGACGCTACCAGCGAGGCCCTCGCCGGACCCCGGACGGTGAAGAGGCCTGAGGATGAGGACTACGAGTTCGTCGAAGCTTGAGATCCTCCTCTCCTTTCCTCTACGATGCGGCTCTTTCCACTTTTTGACATACGGCATTAGCGGGCTCAAGGTTGGTTTCCCACGGCGTTTATTGACGGCATCATCCTCTGGACATCTTTGTACATGCATGGGATGAGTTCACGGCTGCATCAACAGGCGAGCGAATGGCGCTTTCCTAGGACTTGAGCGGCATTCTGATCGGTTTGGGTTTTATGGCTCTTATGCTTTGACCTTTGCACTCTGTGCTTTGTCTTTCATGCAATGGCTTTTGCAAGCGATGGCTCTGAACGAACTCTCACATTATATTTTCAGCTTTTACTAGCCTGAATGATAATTCTGAGCGGGTAGCATGAATTCATGCTACTCCGATGAGATAGATCATTCCATGTAGTGACGACACTCTTACTATTCTGCTTACTGTTGTGATTGCCCATTCTGCCGTCCTATCCCAAAGAGGAAATAATCCGCTCGGAAGTTCTACGTCATGCCGCAAACCCCAGCAACTCCGACCTCAGAGTTGACGCGTCCTCACCACCCCGTCCATCGCTCCAATGATCATTCTGCCTATCACTCCTTCTTCCTTTGCCGAGCCTGCTCCAGTAGGGCAAGCGGGAGGGAGGCCATGCGCCACGTTCGTAATTGTCAAGTACTGTCCTCCTCTCTCATCTTTCGAATTTGCTTTGCCCCTATCTCCTATCACACCACCAACACAGCTCCGTTATCCGTCTCCATAGTCCGGGCGAAAAAGGAGAGACAACTAACACCACAATCCAGACCCGCGTAGTACAACAGACACTCCTTTACCAATGCCTGAAGGCGACGACCGCCCTCGATGGATGCTCCACCTCCAAGCCCAAGTCTGGCGCTTCCTCATGTCCATCGGCATGACACTGCACCGACAAGCGCCCCCTCGCCCTCCAAATCCCGCATTCACCCGCACCGTTGACGCGACCGTCTCACCCCTCAAAGGCCGCTTCCGCATCCACTTCTACGTACCAAAGGACTACAAATCCCAGCGCAAACTAAAAGGCACCAAACGCTACCCGTGCGTCGTGAATTTCCACGGCGGGGGCTTCGTACTCGGCACCGCGACGGACGATGCGCGCTGGATCGGCGCCGTGGTGGAACAGGTGGATGCCGTGGTCGTGAGCGTGGATTATCGCCTTGCGCCCGAGTATCCCTTCCCGACGGCTGTGGAGGACGGGGCCGATGCAATCCTGTATCTGGCGAAGCATGCGGAGGAGTTCTTGCTGGATACCGAGCGGTTCGCTGTGAGTGGGTTTTCGAGCGGGGGCAATATGAGTTTTACAGTACCGCTTTGTTTGCAAGGGGAGCTGCTGGATCGGACAGCAAAGGGGGAGAAGATAGAGGGCAGTCATGCCGGAAGCACGCCGGCGAGGGTGAAGGTGGAGGCCAACCCTGGGGCGGCGGTGCCGAAGGTACAGGTGGAGGATAGTACAGGAAGGTCAAGGCCCCAAACGCCGCAGGTGCTGCAGGTGGAAGATTCGGCTGGCAATGGGGAGACAATCGTCCCCGTGGTGACGGCACAGGATGACGAAAGAAGTCTGAATATCTCCAATGTACCCTCCTCGACCTCCGACGGCACCGATGTTAACGGCAACTCCAACCCAAATTCAAACACAAAGGACAACCCCCATCCCAGCACCGACCCAGACTCCAAATCCCTGAGACCCTTACTCCCCAGCCGGAAACCCTCCCGCAACCCCCTCACGCGCGCCAACTCCCGCCTCGACCGCATCGCCTACCTCCGCCAAACCGGCACCTCCTCCCTCTCCCTCGTTTCCTCGTTAAAGGACGCTTCGGGCCCCTCCGTCTCCATCACCACCCCCTACGGCACCTCGCTCAAAATCCTCGGCATCATCTCCTTCTACCCGCCAACCGACTACACGCAAACGCGCGAGCAGCGGCGCCAGACGTGCGTCCGGGCCGACCAGAACCTGCCCGCCGTCTTCACCCGCCTCTTCGACGACTCGTACCTGCAGCCGCCGTCGCTCGACCTCGCACACCCCTGGCTCTCGCCCGGCCGCGCGCCCCGCGAGATGCTGCAGGTCCTGCCGGACGATATCGTCATGATGTGCTGCGAGTGGGACATGTTGCTTGCCGAGGGCGAGCGGTTCCGGGACAGATTGAGGGGAGAGGTCGGGAAGAATGTGCGGTTCCATTGTGTGCCGGGCGTGCCGCATGGGTGGGATAAGGCGCCGAATCCGCTGAGGGAGAGTCCAGGGGCGAGGGAGCAGTATGGGGTTGCTTGTGGGGAGTTGAGGAGGATGTTTTATGGGGAGGATGAGGGGGAGGGGGAGGGGAGGGGGGTAGAAGGGTAAGGGGGAATAAGTTGAGATGGATGGGTTGGGGAGGTTTTGTTTCGATAGTGTGTTTGTATTAGGTCTGGAGTTTGGGCGTCAGGGCGGTTGAAGGGGTGGAAATTGGTACACGGTTTGCATGGGCTGTTATATACTTACAAAGCTCATAAGGCATGGGTTGACAGGTATCAACGGGGCCACCACAGGGCCAGCATACCAACATCGTTCTCAACTTGATGTAATGCCAACTCAGCCCCTAGGAAAAGACCTAAAGCTATCCCATGGGTGATCCCAGCCGTTTCACCTTCATCAACTCGCCTCGTACTATTCCACTCAACGAAGCCAAGAGTGGCGCACAATGGGCGTTCTCCTAGGTGCTTTACCAAAACAATTGACTCACTGATGAATTTCAGTCTCATAGATCTCAACACTGTTTCCCTCACCTTTCTTCCCTACCCGTCTACGGTAACAAGCCACCCATCACCACATCACCCATCACCAAACACTTTCCCACCCTCATCCACACCCCCCTCCCCCAAACCCTGGAACCCACGGCCATCGCCACATCCACCTGCATCCCCTTGGCCAGAGTGAAACGTGCCCTGCGCCTTAAAGGCATGTTGCTCGTCTTCACACAGGTCCCTTAGCTTTAGCTCCTCGTCTCCGGCCGGCTTCTCCGCGAACAACGACGAGGAGGCGAGGAGGTACCGAGGTCCAAGGGTCCTGTACCATAGGCAACGAAGGGATTTGCTGGTTTCTCTAGATCTCTGATGGAGAAGAGAGGGAGGTATACTCCGTGTATGATCCATTCTGTGTGTTTTTTCCCTTTCACACTTTGCTGGGACTGGGACTGGTTGACTGTAGAATGGAAGTGCGAGGGATTGCACTTTAAAACGGCAGGGGAAGGGTATCCTCACCACCTTTACAAGAGATATGGTACGTACTGTTTATTTAGTGACGCCTACAGGTAGGTGTAAGGATTTAAGACGGCTTAGCATGTCCTGTGGAGCCCCCCTTATGCATAGTGTATCCAACAATCGTGTGTTCGATGTACACGTCCCCAGGCTACACCTTACAGACCTCGAGATATGCACAGGGGAAAAAAGCGAAGATGACAATAGCCAAACAATTCGAAAAAGGGTATTTCATGCTCCTCCAGAAAAAACCCCCCCATCAGATCTCAAAACGGAATATTCAAATCCCACTCCTCGCCCCTCCCCGCCACCCGCCCAACCACACACCGCACCTTCCGCCTCGTCCTCTCCTCCATCCCCCTCGCATGCTCCAGGAAAATATGACTCATCAGCGCCTCCACATTCCCATACACCCCGGACTCGTGGCCCTCGACCGAGCAAACGAGACATCCGAGATTGGCGTGGAAATGGTCGCGCTCGCCATTGATGGTGCACGAGTACGTGGCCGGCGACAGCGACGACGTATTCATCGGGTCGAGCTGCGCGATGGAGCGAACCCGTGTCTGGACGGCAGGGGGAGAGGGAGATGACGAGGAGAGGGATATGTTTCGTTTCCGGACGTGCGATTTCGCCAGGAAGATCCAGCGGTACCGGATCCCGACCGCGCTGGTGTAGATCTCCGTATCGATTCCCAGTTGCTCTTTTCCCTTCTTGCGCCTCTTTTGCTTGCCCTCGCCTTCACCCTCGTCATTCGCCGTCGTCGAGGACAGCGGGATAACGGCGCCTCGAAACCGGCACTCCTTGCACTGCCACACCTGGTACGTGTTGTACATCCCATCGGGCAGGGATTGAAGCGTTAGGCCGCGTGTCGGGTCCGAGGACGAGGCAGTCCGGATCGCCCAGGCGCCTTTGCAGAAGGGGGCGAGCGTCGCGGGTTTCCTCGAGCTGGACGCGCTCGAGAGTGAGCGCAGGGACGTAAAGGATTTCGAACGGGAGGGGGGATGGCTACCCGTTGCTGGTAAGGAGGTGGTGGAGACGGCGAGATGTGTGTGCACTGTTACTACTCTGGTTGCCGGCTTTTCTGGTACCGTCGACGGGGAGGGATTTGAATGTGTGAAGAGCGCGGCGAATTTCGCTATCCCGGTTTTGCTGGGCTTGGATGAGGATGCAGGTGGACGCTCCGGGTCGGGCACGATGTGGATACGTGTATGACCGGCCTTAAGTTTGCCCTTCTCTTCTTTGATCGGCGTCCGCGGCCGATGGGGAGCTCGAGCCGGTGCTTGCGGTGGCGTGGGAGCGTGTTGGAGGACGGCGTAGGGTGCGGGGCGCGGGCGTGGGATCGTTGGTGCGACGTCTTTTGGTGGAGGGGGCGGCGGACGGGGCGGCGGAGGGCCGTACGACGTCGTTGACCATAATGAGGGAGGCTTTCGTTGCTTGTGGACGGACAAAGGAAGCTCTTCGGACGCGAGAGATGTGAGTGGTGAGTAAGGTTGTGATGGAGTGCTGTCGGCTTCCTGGCTGTAGAGTGATTCCGGCACTCCGTTCGAGTAGACCGAACTCCCTATAGAACAAACCTCCGGATCCGAGTCGTTCGCGGGTTCCGGCTCACCTTGCGGATAGGTCTGGAGGTAGGGCTGGCTGCAGAATAGTTCATGATTGAACGACAAGCCGTCATCTTCGACTCTGCGGTGGTGATGGTGGGGTTGAGGAGTCCTTGCCGAATGACTGCAAGCGTAGCGGGATCTGCTGAATATGTCTCTCCTGAGAGCAGGGTACTCCAATTCCTCTGCCGCCTTCTTTTTATTTTCACTAGGTGACGTCGAGGACATATCCCTTAGCAACTCCAGCGCCTCTCTGTTCAACTCCAGGGTGTTGCGTTGCAAAGCCCACATGTCCGTGGCGTTTAATATAGTCCATGTGTCCCTTTTGGTTCCCGTGTCGCTTAGATGGAGGCTTTGATAGGAATGTATGACTTTGTCGATGTCTTTCATTATTGCGGTGCCTTTGGGGGTCGTGTTGGTGGTGGGACTGCTGCTGGTGCTGTTAGATGTACTGGTAGATGTACTGGTAGAAGTACCGGTAGAAGTACCGGCAGTGGTGCTGGCAATGGTGCTGATGCTTGGACTTGTGCTAATTGTAGGACTCGTACTGGTACTAGTCGCGATGGTGTTCGTAATACTGCTACGGTTGTGGGTAGCGGTGCTGGTAGAAGTTCCGGCAGCGGTGCTGGCGATGCTCCTGATGCTTGGACTTTTGCTGATAGTAGGACCTGTAGTGGTACCAATAGCGATGGTGTTCGTGACGCTGCTACGGTTGTGGGTAGCGGTGCTGGTAGAAGTTCCGGCAGCAGCGCTGGCGATGCTCCTGATGCTTGGACTTCTGCTGATGGTAGGACTTGTAGTGATACTCGTAGCGATGGTGTTCGTGATGCTGTTACGGTTGTAAGTATCAGTATTGATATCGAGGCTGGTATCGGTGCTGGTATCGAGGCTGGCATCAGTGATGTTGTTGATACTGCTATCGGTGTTAGAGCAGTTTTGCAAGACACCGGGCGTCTCTGGATTGTCGCTGGTGCGGGGGATGCCTTGGAGGAGATGGTTTAAGCCGGGGCTGAAGACTATGCTATCCTCTGAAGGGGTCCGCCAGTGCGAGTTGTCCTCTGAGTAAATGGATGAGGCGTTCGAGGGTCGACTCATGCTGAAGTACTCCGTCGCGTACTATTGTTTTGTGACACAGGACCTCTTGAAGCTCTATGCACTTCAGAATCCAGGGCGATGTCCGGAGTCCGCTGTGTGTCGCAAAGATCTTCGGTTTCATGTCTCCCAAGATGCAGAAAGACACAACTCGGTTGTCACCCACGTGTTTATGAGATCCATCCTGCACCCCCTAATCTTAAAAGGGAATATGAAGGCGCTCATGGCAACCGTATTCGACAATCGGATGATATCAGCAGCAAGACGCGAAAGCCATGATTGCGCGCTAATTAAGGTAATAGGTGTTGCATTTCCAGTTTCGATCATACTTTGGTAAGTGGCGGACTTCGGGGATGTAAGACGACGGTGGACGGGCCATGTCCAACACGCACCATTTTCCTATCACACCAATCCGTGGTGAACGCGAGGTCCACTCGCTGGAACTCTGCGCAAGGGGTCGATGACTTGGAAAATAATGGGGGCTGTTATTCCTCATAAGATGCAGTTGCGTTCTTGTTGCGCAGACTGCGAGTCTGGGCGTAGACTTTGGCCCCCAGTGGTACAGCGTTCTGCTGCCCATTTCGATATCAATAACACCTTGCCTAAGCTAAGGAGCCATCTTGTACAATACTTGTACTTAAGGGACCGATAGCTCTTAAAAGTAACGTAGTCGAAGCCAGTCAGGGTGAAAGGCACCTGTGCGGCCGCTGTCAGCGAGAGATCGAAAAACGATGATAGTCGGAAAGTCGTGAAATCGAGAAAAATCCGTCACAGTCGGGGCAATCCAAATAGTGATCCAGCCTGTGAGCGATTCTCATTCTTAGAAAACGATCCTGCTCGTAAGTAACTGGTACTGTCAAATGGTGCGAAACCGCCCAAGTCTTCCATCTTCGAACCGCCTGCCATGCATGACAAGAAGCCCGTGTGCACGGCAATACCGAGGGGTTCTCATTCGCTTGGCCGCAGCTAATAGCTGCAAAGATCATAAACGCTGAACTGAATACAATTGCTGCAGTTCCGACGTCTTCTAACTTCAACGTGAGGTGTGGTGGAGTTGGTGTTGACATCTGGAGGGGCCCATTCATCATGAATCTCGTGAATTGAGGCTAGTACCAATACGGAATAGTAAAAATGGCCCGTGCAGGCACACAGCATCTCGAAATTTGCGAAGTCGTCGATTTTCGAGATCCAACCCACGACGGAACGAGCTGCAACAATGGCGCCCAAGACGTAAGTGCGTTCTTCTCCGGCAACAGGACTGAATACAGGCTGCCATATGGTTTCATTGCGGTTCCAAGGACATGTTATACTGACGATCCTCTTTCTGCACAGGAGCGTTCCCACCCAGAACGACATCCTCGTCCCCGAGACGCTCCTCAAGAAGAGGAAGTCCCAGGAGAAGGCCCGCGAGGATCGCGCCGCGGCGACCAAGGAGAGAAGAGGTACGGCGAGATTTACAATACGCACGTGTGTGGAGGTTCGAGAGGGCGATTCGATGATGAAGACCAAACCAACATTATCGGCTAGACCTTCGGGTCGATGTTGTCGAACCGTTAACCATCTTTCGGGACTGATGAATTTGCCCTCTCGAATCCGCATGGCGTATTTCACGAATTTGGAGCAATGGGGCTGATGATTGGACAGAGAAGAACAAGAAGAAGAGGGAGACCATCTTCACCCGCGCGGAGAAGTACGTCAAGGAGTACCGCGACGCTGAGAGGGAGAAGATCAGGCTTGCGCGCGAGGCCAAGCAGAATGGCGACCTCTACGTTCCCGCTCAGCCCAAGCTCGCCTTCGTCATCCGCATCAAGGGTATCAACAAGATTGACCCCAAGAAACGGAAGACGCTGCAGCTCCTCCGTCTTCTCCAGATCAACAATGGTGTCTTCATCAAGTTGACCAAGGCCACCTCGGAGATGCTGAAGAGTACGTCCAACGAAAGCTGTCATGCGCCTAACAGTTTCTAATCCCGTACAGTCGTCGAGCCCTACATTGCTTATGGCTACCCCAACCAGAAGTCCGTCCGTGAGCTCATCTACAGTAGGCATAGCGTATCCCGTATTTCCCGCTCACGCTGACCATTTCGTAGAGCGCGGTTATGGCAAGGTCGACAAGCAGCGGATCCCGCTGACTGACAACGAAATCATTGAGCAGCAGCTCGGCAAATACGGGTGAGACACGGTCGTCTCCTGTGAGCTGCATTACTGGTGAAGCTGACCTAAGCATAGTATCATTTGCGTTGAGGATTTGATTCACGAGAGTAAGCCTGGTTCACCGTCTCAATTGAAACCGAATGCTAACGTGTATCCGCAGTCTACACTGTTGGGTTAGTCAAGTGACCACGCGTGATGCAGAAGAGCACACCACTCACATGTATGCAGACCCAACTTCAAGCAGGCGTCCAACTTCCTCTGGCCCTTCAAGCTCAGCAACCCGACTGGCGGCTTCCGGCCGAGGAAGTTCAAGCACTTCGTCGAGGGGGGTGACCTGGGCAACCGCGAGGAGCACATCAACAAGCTCATCAAGCAGATGAACTAAAACGTGCACGTGGGGTAAGGGATTGGGGGAAAGCGGGAGTGCGGCATTACGACAAAGCGATCCCATCTGAGGGACATGGGGACAGGTTTCCGGAAAATAGCATGGGGACACTTGGTCTCACCCAATGGTGTTCCGGAGTCCAAAAATGGAAAGAAAGCCATTTACAACGTCATCACGTGCAGATGTGCATCAATGTTCCTCAAATATCGTGGTGTTTGATTGAAGGGGGGTTTCGGATAGTGAAGGGGAATTAATTGCAACACGTACGTTGTAACAAAGGGAGTATAGCGCACTATCGCAAACACGACTTCACGAGAGAGACAGATGTGTGGGTGTCCGGAAGCTCATCCGATTCCATGTTCTTCTGTTGTCGCCTGTGGTGCTGTTTCTGTTGCCTGGTTTCCGCCATAATGGACAGCCATGGAGGGGATGACACCTCACCATTGAGGAACGTTGCCAATTGTATACACGGTACAGTGTACAGCCACTCTTAGGATAATCGTGCGGTTATGTACTCTTATTATACGTTGTGTGCAATTCAAGAGGGGTGTTTTCAACGGCTGGGACGGGGTGACGTCGGCTCGCAATTCCGTCAAAGTGATTCAACGTACGGAGTACTGTGATAAATAACCACTACATACTGTCTCGGCAGCAGATGACTTATTTATAGCGGAACAGGAGATGCGACGATCGTTGTCCCCGTAACGCCAACGAGAATTGAAAATTGAAGAAAATTGAAAATTGAAAATCGAATATTGGAGTGGCGGCGACAAAGACCGCAGCTTGTCGCCGCAACGCGAAGTTGTGGAGGAGGAAAGAAATGGTTCCACTCAAGGTGCGGTTGATTACGCATGTACTTCGGGCCAGAGCGGGCTGCAGTTGGCTTCCAAGCAAAGTCAAAAAACCCACCTTTCAAAAAGTGTTCAGTCTGGTCGTGATGCCCATAATGCGCGAGTACGCATCCACCATCACCAAGGGACCTAACGGGGCAAGCAGCATGCCTTGCTGGAAAGTGAAAATTGTGCGTACCACAGAACATACCCACTCGCATCCCCCGTACACAGTACAGAGTACACACTTCTGGCATCCCGCACGAGCAGAATGATGCGCGGGCGGAACACATCCAACCATGGACTGACAACCCACGAGTCCCCGCGCTCATCCCGTTGCTGCTCGCATCGCGGCGTCGGCGGTTCGTAAGGATCGGCCATTTGCGGAAAAGCGCTCACGGGTCGCGGCTCGTTGGGCACGCAAGGCCCCTCGTTGCAACTACTGTGGTACTGTATTTACTGTGTAGGGAGATACCTGCAGCGACGGAGAGCGGAGTGAGTGAGGGGCAAAGGCAGCTAGCATCTGCAAGCATGGGCAGATGATGCAGCAGCGGGACCTGGGGAATGAAAATCTATCAGGGAAGGTGCGGGACATCGGCCGCCGCTCTCGCTGTTGTTCTTCGCGCACAGGAACGGATTCTCTCAGACATGACGTGCCACATTTTTGTTGTTGGAGTTCCCCGCGGCCGGCCGTGGAGGGTAGGTAGCTTGGCAGTTTGGTGTGGTGGACGATGATGTCGACGACACTGCCTGCTTGCTCCTCAGGACCAGATCATCGATGGGCAATGGCAGTGGCAGTGGCAGGGGCGAAGTGAAAAGGATCACGGTCACAGCCAGGCGGCAGTGTTGCGTCAGACGTGCTCGATCTCGTAACCGTTTTGCAGGATGCCTGGAGGAAGAGTGGCACAGGAGAGCGCACATGCCCGTTTGGGACAAGCAGTCGTCACTGGGCAAGCCGCGTGTGGCGAAATTCTCTTCACCATTCATCGCTCAGAATCTGTGCTGAGGAAATACGCAGGCTGCGAGGTAAAAGCAATCATGGGGCAACAGTAAAAGCCCTCTCCTCTCTAGTATTTCCAGAGTAGGAGCAATATCAACTAAGTCACTTGAATAGCGGAGGTCGTAATTCATAGCAGCCCTGGAGGACTCGGGAGCAGCAGTGGCTTTTACTGATCCATACTCCGCGATCGGGCCATGTCGTCTACGCGGACCGAGCTCGAAACTCGATTTTATTACTGATACCAGTGCACGCTGCACAGGCAGTGGCTCGATCATTGTCCCAGACCGCTACTGCACTCATGATCATGTACTCTGTATTGCCTCCAGGCACCTGCTATCCTGTGTAGGATGCAGGTGTGTTATGTCAGCGGCAATAATAAGCTGGAGAGCAGACTGGGAGAGGAGGAGGGGACGCAAGGAGCCTTGGCGGGGTGGCAGTGGCAGCAACTGTGACGATTCCCAACGTCCAACAAGGTGCTGCCTGCGATGCTTTGCTCCGCACAACACGCGGCCTGACACGGCTGGCCAGCGTGCAGCGTGGCTCTCGCGGCAGCGTGGGTGGCCGGACGGACGGCGGAGCCAACTGGTGAGCACGAGTCCCCTGAAGGCTGAGTGGTGGTTGACGGGCTGCACCTCGGTGGAGCGTGCCATTATTGATTATTGGCGCAGCAGCCAGCAGAATCTGCAACTCGGACTGACACAGACTCGGTATTGACACGGGCATACTCTGCATACACAGGACTCGGTCCACACGCAGGCACAAGCAGAGAGTGTGTGAGAGACAGCGAAGACAAGACGATGGCGGCTGCCCGAAGAGCTTTCTCTTTCTGCAGCCTGTGGTTTGCTGGTGGTCCATCCGGAGGACGCTGGCAGAGACGAAAAAAAAAAAGAGTCGAATTCAGAATAATGCGACGACGCGATGTGAATGGCCGGCGTCGGCGTTAATTGCGGGCCCGCCTCCCACACTCTTGCACGCGCACTTGCAGTGACTCCACACTCCACACTACTGCACGCAGTGAGAGAGAGGATTGTTGATTGCAAAGGGGTGCAGTCCAGCCTGTCCAGCGGCTGCTCTCGTTGTGCGGCCTGCCTCCGCCGTGCAACCGCCGAGGCCGAAGCGCGGCGTGTCAAAGTTTCGGCCTTAATATTATCGACTCTGCTCATGTTGCTGAGTGCTCATCAATCAAAATGGAAAGCATGCCTGTGACTCGCCTCGTTCCTCGTTCGCTGCTCGGACGCTGCGCGGCCTCATCATCCCTCTCTGCGTTCGAGGGCTCGAAATGAAATTTGGCTGTGCAGGCCGGCGGAACCCTCAGCCGTTTGGGAGGGGGGAGCTGCTCACTATGAGACTATTGCTTTGGCCATGTGGTTGCTGGGTCACTCGATGGGCTCGATCGTTGATGGGTGGGCGGTGGGCCGGGCAAGATGGCAAGAGGGCAAGCACGGGCTGGCTTGCTGGGCGCTGGCCATCCACTCAGCGCTGAGAGCCACGGGGCTCGTGCGCCCAACCCGAAAAAAGGGAAGGGGGGCCAACGAACCCTTCCTGCTCTTTCCCTGCCCAGAGGCTGCTCGGCAACTGGCAACTGGCAACCGCATCATCACTGCTGGCTCTTGCCTCCCTTCCCTCCCCTTCCCTTCCTCACTCCTCTCTCTCTCCCCTCCATCTCTCTTCCCTCCTCCCTCCTCCCTCCTTTCCCTCTTCCTCATCTCCACCTCTTCTCTGGCTGGTTGCAGAGGCCGTCGCTGCTCCCACCGACCGATTTTCAGGCGTCCCCCCTGCGCCTGCTCAGTCCCTCGCTGCGCTGAGATTCTGGTCCGTGGCTTTTTGCACGCCTCCTCGGTCATCCACTTTCCAACTCGTGGCCTCACTCAGCACAACCGCTCTGCATCCTCCGTCATCCCCCGTTGCTTTCCCCCTCTTGCTGCTGCTGGATCCACGGTTGTGCTGGCCATCCTTCGTCGCTTCATCGTCCCCTTGAGCCGGTTCACACGGGTTACCTCTGCCTCTTCGGACCATCATCAACCGCCTCATCGACACGACTCCCACCATCCCACCCGTCGCAGTTTTTCGGCCACGTAGCCTCGTGTATATCCTTCCGGCACATTCGGGTTTTGTTGCAATTCTTTGCTCCCGAAATCGCTTTCTTGCACGGCTCCTCAGCTTCGGACTCTTTTCGACCTGCGACAAGTGCGACAACCTTCACTGACACGTCGACAATCTTTGACACCACGGACGATCTATTGACTTAGAAATCGTCTTGCGTCGACATCAGACGTCAATTCACGCCGAGACCCCACGGTTTCTGAACTTTGCTGCTCGGCTCGCGCTACCATCTTAGCACTGCCATCGCCAACGGAATTTCGCCGAACGCCGAACCCCACACGAAACCCCCATTCCATCATCAATATCTGTTTCGAAAATCTATCACTACGACCTCTGGACCTTTCTTGCGATTGTCTCTCCATCAAACCAAGACATTCACTTCAAGCAAATTTCTTTGTGCATGATAGGCTCTTATTAGCACGTCTGTGGATTCCTACCGAGCACACGCTCACCAAGCGCTCCGCTGGGAATTGAAGAAACTGTACGTTCTACTTGTCGTGGACCTTCACCGCGGTGGAGTTCACTCACAGACTGTGCAGTCGCTGGGGGTGAACCCGCTAACCTTCACCACAGAGTCTACCCACTAGTTTCTTCTGTCCTTCTGCGACGCTTCTCCCAACATGCCGTCCTTCTATCCTCGCCCAAGCCCTCGCCAGGCCCCCATTACACCGCCCGAGTTCATCCCCAGCTACCAAACGGGTTGTGGCGGCATGCCGTATCAACACACGCAGTACGGCAGGCAGGCGAGCATCCGCCAACAGGAAGACGGTCATGACTTTGAGGATCGCTACGGTCAGCTCGCCATGGCATTACCCCCAATGTATCCTCAGGCTGGGACCTACATGAGCGACGCACTCCAGCGCAATCGAGGTGGGTTCCCCGCCCGGGAAGACATGGCACCTACGCTGCCTCCCATGCGCTCGCAGTTTGGTCTGTATGGCCATCAGACGACGTACCAGCAACAGTACGCGCAGGAAAGTCATCAGCGGGTCGTCCAGGCACCCAAGGAAGAGAAGCCCGTCGGGGGAGTGTCCGCCAAGCTTGATTATGACATGGACGTCATGACGGATTTTGTCTGCGAGATGGCTGTCGATATCATCAAACCACCAGATCGCGGGACGCCTCCCACCTTCCGGAAGTGGGTCCATCAGGTGCTGTGCGCCACCCGGCTCCCCTCAGCCACCATCCTGCTGAGCATGTTCTACCTCTCCCAACGGATGACGATGCTCCGTGGTCAGCCCAGGTCCGAGAGTGACCTGTATCGCCTCCTCACCATCTCCCTGGTGCTCGGAAGCAAGTTCCTGGACGACAATACCTTCATCAACCGTTCCTGGTCCGAGGTCAGCAGAATTCCGGTTGCTGATCTGAACCGCCTGGAGACGGAGTGGCTCCTTGCCATCGAATTCAGGCTCCACCGTGACCCCACTGAACAGAACGGCTGGAACGTCTGGTCAAGCCATTGGAAAGGTTATGAACGCAGTGCCACCGCACGCGCCAACAGGCCCATCAAGCTCGACCCCATTGACACTTTCCTGGCGTCACGCCCTACGTGGGTGAACCAGAACAAGCCATTGCCGGCCTTGCCTACGCAGCATAGCTATAATCTGCCGCCTCCCTATGAACCCGCTCCGAAGTCTGCGCAGCCTTTGAGCAACAATGCCCACTACGAGCACTGGCGATCGGCCAACGACTATTCTCCCCCGTCCGCCGTCACTACCGGACCCCCTACGCCTGAGTACCTTGGATCCGTGGGACCGTGGGCTCAGGCTGAGGCTTATTCCCGGCGCACCATGTTCGGTTATCCTCCTCAACCGCAACCGGCCCCTTCGAAGCACTCACAGCACCTTGGTTGGGCTCCAGCTTCAAGTACCCCTTCGCAGCACCAGCAACACACGCAACACTATGGCTGGGCGCCAAGCGCATTCTCGGGCCCGTATACTGCACCCGCCTGGGGCCATCATGGATGGGGCGTCCCTCATGACAACTGCCATTGCATGGGGTGTATGCAGTACATGAGGCCGCAGGTGGCCGCGGGCTAGGAGTCTGGTGAACTGACTCCTGGTTGCCGGCTTTTTTTGGAATACCGTTCCGAGAGTCGACTACATGCTCTTGTTGGCTATTCGAATTGCGCATGAGATTACATGCTCATCCGGTGTTGCGTATCTCCGAAGATATTCATAGCAGCACGCGCTTCTTCCCTTCATCCGCTACATATTCATCGCCGTACTCTGCCCAGCGACAGAGTTGGCCAAAAGTTGTTCTTATCTTCTCCGTTTTCGGTTTCAAGATCCTTCAACGCCCTTGCAGCTCGTTAACCCGGCGATTCGCGCAACGACCGGCGTCTATATTTCGAGTAGCGGCTTCGTTTTCTCTGCAACCTTATCGAGAGCATATCGGCTTCGCCCAGGATCTCAACAAAAACACAACCCTCGCGGTATCCTGCATGATAGATTTCTCTTCTCTCCTTCTGACTTCGTTATGTTTGTCTGCGCTAGACCCGATTCACACAGTTCCTTGGGAACTCTGGACTGTCTTTCCGGGGTTCGGCGTTCCGGCTTCCTGTTGTGCGAGCGTTTGCGCCGCTATGATATGTCTTCTGTTCTTTTCTCCTCTGTCATCTACGGATTGCGCTTTGCATTAGGGTTGTCTTATTCCCCGGACTGCTTATTCTAACGATTTGTTCTTTGCGCTTTACCCTAAAGGATTGCGGGGATTTACTGCATGCGGGTTAATGATTTCTTTCGCTAGAGGGGTGAGGGTTGGTTCTGTGAGGGGAACCCCGGCGCTTTGTGTCGCTGGTCGTCTACCAGTTCTTCGAAACTACTACGATAAGTAGTGTTCTGTCGTTCGCGAGCCTATCAGGGCTCCTCGAAGAAGATTCGCCTTGTCACCTAGGTCACGACCTTTTCTATTCCATACTTCAAAGGCTGGTACCGGTTACTGTCTGCCAGCTCGGATCGTAATTAATGGCACTCGAACATCTTCGACGACGGGTTCACCGCTTCCTTTGTTTTCACTCTTGACCTTAGGAGGAAAAGCGGCATGTTCGTTTTCATGTTGATTCTGTTTCTCTTTTTGACACTTTTGGTCTTCGAAGTTTATGATTCGTAGGGATACCAGATTGCGATGGGTTGGACGGATGGGGCTTAAGGGTTCCGAGCGGGATGGTGGTTCCCTTGGAGATGACTGCCTGAGGGCTGATCTTCTTGGATGGGGACATGGGAGGTAGTATAAGTAAAGAAATCCGCAAAAAAATTCTGGGCTGAGGGAAGGCCCTTGTGTTGGAAAGCATCCAATGTCTTGGGTCTGAATGAGTGATGTGGATTTGAACTTTGAATGTATCATGTTGTATTTGTGCGTGGGGGGTCCAGAAGCACGGCGAAGTACGGAGTATGTCTACAATTGATAGGCATGCGGCGTACATTTGCTGCCTAGAAGATTAGCAGCCGTAAACATGTCCGGATTACATGGTGAATGGGTGGGATGCAATCGCCGCAGAACTCCCAGATCAGCCTCAGCATGCATGCTAGTTGAGTCCGAGCAGCGTTCGTGGGAGTGGGAGAGGGAGAGGGAGTCATCTACTTTCATGGGAAGTTGCCCATGTCGCTACTCCCAAGACGAGATTCTGCGCTAGAAACTTGTAAAAGTTTAACTTTGAGTAAAAGGGAGCAGTAATGTTAACTTGTAGACCTTTCTCTAGATATAAAAGAGCAACATGCGTTAATAACTGTAGTTAGCACGTGATTCACTGATTAGTCAGTTCCGGAGAGCCGCTCAGTAGTCACAAAGGCTTTGCTGGCAGAGTACTGCATATCCAGCTATTCCCTATTTTGTCCTATTTTCGCTAGCAGCAAAGATTACTCCGCACCATGTTAGCCCCAGATGTTTCACGTCGAACGATCGGTTTGCGGGCTGAACGTGGGATTCCACTGTTTGGACGACTTCCCATACCCTATTGTGGTCGATCATGTCGGCTTTCCTTGGATTGCGTGCTATACCTACAAGGGTGCTAGCTAACATCGAAGACCGTAAAGTCTTTGATTTCCCGTCGTTCTGATGGTTCTCGACTGCACATGTCAGTATTCATGGCCATTGTCCACGATACATGCGGCGGTCCAGGAACCTAGTTCACTGCTCCAAGATTCAGAGGGGAGCACACCTCCCAGCAGTCACTAGCTGTCGATACGTATATCAATCGCCTAGACATGCGTATAGTATAATATATCTGCTGACATAACCCTCCCAGCGTCTCTTTGCGTCCATGGCGGTTTTCCTTGGCTACATTCCAGTGGGTGACGAAAGCGGAAACCGGTTATAGCAAGCTACCGACGCTCAAAACCTCGACCACCTCAACAAAGAACACACCCGATTCCGGGACCATCGCACCCTCTACGTCAATCTTCTCTCATAATCACCTCCACTCTAGTCCCAACCGATGTCGTCGCAAACGGCCACCAATCGAACAAGAATGGACAAGTCGCATATAACCTGTCCCCGACCGCATCCAGCACCGTCTCCCTCCCTCCGCCCGCCGTAGCTACCTACTCATCGCATTTCTCGAAAGTCCCTTCCTCCTCCTCCTCCTCCTCCTCCTCCTCTTCACTCGTTAACTTGAACCCGCCCGCCCGTTTTTTCCCATGCACGTACCCGATCTCCTCGTTCGGGCTCTCATTTACAGTTCAGCGACTTGGGATCCTTATCCTCACTCCAAACGGCCTACTACGACTGTTACCGTCGACGTGACGACGACGAAGACGAGGACGCCGACTGTGACGGGGACGACGACGACGGTGACGACGTCGACTACGACTACGAAGGTTACCAAGCCTACTGAGACAGGGACGACCACTACCGCCACGCATTCCAACATGCCGCCCTCCACCATCACAATCCTCACGACGTCCCTCTTGACGCTCACCACCATCCTGCCCACCGCTACCGCGCAGTTCCCGGGTCCCATTGAAGGCCTCCCTCAGTGCGCTGTAAGCAACCCCTAAATGAAGAAGCCCACCTCCACCTCTCACACACGACACTGACGAAACGTACCCAGCAAACCATCATCTTCGAGCGTCTAGCCAACAGCCAATGCAACCCGGCCAGCTTCCCGTGCATCTGCGACGAGCTCGCTCGCCAACAGGTGGGCGAGGCCATCCGCCGGGCCTGCTCTGAGAGTGATTTCGCGGGTGCGTCTCCACATTCCCTATCCTCTCTCTGCTTTGTACCATAGATGTAAACAAGCACCTACCCATGTACTAACATCCACCAACCAGCCTACCAACGCTTCGTCAACACCATCTGCGCCAACATCCGCCCCGTGGTCGTCAACACTACTACTACGACCGCCCGCATCAACACCACCACCACCGCCACCCCCATCACAAGGATCATCCCCCTCACCACCACCACCGGCGGGCGTAACGTGACAATAACCACACAACAACAAACCGCGACCGGCCCCTTCGCCAACATCACCACCACCATCATCCCGCCGCCCACCACGGCCGTGAACCCAACAAAACAACAGTTCACCACCACGCGCATCTCCATCACGACGACGGGGCCCCAGGGACAACCCACGACGTTGGTGTCGGAGACGGTGTTGCCGGTTGCACCGCCGACCGAGACCGAGACGGAGGCGCCGAGCGCGCCGTTTGAAGGGGGTGCGGCGCCGGGAGTTAAGGGGGGCGAGGTTGAGGTGTTTGGGGTTAGGGGCGTGTGGGTGCTGGGGGCCTTGATGGGGGGGACGGGGGTTGTGTTTGCTTGGTTGTAGGTAGAGTCTGTTAGTCTGTGGTTAGTATGTTTTGAGTTTTGAGGTAGGTTGGTTGGTTGGTTGGTTTGGTTGGTTGTGACTTGAGTTTTTCGGTTTGGGAGGGTTATGTTTAATCCATGGAGAGAGATGTGTGGGTGGGTGGGCTGCATGGGGTAAGGTAGAGTAGGGTAGGGTAGTTGGAATGCTGTATGTTTTTGCGTTTTTCTCCAATGGGGTGGTCGTATAGTGCGTTGCTTTTGTGTTGGCTTTGGCTTGGTGACGTGAGGTGAGAAACAAGTTAGCCTCTACTACAACTAAGAGTCGTGGCCATGTTGTCTCGCCCGTCTAGATTGAGTGAGTAAATAATTGGGATGTCTCATCCCCAAGACGTAGGTGCGGTAGAACGGTCATATAAATACGGCATATAGATCCTAGATGCATACTTCTTAGTAATCCCTTGATGTCGTCGAGTACAACAGCTCTATTAACATGTACTGTCTCCTCTTCATGGTTGCGCACAACTGCATTATGAACATAGACCTGATGATACATCTCTTGTATCAATAAACGGGAAACCGCCCAAGCCGATAAAAAGTCAGAATAACGCCGCCCAATGCGCGCGCCAACCTCACCGGCCGAGTCTAGCTCAACCTTTACCCACTCAGCCAGACAGGTCCTGCCTTCGAAGCGGTAACCCAGCATCTCACCCTCATATCCCCTCTCTCCTCACAGAATCCCACCATCCTCAAAAATCCATTCTCCCCCTCTTACACCGGCAACTCCCCCCTCCCCCCCCCCGCCCCCCCAGCCACACCACCAATCCTCTCCAACACCCCTTTCACGACGGGCCCCACCACAGGCACACCCCCGACGAACCCGGCCACCGTGGCCAGGAAATCCCCAAACAGCACTAAAATCCCATACAACTCGATCAGGAAACCGAAGAAGGGCCAGCGCAGCAGGATGAGCGAGATGCCGGCGGCGAAGGCGGCGGTGCCTTTCCATTTCTGGCGGCGCGCGAAGAAGAGGGCGGTTTTTTGGGGGCCGATGATGAGGGTTAGGCCGATGAGGAAGAGGATCTGAGGGGGTTAGAGTGGTGTTATTGGGGGTGGGAAGTAGGGGACGGGGGAGGACAGGGTGAGTATTGGGGGACGTACGTTGCCCATTGCTAGCCTGTGGGTGTGTTAATTACATGTTTTGGGGAGTAGATTGGATTTGGAAAGGGGAGGCGGCATACATTGCGCGGTCAAAGAACATCATGATGCCTCCGAGCAGGAAGAAGCCGCCTGTTTGCCATGTCTTAATCCTCGACGGGTTTCTCTACTGTGTACTTGCGCTGCGGGGATGCGCGCAGGATGAGGGTGGGGGTGAGGGTGAGGGTGCGTACCTACCCCCTGAGCAGAAGGCGACTCCGATTTCTAGAAACGGGAAATGTTAGACTCGAGTCTTCTCTTTGAAAAGCGCCATGGGGTTTGGAGGGGGATCGTACTTTGTGTGTCTGTTAGCCACATGGTAGGCATCTTGACGAACTTGGGGTTGGAGTGGAGGGGAAATGGAGGTATAGAGGTCCAATGAAGGGGGATTACGGCGGTCTTTTGGATATATAGAGAGAGAATGTACGCATCAGCGGTATGTTTCCTTCACTCGACACTTTTTGGTTTCGTGTCCGGATGTACTACTCAGCGCCAGCAGGAGAAACGCGCCGGAGCTAAGGTCGGCCCGAAGCGGCTCGGGGCGGAATCCTTGTCGTCCCGCGTCCGTTCAGCGGGCGTTCGCAGAAAATGTCACCTCGAGTCTCATCCATCATTTCCTACCAGCCTCAAAAGCTATCACGAGTCCCACAAGTCAATTATCTGAGAACTTATGTCTGGACGGATAAGCATTAGATTCTAGATGCTATTTTGTCCTACTCAATAGATACTGTAGATCTCGCCCCGACGACAGCATGCGCTTCTTCCTGCTGTAACTAGGATCGCTTCACAGTGCGCTCCTGGTACCCCCGTCTTCTTATTAACGGGCGAAGAAGAAACTGCGATCACGATTAAGCCGGAGCGCCTTCTTGAACCTTGCCTCGAGAGGGGCTTGGTGGGTGGAGAGCGCTTGACTTTGTTGGTCCTACATCCTCTTTGAGTTCCCCCTGCCAGCTCGACCCGGCGTGCGCTGCTCTTCTTATGTAGCAATACCAGATTCCCTGTCCTTTGAGTACCACCAGGTGAAGCTTCTGATGCATCCCGACGAAGCCTTGCTGCCAGTGGCATGCGTGTTCCCGAGCATTATATTTAGTATTCCCTCTCCATACCACATTCTCCCTCACTTCAGCACTGTATGTGCCCCTCGAGCTGCCAGATACCCTTCCACGGCATTCTGCGGCATCGTCCTGATCGCGCCAAACACCTCCTTGTCATGATACCTCAGCCTCGTCTTCGGATCCGTATACGGCGCCGGCAACCCCGTGATATCGCAGTACCTCCTCTGCCCGCTGGGATGGAAACTCGGCGCCGATTCGATATTCATGTACGTAGGCGCCGGGCCATTCGCCACGCTATTCAGCGCCGCTTTCGTGTTCCTCTCCAGCACAAGCGTGCTGAGGCTCTGGGTCGCTTGGGCAATATTGGGCGGTCGCCGGCTACTTTCGACGGGCGTACCGGCGCCTCCGGTGAGGGCTTCGGAATGCGGCAGGACGGGCGTGGACATGCCGCTGTTGTTCTGGGTGGCCATGACGGAGGCTTCCTTGCGTGTCGCGTCGGCGAGGATTTGTTTGACGTTTTTGTTGCGGCGTTGCGGGGGCTTCCAGTGAGGGTTGCGGAAGGGCTTGGGGATGGCGTAGATGTCGAGTTTGTCGAGGAGAGCTTGGTGCGTCTTCTCGTCGGACGCGGCTGTGATGGGAGCCATGGTAGGGAAGGCTTGCAGAATGATATAGTGCGGTGTCGAGGGATGAGTTGGGTAGGTTGAGGGTCTACTGGTATGAAGGATTTCTGCAATTGTGGTAATATCTTCGTTGCTTCGTCGGTGTATTGTTTGAGCGTGTTTAGCATTCCGACTGATGATGTCCTCCAATCCCACCGGGGTGTTGAGTGATCGACGCGGACCTTGGCAACCAAGCTGTTTTTGTGGGCCCTGTTTAACAACACCAGCGCTTGCTCTCCATCCCGACAGCACAACCCGCAACATGGTATGAAAGGACTCTATATTAATGTAGTCCGCGATTCATTCTGACAATAAGTAGGAGAGTCCGCACGAGCATCAACAAAGCCTACTTATATCTCGAATAATCGTCAATGTTGTGAGTGGTACCATTCGAAAGAGCTAGATCAAAAAAGAGCAGCTAACCTTCAATGCAGGAGAAACTGAATGAAGCCATCATGATGCTCAACAAAAACCTCCAAGAGATCAACATCCAGAATATGGATGTCGAGCTGGTAGCGCAGATGTTCAAGAATTACCAGTCCAACGTCCTATTCCACTTGGAGGGTAAGTTTCTTGAAACACTGTGTCAGTTTGTTGATAGCTGACTAGTTTAAGCTACCAATAACCTCAAGGATCCATCTTGAAGGGGGATGTGCCAGTCTGTGATGAAGCAGTTTGCGGTTTGGTGCGCCTACGCGGGCGATGCAGCGGACTACGAGTGATGCCAACGTCCGACAGCAGTGTCGGAGCATGCTCGATCGAGACCTCCGGCCCGGACGTCGTAAAGGCGACAGCTGGATTATGAGTTCGTTGAGGTCTAGCCAATATTCATCACAGTTGGAACACAGTGAATGACGAGATTATGCACAATCGGTAGGGGTAGGGTACAGTTTTAGCAAGCATCCATTCCTAGCAGATCACCGTTCGTGCTCCATACTATATTTCATAGCAATGGTGAATGTGAGGGTAAGGGCGTGAAGTTGAAGATATCGCGCCTCTAGGCGTGAACAAGCTCGGACCATCTCGACGCTATGCGGAACCACAAGCTCGGAGGTCTCTCGAATGAACTCAACATACAACCCCCCACACACCTCCAATCTAATGACCCGATTGCTTCGCCGCCTTCACGGTGTGATATAACACCACAACCGGACCCCTCTCCATTCGTCCACCACCGCCTCCCTACGACATGGCACCCTCCGCAACCACCGAGACACCACCCGTCGCCGGGCGCAACTCGCCCAAACCACCGCCAGCTAAGATCTGGAGCGTCAGCGAGCCGCCATTCGAAGGCTTCAAACCCATAGACACCGAGGGATATGCGCGCAGCAACAGGGAGACAGCGATCGTGATTGACAATGGTTAGAAGGCCCCTTCTCAGCGCTCCCAACAACGACATATTAACACGCAATCAGGCTCATCCGCAGTTCGCGCCGGCTGGTCCTTCGACTCCAAACCTCGAATATCGTTTCCCCCGCTCATGGCGCGGTATAGGGACCGCAAACTCAATCGGACATTCACATTTGTCGGGTCGGACGTGTACTCTGACGGCACGGCGCGCGGGCAGGCGAAGAACATCTACGAGCCAGGATCTAATATCATAAACAACTGGGACGTGCAAGAAGGGGTGCTGGATTATTGTTTCATAAAACTGGGCGTGGATGGGCAGAATGGGAGTATAGATCGGCCGATTGTCATGACGGAACCTGTGGCCAACTTGGGATACACGCGAAAGAGTATGTATACTTCTCCACGACTGTACTTCTGGAATGACGGAAATACTAACGCCTACGTCCAGCCATGTCCGAGATCCTCTTCGAATGCTACGGCGCCCCCTCGGTAGCCTACGGCATCGACTCGCTCTTCTCCTACTCGTACAACGGCGGCAGACACGGCCTCGTCGTCTCCTCCTCCTACACCGCAACCCACGTCATCCCCGTCGTCGACTCCAAAGCCGTCCTCTCCCAAGCCACGCGCCTCAACTGGGGCCGCTTCCAATCCGCAGAGTACCTCCTCAAACTCCTCCGACTGAAATACCCAGCCTTCCCCGGCAAGATCAGCGACACGCAGGCCGAAGACTTGGTGCGCGAGCATTGCTACGTAAGCCAGGATTACGAGCAGGAACTGAGCCACTACCTCGACTGGACGGGCCTCGAGGACCGCGATCACATCGTCCAGTTCCCCTACGCCGAACAAGTCGTCGTGCAGAAGACGGAAGAGGAACTCGCCGCCGCAGCCGAGAAGCGCAAGGAAAGCGGTCGCCGGCTCCAGGCGCAGGCCGCGAAAATGCGCCTCGAGAAGCTGAAGCGCAAGGAGGAGGAACTGGAGTACTACATCCAGCTGCAGGCGCAGCTGCAAAACACGACCAAGAAGGACGCCAAGCGGATCCTCGACTCCAACGACTTCGACGACGAATCGCAGCTGGAGAAGCGCATCAAGGAGCTCGAGAAATCGGTCAAGAAGGCCCGGAATAAAGACGTCGGCGACGCCGACGAGGAAGAGCAAAAGGAGGAACCGACGTTCCCCCTCCTGGACGTCCCGGACGACCAGCTCGACGAAGACGGCCTCAAGCAGAAGCGCCAACAGCGCCTCAACAAGGCAAACTACGAAGCGCGGCAACGCGCAAAGGCCGAGAAGGAAAAGGAAAAGGCCAGATTAGCGGAAGAGCAACGGCTCGACGACGAGCGCCGCCAAAACGACTTCGAGGGGTGGGTGGGCGAGCGCCGCATGGCGCGACAAGCCATCATCGCCAAGATCAAGGAGCGCGAGCGCCTCAGGGCCGAGCTCGGCACGCGCAAGAGCCTCGCGAACCAGATGCGCATGAAGGCCGTGGCGAACCTGGCGTCGGACAACCCGACCAAGAAGCGGCGGCGCGGCGGCGGCGACGACGACACGTTTGGCGCCGACGACGCGGATTGGGGCGTCTACCGCACCATTGCCACGGGCGAGGGCAGCGACGATGAAGAAGAAGAGGACCTGAATCGCGAGTTGAAGAACCTCGAAGCCCAGCTTTTGAAGCACGATCCAGAGTTCACCGAGGAGTCGACGCGCGAGGCGCAGATGGACTGGACGAGGAGTAAATTACATGCGTTCCTGCGGGGGCCCTGGCCGTTTGATGCGCAGAGTCAGCGCGAGGCGAATCAGATTCATCTCAATGTCGAGAGGATACGCGTGCCCGAGGTGGTGTTCCAGCCGAGTATTGCGGGTTTGGATCAGGCGGGCATCGTGGAGATTGCGGCGACCATTCTGAATGAGCGGCTGGCGGACTCGGCTTACAGGAAGGATGTCCTGAAAGATATTTTCCTGACCGGAGGGAACACAATGTTCCAGGGTTTCGAAGAGAGGTTGCGGAATGAACTGCGTGCTGTACTGCCGGCGGAGGAGGAATTGAGGGTAAGGAGAGCGGGCGATTGTGTACTGGATGCGTGGAGGGGAGCGGCCAAGTGGGCGGGGAGTGCAAAGGCGAAGGCGGCGTTTGTGACGAGGGCCGAGTTTATGGAGAAGGGCGGCGATTATCTCAAGGAGCATGATTTGGGGAATTCGGTGGCGCTGTGAGGTCGTAGAGCATTTTGGTAGTGTTCATTAGGTATCGGTGTTGGGCGATTGGGCGATGGAGGCCGTTATGGTTATACTTTCAGGTTGGAGTTCAGGCAATAAGGAACATGGTGAAATGTTCCGGCTTAGGTATAAGAGACAGTGCAAAGGACTAAACTGGACGTTTAGAGCTCTGTTACATTTATTGGAAACCATGCCTCTTCTGTATGCCCGAGTCACTCCGTTCAACAAATAGCCTACCGAATAAAAAGGAACGAAATGCCATAGCAATAGGAAGGCTGCCGACATAAAATCACGCATACACTATCCCATAACCCTCTTCCATTTCCCACCCATTCACCCTACCAACTCTCCCACTTCTGGCCCCCAATCGCTACCAACCGATTAAACAACTCGTCCCTCAACGGCATCGCCATCACCTTCGTCCTCCTCCCATTCCTCTCCACAATCTCCAACCCCTCGTGCACCTCCCTATTCATCGCCCAACCCACCACCATCTTCGCCTTCCACCCGAATCCTCCCACCTTCTTCAACTCGGCAATATCCCCAATAGGAATACTCCAGAGGGGATGTAAGTCCTCCCGATCCTTCGTGCCGACTTTCTCGATGGTAGAGTCCGTAGAGAAGGCCACGCACGGAATCGTGGCTTTAGTCGTAATATACACATGACCCTTCTTTCCCTCGTAGCGGGCGCGGAACTCGACGGGCCCGGACGTCATGTCTGCGTTCTTGGGCGGGACAGCACCGAGACGGTTTCTGGCGTGGTGGTCTCCAATCTTGGCTTTGATTTTATCGGCGCCGACGCTGGTTTCCACGCCGCCTTTGACGGTACCTTTGAAGAATCCGAGGATCTTGCTGCCCACTTTACCGTGGGATTTCTCTTTGGAGGCATGGATGTCGGAGGCTGAGGTCTCGGCGGCTTCGATGGGGGCTTGGGCCATGGCTTCGTTGACTTCGGAGTCGGTCACGGCGAGCTTGTCTGCGCCCTCCACGCGCATTTGCTGCTCCTCGACATGAGAAGGTCCTTCTGGAGGTGGGCCCTCCACATGGGGAGGAGGAGGTAGGGGGGCTTTGTTCGCCTCGCCGATGCGGAGGAGGGTGATGGTGAGTTGGGCATTTGTGGGAACGCCTTTGAGAATGGTGTTGCGGAGCTCGAGGAGCTTTTGCCAGTTGGGAATCTTGCGGTTCAGGAAGTCGATGCCGCGCGTGATGAGGGGTTGACCGAAGAATCCGAAGCCGAAGCCGAAGGTTAGGCCTTTCAAGAACATGTAGTATGTTACGAACCAGGAGATGATGAAGATGGGAAGGACGAGGCCGGCAAGACGGAGGCGGTAACGATGTTGAGGGAAGGGGGCAATAGGAGAAAGGGCGCTGGAAAAGAGGTTAAGATGAGGTACCCAAAATCACAGGGGGCCAACTTACTTGGCGAATCGTTCCCAACCATCACTGAGATTGGAAAGAGCATGCATGACGGGTCTCATCTTTGTCCACATCATCGTCTCCATTGGAACCTTTGTCTTGTCATGCTTCTTATCACTACCTGCTGCTGCTTCTGTAGGTGCTTCGGCAATGGCGGTAGGATCTGGGACAGTATCGGCAGGTCCTCCATCCGGAGGTTCGCCTTGAGGATGTTTGCCGGTTGCGCTCGATAGCGCCACCGAAGCAATACCATTGACAAAGTTGTTGGCTTCTTGCTCCACCGCTTCTCCCTTGTGTTTCTCGGGGGCTCCGGTAGCACTATGGCTACCAAGCACTCCCGCCTTCGGTTTTTGAATACCACCTGTGTGAGAAACCATGGCGATTGGCGCTGGGGGAAAGAGGAAATCGCGAGAAGGAGGGTACGCAATGAGGGCAATTAAAGTGGCGGATAGTAGAGGCACTATGCAATCGAAAGCCCAGGCCAGGAAATAGGCAGTGCAGAAGCAGGCTGTTCGTCGTGTCTCTCGCCAGGATCGAAGACGTACGATGTGCTTATAGAAAGCGATCATGCCGATGCCCTAGAGAGAGGTGTTAGTAATGGAGAATGAGATTTGGTAGATTGAGGATAGCGTACAATAGTCATGTACAGGCGTTCAATATTGCTTCTCAGTTTGTCAGGCGAGAACTCCTCGTCGTCGGCGACATTGAGATCCAATCCTCCAGGCGGAGGGTTCGGCATCTCCTTGACGTGATACATTTGCTGCAGTCTATTAGCTCCAAGACCAAACTATAAGTTCAGGGACTGTATACCTTGTTGAAGCGCCGAATGAGCACCCATAGATCCTCATTACGGAGTCCACCCACAAGGGGATTCTCAACACAGCTCTCAGGCTCATTCCAGCCCAAGTTCAGGACTTCCCCCTTGTGTCCCACCTGAGCGGCTCCCGTCTGCTCGGGGGCCTTTGCTGCTTCCATTGCCAAGGCATGGCTATCCGTAGGCTGGTCGGTCAGTGTTGTTGTGCGTTCCTCCTTGTCTGGTTCAGTGACATGCGGGACGGCGAGCAGATCTTTGTATTGCACTCCGGCGGCCGACATAATGACTGTTGTAGCAGAAAGAGAAGAGCTGTGTGTAGGTATGAGGAAGTTAGGATCTATCCGTAGTGTATATGATCCACTGTTGACAAGGCGTGGGATCGACCATTGCCCGTGGTTGCGTCATTGCAGCTGCCGGGCGGGTGGAACCAAGAGACCAAGCCACATGCATCATTCCCTTGACCCTGTTCACAAACTCTCGTCAGGTTCCACAACTTGATCGATTGGCGCTACTCTTTTGTTTGAATCCGGTGTTAGATAATCGTCTTTTACCTTCGCACAGATCTAGCCTAATCTATCCCCTGTCATCAAAGAGCGGAGGATGACGTCCCAGGGTCCGCTTCGCTTATCGATAAGTTCGAACCGCATAGATCTGAAATCTCGACCATGTGAATATGCATTTGATCGAGGGATGAAAATAACAATAGATCGAGAATAAAAAGGAGCTCATACCTTATGCAACACAAGAATAGACAGTTACCAGGAAAGGTGCGATTTTCATAGATAAATACGCTGGGTAGGTGCAAATCCTGCACTCATTGGCTCAAGAGGCTTGAATTCGACCGCACTGAGGGAATTTTGGCCCCTTAGGGATGTTTTTGAACAAACTGATCGATGCACACAGCGGGTTATTACTTTGAAGTCCAGTCTGACGACCCATTTCGAAGTTGAAGTTTGAAGCATGCGCGGGTGCACGTGTTCTGGCATCCCCGGTCGCGTCGCGTTGCTATAGGGACCACCAGTTGGCAATTGTTGATCAACGCTTACCCAGTGCACAACCGCATTTCCAACTCCACAACTGATGGCGCACAAATCTCCAGACAGACTACACGGTCTCTACACTCTCCACCACAGCCAACATGGAGCCCCCTCCACGACCTTCTAGCTCGCTGTTCGATGTCTACCTGCGCCTGAGGCCATCAACCCATTCTGCAAACCCCAGATTCCTGAACGTCGAAGAGACTGATGCGCCACACCCGACTCATATTACAATTAAACCACCTACGAATGACAATCGCAAACGAGCTGTGGAGAGATTCGCCTTCACGAGAGTGTTTGAGGAAGATGCGGAGCAAATGGACCTGTTCAAGGGCACAGGGGCGCTCAGTATGATCGAGGGAGTGTTGGGAGGACATGGGAGACATGGCCGTGATGGCTTGCTTGCCACACTGGGTGTTACAGGCTCAGGAAAGGTATTTTGATATTGGGAATCCGGGGAACATCCGCTGATAATGGCTAAGAGTCATACGATCCTCGGAACCAAAACCGTGCGAGGCATCACCCAAATGTCCCTGGACGTGCTCTTCCAAGCTACAGGAAACCGACTTGTACAGTCGTTCTACGGTGCTCCCGCCTTCTCGTCTCTAGCTGCTGCCGACGTATCTGAGGCCAATATGTTCACAGCAACAGCATATCTCGATGCCATGTACGGAGACAACCAATCTGAGCGTTGCCCTTCCAGAGCCCAAACATCAATGCTGGTTAGTAACCATTTCACCCAATCGTGTCAACCTCTCTCTAAACCAGTCTCGCCACCGTCAACCTTTTCTTTTCCAGGAGATCTCCTTTCAGTTCTCAAAAATTCTTTCTCGACTTGTCCAGATTCTCGCCCTAGTGCAGGCATTCATTCAATCCGTCCCGTCACTGGCAATTTGACTTCAATCGCGCGTTCGACTGCGAATCTATACTCACCTCTCAAAAAGGAATGCAGTTCCTTCCTCACCAACCCTTCGAGCCGCTCAAAGAATATCCCCCGTCTTTCAGCAATGCCCCAGAGTCCTGCTATCGAAGACATAGAGCTTCCCTCAGATCCTACTGCGGAGTATGCCATTGTAATCTCCATGTACGAGGTTTACAATGACCGCATTTTCGATCTCTTGGCGGGTAATGTATCTAAGAGTAAACATCCCAATGTCAAGCGACGAGCTCTCCTTTTCAAAAATACAGAACAGAGCCCTGACCGAAAAGTCGTCGCCGGCCTAACCAAAATCATCTGTGGCAGCCTGGAAGAAGCCCTCATGGTTCTAGAAACGGGCCTCATGGAGCGCAAGGTCGCCGGGACCGGTAGCAATGCGGTCAGCTCACGCAGTCACGGCTTTTTCTGCATAGAAGTCAAGAAACGGAATGCAGAACGCAAAGGCCCCTGGTCAACCAGCACCCTCAGCATCGTCGACCTAGCTGGCTCCGAGCGCGCCCGCAACGCGAAGACCGCGGGAGCCACGCTCGCCGAAGCCGGCAAGATCAACGAATCCCTCATGTATCTGGGCCAATGCATGCAGATGCAATCCGACAACCAAGACGGCTCCAGAAACATCGTGCCCTTCCGCCAATGCAAACTCACCGAGCTCCTCTTCTCCAACTCGTTCCCCTCCACCACCGCCCGCCAAACGACCCACCACCACCAGCCGCAGAAATCCATCATGATCGTCACCGCCGACCCGAAGGGAGATTTCAACGCCACGTCGCAAATCCTGCGCTACTCGGCCCTGGCGCGGGAAGTCACCGTCCCGCGCATCCCCTCGACCACATCGACCATCCTCGCCGGCACACGCCCCAAATCCTCGGCCTCTTCGCATATGCCCGGCGGCTCGGGCCGCTCCACTCCCTCGGCCATCCTCGAAGAACTTGACTCGGCCAACAGCACCATTTCCCGGCTCACCTCCGAAATCGAGATCCTGGCCCTGCGCCTCGCGGAGGAGACGGCGCGGCGCAAGGCCGTCGAGCAGAGCTGGCAGGCAGCTGAGATGCGCATGCAGGATCTGGAGCAGGAGATTCGCGACGAGTGCTTTGCGGCGATGGAGGAGGCGGTGGAGGCGGAGAGGCGCAGGTGGCGGTGTGCGTGGGAGGTGGAGGCTGAGAATCAGGAGGGGAGGTTGGATGCCAAGATTGATGTTGTGATTCAGGCGGCGAGGGCGGAGGAGAGGGAGAGGTTGAGGAAGCTTGAGAGGGGTTTTGATGGTAGTAGTAGTAGTGGTAGGAAAGAGGGGAAGGGGTGGTGGGCGGATGATGAGGAGGGACGGGAGGTCAGGTTGAGGGTGAGGGAGTTGGAGGAGGAGAATAGGGGGTTGAGGATGAAGGTGGAGAGGGGCGAGAGGGAGAAGGTGGCTAAGAGTGCGAGTCCGGTTAAGGTGAGGAGAGTGCTCAAGGCGAATGCCAGTGCGAAGAGGTGGGTCGATCCCGAGAGGATGGAGGGGTTGGATAGTGATTATTGAGGATTGATTGAGGGAGGACGTGTTGGCGTTCCACTGCGTGTAGATATTGGCGTTGCGACTCTTTTTTTCTTTTTGGTGTATGCCGAGTCTCTGATGAATGAATGATGATGGCGAATGGCGTTTAGGGGCTTGGAGGTTTTGAGTATACAAGACCGGTCTTCAAGGCGAGGGATTTGGTAGTCTTGCATGACCTTGACCTCTTTCTTAGTAATTTGCGTAACAGTGACCATAGGGCCAATGTCCATCGATATCTGATACCACCTTCCTTCACGAGTTATATGCAAAGTAATTGCAAAGTACACGAACGAAACAATAAATGTATCAACATGTTTGTCTGATTGATAACTCCCCATTTAGTGAGTACACTCTCTGTCTTCGTCTCGGGTCCGCGAATCTCCTACGGCCCTTTTCATGTCAAAATAACCCACGAAAGGGACGGAGCGAATTGGCACACATCAACGCCAGAGGACAATATACAACACAAGAGTTGACATCACAGCAACAGGTAGAATAATATGCAGCCTGTCTCGAAGCGCGAAGCCCGACTCGGCCATCTGTATTCACCAGCGCAGGACGGCGCCCTCACGCTGGCCACTCACTCCTGCCAGATACCTTGATACATTCCACACACCCCTCTCGCTCGAAACCACCACTCCTTTTTTGCCCTTTTTCAGAAGCCCCCACCTCCTTTTTAAACGCCGAATCACCCTTCCTCATCATGTCCAATGATGATAGACATCATGTGCAACAGCATGCCCCCCGAAAAACGGGGTTGGTCTTCGGAGGAGCCAAAATTACCGGAGAAATTTGCGCGCAAGCAATCACATTCGCTCAGCAATCAGCACCTAGAAATGGCAATCGTCAGTTATACACTCTCGCTCGAGTAAAGACAAAAACCTTATAAACATACATGGTATAAAAGCCCGAGCCCGACGCCTGGCGATTCATATCCTCCGTGTTGAGTGTATACGAGATGGCGATATCCAGGTCGCGGTGGTTCTTCTCGCTGGGCTTGTTCTCCAGCATGCCCGTAATGGTCTCGCCTTCCTCAACGGTAAGCACATCCTTGAGGTAAAACACCGTCTGCTTCCAGTGCGTGTATTTTGTGTGCGGGCCCGTGGAGAAGCGGACGGGCTTGTGGCAGGCGGAGAACTCGATGTCGAACCACGAGATGAGGGCGTGGACGAAGTCGCTGCGGCGGGCTTGGAGCTCGTAGGGGACGTTGAAGGCGAGGTCGGCGGGGGTGACGGTGTAGAGGTCGAAGGAGATGACGGCGCAGGGGTCCGTGACGATGGCTTTCATGTCGACTGTGTCGACGAGGGGCTCGGTCATGGCGGTTTCTTTTAGCGGGGTGTAGTCGAAGCCCCAGACGTTGTCCCAGACTGTTTGGATCAGTACCTAGTTCGGCGGAAGGGATTGGTTGAAGCTTACAGCCAATCTTCTCCTCCTTGTAATCGCCGTCTTCAATGCCAGCCAGGTAGATGGTAGCTTTGTCCGGGAAGATTTTACCGTCCGGCTTCAGATAGCGGTCCCGAGCATAGAGGACGGTGTCGAGCATGCTCTCATAAAGCAGGAAGTAGCCCATCCACTCTGATATTATGATGTCCACCTTGTCGAAGGGCAGCTGAACCTCCTCCATCTTTCCCTGCAGCAGTGTGATCTTGTCGGACATCCCGTTCACCGCAACAATCTCCTTTGCTTTCTCGATAATCGTCGACATGTCTACACCAATGACGTGCTTGGCGCCTGCGCGTACGGCAAACCTGGGATCATATGTCAGTCCCTGTTCTAAGCTCGAAGGAACCCTTCCAGTATATAGAAGGTGTCTGAAGCACGTACATGCTCAGAATGGCAGTTCCACATCCGACATCAAGCACGACTTTGTTCCTGAAGAGGTGCGCATTCTGGTATATGGCATCGCGATACGACTTCGTGCGCACTTCGTCTTTCTGGAACACCGGATCAGTTCGGGTCGTTTCCTCGGAGCACATTGCTACTGATCGCTAGGGGTACACACCAGCATTTCCTCGTGGATGCCTTAGGACGCATATTAGCAACTGGCTCCCCATATTCCAGGCCTCCGCGACCTACCATGGTGATTGTAACTAAAGCCAAACCGTCAGTAATCATCCCCGCGCCAATGAGGCGGAGTGCGGTGCGGCACGAACCTGTTGAAGTAATGCGCTTCTGAGTGCGGCATGCTGCTGATGTCGGCCGCCTTCAGCTCCGGCTGCGACGAGGCAGCATTGTTGGCCATATTGGCGTTGTGTACGAGGGAGAAAAGGTGAGGGCGATGGGTATAGATGTGTTTGGGCGTGGGGCTGCTTGTTCTCTTGTTGGGTTGAATTTTTGGGTAGGTTATTCGCGCACGGACCTGCGGACTCCATTGCGAAGGTGCCCCACTAAGGCTAGGCTAGTAGGCTTCGGCGAGAGTAGGCCTCGAGAGATAGTTGCACTGAACGATTATGTTTCTAGAAATTGTATGAGAAATAGCCAGCTGTTTCACTTACCGTTCATTTTGCCATGAGATGCCTTGTCACCAAGCCAATTGGCTCCTTGGGCGGGTCTCCTATTTAAGGTGTGAGAGTGTTTAGACAATTCATCAACATACGAGTTCGGACTCACCAACTATATAGCATCATTATGGACCTGTGATCAGGCGCCGTAATAGAGAGTCTGTTGATGAAGCGAGGTCGAGCCAAAGACGCGACCAGAACACATGAGCAGTGCCCTTGACAACGGAAGTCTCGCGACTTAACCTCGTAATCACCACTTCACTGAATCATCTTGCTGTATCAGTGCCGCAGACGCCAAGTTAAGTAATGCTGGCAGCATATGTTGCTGTCTGTTTAGGTGCGGAATATAGTTGTGGTCACCTAGGTACCATACGATCCCTGGTCGAGAAGTCCATTGCAATCCTTGGTATCAACTTTGTCAGAAATAGGTATATCGCTTTCATATTCCGTCCTGCGGTTTTCCATTCCTTAAGAATCCCCAATCCAAACCACCATCTACCCAATAACAACACCAGTTTCGCGGCATAAACCGCTCAAAAATCTGACACTCCAATGGTATCACCCAGATTCCTCGCCCCGCTAAACATAGAAAAGCCTCACGCGCCGACGGCGTGAGAATCCCAGGCAATGAGAACAAAACAAAAAGGAATGCAGTAACTACCTCGTTGAGAACAATCCCCCGTAAAACACTCCGTCTGAAACCAATCCTACGCATCGACCAACTGCACGCGCTGGCTTTTGCGGTTTTTGAGCTCGACCAGCGTGGGCGTAAGCGGTTTCTGGTCGATGAAGCGGCCAGAGGCCGGTGACAGCGCTCTCACAGTAGCGCTTCTTATCAGCTGGGGCGAGACCAGATCTGCTGATCGGGGACTGGCTCGCGAGACCGAGACCGACCTGGCGATGCCAATGGTGGCCGTTTGAGACGCGTTTTGCGTTTGTGGAGTCGGGGAAAGGATGCGGTCTGCTGATCGCGGGGTAGATTCGAGTTTGTGGGTTGGGGCCTTACCGATATTGCTGAGATCCCCTGGTGCGGACGAAGGTCCTTGTTCAGGGGCTACTGTGGTAGGATGTGACCTCAGCGCGGTCGCTTGGGTCGGTTTGGAGACCAGCTCCCATTGAGGCTCGCCCATGCGCGGCCTCCACGGTGCGCCAGGAGAGTTTGCCATAATGATAGAGGCATCGTCTGCATCCGAGTCGAAACTGTGACGGGAGGATGGAGTTGGAGTAAATAGTTGAGACTTCAGGTTCGGATCATTCCCTTCCTCTTCGAGCGCCTTCTCGTGAGCTTCCTGAACTGGTGGAGCCGTAACTTCTTCCCTGGGTTCGGGAAGCTGCGAGGGGAACTTTTGCAGGCTTGGTGAGCTTGCAGGAGCAGTGTTAGATCGCTGCAGGCGCCGCGAACGGCGCGATGACGGAGCTCGCGGGGATGATGGTTTGTTGCTAGTCGTTTGAGGGAATAATGATAAGACCATGGAAGGCGATTTCGGATGGGACGGGGAGGTAGCACGACGCTGGGGCTTCAAAGTTTGGGATCCTTCATCCTCCCTCTGGTATGACTGTTAAATTATCGTCATTTTGCGTGACGCAGCAGACTTACCTTCACAGACAACTCGTTCAAAGGTTTCAATCTTTCCGAATTTCCTTGCCGACGCACCAGAAGTGAAGATGACCGGTTGGAGGACGAACCTAGATTCGACTGAAGTACGCTTCCGAACATAACGCTATACCTGTCCAACTTGATGCTAGGGATATCGACATTGAGCAGGGGCCCAGACGTATCTGGAGCCTGCGTCATTCCTTGAGGGGCTCTGGATATCGTGACCTGTGGGACCGCTGGCGCCTGACTCCAGTCACCTCTCATATGAGGTTTAGGGCTCGAAGCCGAGCGCATCAACGACGGCTTTGATGTGTTGGCATGATTGGCAGTATCGGTGAGAGCCCTCGGCCGCGTCTCGATATGTGGTTGTTCATAGCCTCTTGGGAACCTGCGGGACTGTCGAATTTCCGGCTTAAAAACAGGTGGAGATTGAGAGCGAAGATCCTGAGTCGACACTTCAGCCCGTGAGATGGACCTTGATTCCAGAGATTCGTCATCATAGTGACTATCCGCTCGAGGAGGCGCAGTGGATTGCACGAGCTGATAGAAGGATTGTTTCTGTGTTGCAGTACTCTGTTGTTTCTTGCCGAATATGGATTTCCATCTGCTGAGTTTCTGCTTGGGGGCCTCTTGCTTCCGTCCCGTTGTATTCGGCAGATGAGCGTTCGAAGAGATGTGAGTGACAGTTCCCAACTCTCCCGACGTCTGAGGCGAGGTTACCCACGGTGGGTTCATGGTTGGGCTACCAAGGGCAATGCCAATGAAACCTTCGTTATCCTCATGTACTTCTGCGGTATAGAATATGGTCGTGGACGACTTATTGGAAGAAGGGTAGGGTGGCCGAGAGGTAAACTCCGTATGAGGTGGGGTTACGGGAGCCACTTTTTTGTGAAATAGTTTCCCATGGTCTCCTTGTCCTCCTGCTGTCTTTGGCCGTTGGAGGATGTCGGGGGTATCAGCCCGGCTATCCGTTCTTGTAACAGGAGTTGACGCCTTTAATCTGTCCAAGTCCACCGGCGGTGGTGTCGAGTGGCCGCCTTCCTCATGTTGGGAATCCTTGTGTGGTCCTCCTCTGAGCAGTCGGAGCGATTTTGATCTGCCCAATATCCTGGCCATGGCGGTTTCACAAGTGCTAGTGAGGTCTCAAGATGCGTAACGGCGGTGAGGGAAAGACGTGAAGCTGAACTTAATGGATGTTAAAGGAATGGACGGCTCTCCGGAGAGCCACTAGAGATATACGATAGGCCGTGCTATTGACGAGAAGAAAGTAAAGGGTTATAGAGAAGAGAAAGACACGAAGTGCGACGAGGCAACATTTTGCCGGCGAACAACATGGTTCCCGCCCAGCGGGATCTCAAACCTAGCGGCAACTAACGGCATGCGGTCACTGTTGTGTAACTTGTTGTCAGGGACAGATTGCCATGGATTGGTGCGCAACAGAGAGGTGGGGAGACTGGGGGTTTGGAAGGGTGCACGCGCCCTGGTTTCAAAAAGAGGCCCCCTTCCGCAATTTCGCTATGCCCTGCCAAGTGTGTGTCTACACAGTACAACACCAAACACTGGTTCCGCTGCTGAGATTGCTGACAGAAATGGAACGGTCGATAGCGCCAAAGAAACAGAATCCAAGTCTCGTCGCAGGCATGATTCGCTCAAAGGCGCTGGCAACGGCGCGCATGGCCATGGACTATCGAAAAATGTAGAACCACCTGCTGGCTGACCCAATTCACATCAGCTCGTCTGACGGGGTCATCGGAAATGAGGCAAGCGACGCAGGATGCCAGTTGTAGTCAGCCCCAGCAACATTCATAATATCCAAGATTGCCCCTGCGCTGTCATCGGTCGGCTCAGCCCTCGGGTTATTTTGAGGCATAAGGTGATCAGGAGTTCTCGAAAGACCAAAGATCCACGTCATCGAAGCGGCTAAAAGATGTACCCTCCATGTCCCTGCAACCACTCAATGCGGCTATCGTGTATTCTTCCACAAGCTCTCTGCCTGAGAAAGAGAAGCTGGATGTAGATGTGGACCAGGAAGAAACCCCCTTGTGCTAATGCAGGACTCGACGGGGGGTTCTGTTCTGATGGATAATAGGTCGTGTGCCGTACTGTCAAGTAGAGGACCAATATCCCATCCTCACAAGTCCAATGATGCTGCCAATAGGGCCTCAGTATTACTCTATAGTCTCAAAATCCATCATAGGGTTCACCTTTTTCAGGCCCCCTTGGGATCGTAAATGGGTATCTACCGAGAAACCTATCTCTACTGTAGGATATCGCAAAAGCGCAAGGAACCCGTAGCCATGAAATCACCCAATGATGTTGTTAGATTGCGCTCAAGGATTTTCCAGGCCTCCAATTCTTGTACCGATCCGCTTCCTCTTTCACGGTGTGAGGTGAATGCTCGGCTAATGCTCGTTCGAAATGACACATTCGTATTTCCGGTGTGTTGTCGGGACTTGGATTCTGCGTATAATCGGAAATCCCCATCTCCCCTGTAATAGAGCACAATGCCTTAATATCCGCACCGCTATAATCCTGTGTTCTCGAAGCGAGAATGCCCAGATCTACATCCCCAGCAAGCGGCATCTTCCTTGTGTGGATCTCAAAGATCTGTTTACGAGCATCCTCGTTCGGCAGTCCAATGTGGATATGAGCGTCAAAGCGACCAGGGCGGATCAAGGCAGAGTCCAGGATATCTGGGCGATTGGTCGCTCCAATGATGAATACTTCCTTCAGGGCCTCGATGCCGTCCATTTCATTCAGCAGGGTTGTCACGACGTTCAGCCCGCTGTCTTGGGACTTTTCGCGTGACTTGCCAATGGAATCGATCTCGTCGAAAAAGATGATGCAAGGTTTGGCAGCGCGAGCTCGACGGAAGACATCTCGAATGGCGCGCTCTGACTCCCCGACGTACATCTTGATGAGCTCGGATCCTTTTACGGCTAGGAAGTTTTGGTTAGATTCGGTTGCAACCGCCTGGGCGATCAACGTCTTTGCGCAGCCCGGAGGACCGTATAGGAGAACCCCTTTGCGAGAGGCAGCCCCACCAAATTTGAGATATAGGTCAGGAAACTTGACGTGTCAGTTCTTTTCTCGGAGTAGGCAGCAGGGAGAATTACCTTTATGGGGCGAATCATGATCTCTTCAAGCAGTTTCTGGACGTGACCCAGTCCTGCAATGTCGGTCCACCTGACTTTAGGGACCTCGAGGATGCTGTCTTTCAGGACAGTCGGTTGAACTTGATCTATAACCGCGACAAAGTCACTCTGACTGATGAACTCCTTGCCTTGTAAAAAGTCACCCAGAGATGTGTTGTCGTCGGGTTGTAAAGCGGAGCAAGTTGCTTGTATGTGGTGATTGATTGCTAGTCCGCACAATTTCAGTAAGTCCCGCCCAACGAACCCATGTGTCTTCTCTGATAGCGAAGTCAGATCCAGTTGCGCCAATGGTCTATCCGGGCCTAATATCTGACGCAAGATTCCCTCCCGTTGTCGCACGTTTGGAGGGAAAATTTCAAGCTCGATCTTGAAACCTGATGTGGTTCTGAGACTGGTATCAATGTCATATACACTACGTGCAGCTGCTGCGACAGCTACTCGAGCACCTTCTAGTTTGCCCAGTTCCGTCTTTAAGCGTGATATGAGGGCTTCTCCTTTGCCAAGAAGTTTGTCTAAGTCGTCAAACAGGACAAGGCTCGGTTGGTTTTCACGAGCTTTCTCAAATGCTTCAGTGATATCTTTCCCGGGAGTCTTTGAACTGGACGCCGGGTCGACTTTATAGACTCCTTTCCATTCGCACTGAGCCAGTCGGTTCAAAAGCATCGACTTCCCGGTGCCCTCCGGTCCATGGATCAGGAAAGCCGTAGGACCAATAAGACGAAGGAGGTGTTGATCTTTAATTGTAGGTTGATGTTTTGTGAGGAACAGAAGATTCCGGTTAATGGTTCCAATGTGGTCATTTAATCCTCCAATACCATCACTACTCAGTTGAGGGACCTTTTCGGACGCGGTCGGCAGCTGCTTTGTCTCGAGGGAAAGATTCGAGCTTCCCTCGCTGAAGATGACCTGAGAAGTTGCAGGATCGAAATAAAGCGGCCTATTAAAGTCTGGGACTGGGTCGATGTTTCTGACAATGAGGCGAGATTTTGCAGGGCGGGTCCTGGGGCCCTTTCTCTGTACATCAAAAGTACAATCCGGCAGTATTACCTCAAGATCAGCTGCATCTTCTTGTTAGGAACTGGTGTATCAATGTGAGGTGGGATGGCCTACCTAGTGCTTGGCGCGTCCAGAAAAGGAGGTCTTCAGTGGAAGAATATCCACTTGGGCTGCCCCCAGACTCAAAGCCAACCTCGATTGTCTTGATAGGTATCCACTCATCATCCGCGTTCTCGACTTTCTCTATTGCAATGCGATCATTTGTAATAGATAGACCGTATTTGTCCCTTAGTAAATCAGTAACCTTTGCTATTGGTTTATTGCCTGGGTTTGTCTGGTTTGCAAGCCATGCAATAGCAATTCCTTTCGGCCCATTTTGAGTGACTATACGAATAAGGTCGCCAGTGGAAAGCTTCAGAGCTTTAAGCTCCTTTATGGGCAGGTGGACGCGGAAAGCACCTTCAAGAAGAGTGCCCGGAGGATTACGCTCTAATGGCCGTAGTGTAAAGTAGGTAATTGTCGTCATTGGAAAATGAGGGCGAAGTAGATTTCGACCTCTGCCATATGCATTGTCGATATCTTTTTCCCAGGTTGGTGGCGCCAAGCCCAACTTAGCTAAGTTCAGGCGGTCGCAATGGGCAGAATACTGTGACTAAGCTGTTCTGACTAAGCAGACCTGATCGGCTTCGGCTTCGGAGAGCAGTTTTGGGGATGGCGGCAGAAGCTGGCTTGACGCGTTGGAACCTGCGATGTGGCCTACCAAATTCAATTGATGCCACCGCAGCGCAGCATTCGACCTCTGCGGCTATGTTGTCAGACCCGCTGGGCCTTCAATGGGCCCAACCGCCGCCCATTATCGACCCGACGCGGTGACGATGCAGAAGCGCCCTCTAAGGCTCAGGGCAAGTCGATGCCTTGAACCCAGAACGGGGCACGGAAGCTGACATATCTATTGGTACAGACCGCGGAACTCCTTCACAGCAACCTCGAGTACAATCACGAGGCAAAGGGTGGTGGGCCTCGTTTGCTAAACGGGTATCAAGCTCGGTTTACGGACATGCAGCTGGGCACACTCCTGAGCGTTCGAACTCTTCCGAATCGATCGTACAGTCGGAGCCTCAAACAACAGCTCCTGAGACTGCTTCTCAACAGGACCGTTTTTCCGTCTCTAGAGCTCCTATCAGCTCACCTGGAGAAAGCTTGAACCTCGGATACGCAAAAGTTCCCAACCTCAACGAAATACGGGCACAGCCAGCGGAGCACAACAAAGATCTCAGCGGTGACTACCATGGGGAAGATGAAAAACATCTCGCGACGGAGCCATCTGATGTTCAATCGTCGCAGGCTGAGGCCGAGCTTGGTACTTCTACAGGAACACATCAGGTTCTCCAGGAGCAGTTGAAGGAACTACGTGAGCAAGTGCGTCTTTTGCAGGAGGCATTAGTTGCGAAACAGGGATCACTTCCATTAGGAGAGTCCCGCCCAGAACCGTCGGGACAAGTTCAGCGGGCGCCCTCCCCGCCCCCTACCATAGACATTTCGCCGCCCTTACCTCCGACAGGCATACCCGCAGCGACCCAGGCTACGGAGAACGCGACCCTAGTTAGAGGTGGTCTCGGGACCGATGATCCCGTGTCTGTTCTGAACGTCGCCCGACATCTGATCAAGCTCAATGGGAGCAGACTAATATCGATAAGTCGTCAGCTGCGCGAGATGAATTCTACACGAGTCACCCCTTTGCAACGCTCACTCAATGAGAAGGTTGAGATATTCAAAGAGCACTTGTCTGAAGCGTACGTAGGGGTTGCAAGACGAAGGCCTCGATTCATTGTCATTGAAAGTCTTTTATTGAAGGCGGAGTTGGAGCTAGAGGACGCCATAGCCGCCCTCGATACACAACGCCCCAAAGTGAATTACACGATCCCGAAGCCCATGGATTCAGTGCCGGTGACTGTAAGCAACACAGAGAAACTGACGAAAGCTGAGTCAACATTCGAGAAGTCGGGAGGGGAGTACGTACGGCTGGTACGCGAGCTTCATACCAAGTCGGACGAGACCCGGAAAAAGGAACCACAAGAGCTTCTCGACTCTCCTCGTGACGTGGACGACCCAGGAATCGGAAACGATTCTTCAAAGGAACGCCCCGCTCCGCAATCCGACAGCCCCTCACTCCTGGAAGAGCTCTTTCCAGAAGCCACGACTTACGCGCAACCACATTACACCAGCAACAATCCCTTTCCAAAACTGGATCTCCCAAAGGATGTTCCCTTAATCCGGCCTACTTACCTCGAAGCCCCAAAGACAGCCCGAGAGCGTATCACTGAATCCTTTCGAACACGTCAGGAGGCCATTACCGTTCTTCAGCTTGTGCATTGTAGCACCGAGCTCACAGAAGCCGATTTCCGACGCCTGATTCCCAAGGGAAAGCATATAGAATCATGGATACGCGATGGCGAATTCGACAAAATAATTCCCGGAAGAGATCCGCTAACGCTTGAGCGGTTACCGTTTTACTACCTGCTGTTCAAATCCCCCGAATCCGCCTTAGCGTACCAGAACAATGCTGCTCGGCTCCATAAGCTGGCCGGGCTCCATGAGCCGTCTTCTATCCACTCGGCAATACCACCCCCAAAGGGTATGCTGGAGGATGGAGAGGACCTGAACAAAGTCTTGTCCACGTACTTCCTGAAGCCTACCAGTCTCAAACTAACCCTGCACATGCTCCTCCAACCATATAACCCGAGCCTACGGGCGCTGATTGAACGAGGCGGATATGAACCTATCGTTCCCAGCGTCGGCACGAAAGGCCAGCCCATATGGAAGGTCCTTCTCCATATCGAAGGCTGGGAGCCTTCAAGAGACGATCTCTACCACACCTTCAAACGCCACGCGTACGACCGCGGCCTCACTTGGCCCTTCCACAACGGCTCCGAGGGCATCCATCGCCTCCGCGACATCATCAATGTGAACACCAAGATCCAGGCTGTATCCTCGGCCAATCCGCGCGCTGCCAACGGCGACCACTGGTCGTCGCTCGATCCGTTGCTCGGTTCCATCAAGCTTGATTCCCAGGGTCCGTGGTCGCGCAGTGCGGAGACGAATCTCAAGCAGTTTGTCACGAATCGGTTGTACAATCGGTGGATCGTGGAGTTTGAGGAGGAGATTGCGGCGCGCAGGTTTGCGCGCATGTGGCATCGGAGGTTGTTGCCGGCGCAGAAGATTACGTGGAAGGATGCGGAGGAGCCGCGGATGATTAATGCGGAGTTTTTGTGGTAGCGGGGTGAGTGGACGAACAAGACGAGGTCGGGGTGCTGGTATTGGGTGTGTAGATATGTGTATGTATTTTGTTGCATGTCGATAGGGAGGGAGTATACTGTATCAAACAAGCGAGGATGGTGTTAAGGGATCTAGAGGAAGTTGATGGGATATGTAGACTCGATGCATTTGTTCAGCCGCACTACGCATGGAACAGCCACAAACCTGTCGTGCGATTAAGCCGACCAGTCATTGTGCAAGCCTTAGGTGCAAGAACGGGAGGGCTGAAGCCACAATCCAGGATACGATAACTTTAATTGTACTGTTGGGATACGTTTCTACGAACAAATGCACATTAAAAAAGAAGTATTCTTCCATGGTAGAGGGTATATAGGTAAGAGGGAAAGAAAAGAAAGAAAAAAAAAACGAATATTCCAAAGAATGGCTAAGGCCAAAGCCCTTTTCTCGGACAGCAAGTCGCTACCTACTTGCTTTCACCCAGGGTATCCCATCCCACTACCGCCCACAGTTCATGAATTATTCTACACACATATTCTATCCCAGGCCGACTTCGTAGTGGGTACATTGTACTCATGCCCATGCCTAAACATGACAATGCACCTCCGTACCCCCACCACGATGCCACGTCGCCAGCAAGACGCCGCAGTTTCCACAGCGATGCTCGACGTCCTTGAGGGAGTTCATGCAGTAGGGGATGCAGCCTAGGCAGGTGAAGATGCAGAGGGCTAGGGCCCAGACGCTGGAATTCCATTTATCAGTATGATCGACCCGCTAGGGAGACGTAAAATTGGGGCGAGAAGATCGGAGGGGCATGACCAGATTTATGGGAAAAGGGGAAGATGGGAGGAGAGAAGATAAGAGAAGGAAAGGGATAAACTTACTGCGTCGTATTCCCCGTCTCGAACTGCACAGTTGTCATACTCCTGCATCCGCACGCCGGGCAATCCGCGGGCGCGGGACCGCGGTTCAAAGCCATGAGCGGCGTGGCGGTTTGGAAGGCTTGGTGGTAGGCCGATTGGGGTCCCAGGGGGCCTGGGTGCATGGGGATGGGTTGTGGTGGTGATGCCATTTTGGTGGATTGCTGTTCGTAGATGGGTGGTGGTGCTTGTGGGTGGGAGGGGGTTGCTGGTGCTGGTGCTGGTGCTGGTGCTGGTGCTGGGGGGTTGGTTAGCAAATATGGGAGGGAAGGGAAGAGGTGAAAGGACTGCGCCGCTGAGGCGTGGGTGGAGTGAGACAGAGGGAGATGGGACGAGGTATATGTGACTGGGAAAGTTTGGAGGGACGGGGAGATGGTGCGATGCAGGCGGCCAGCGGTGATGCGTTGCTTCGAATGCCTAAGGGGGGAGAACCTACCTGATGACTTCTCCATAAAGTTGGTATACGTAAAGAATGTGTATACTCGAACACGTAGGTGTAGTACAGACAGCGAGATGCGAAATTGATGATTCTCGATTAAACGTTGATATTTCCAGGTGTAGATGCAAAAGACTTCGAGAACAAAGACGTGAAAGTTGCCGAACGCGTCGAATTCCTCCCTTTTTCTTCGATATTTTCAAGCGGTCGTTAAATGGCAAGGTACGAAGGCGTACCCCTCAGGCTGGCGAACACCTCCATTATATATCAACCTTTCGAGGGTTGAATGTCTCGGAGCAGTGTACCACCGTACGTGTGTACGCCAGATGGAGGGTGTAACGCTGCAAGCGGAGCCACGCTAGGCAGTCTTGGTTAGAAGTCAACCTTGGAAATCTGAGAACCCGCTCCCAGCCCAGCGCATCAGCACCATCACCGGACGCCCGCGTAAAAATGTCATTGATCCAATCACTTTTCCCTATTCATTGAATTAACACAAGGCGAGAGGCTACGGAGGTCCGCCGCGATGGCGTGGCTCCGCAGACCGTACGTCCCATAGCTGTTTCGGACTTGGCACTATGACACGGTTGCTCTACATGTATATATGTAGGTTTTGGGCGCGCGGAATGTGGTGCTGACGCGGGGCGGATGAGTAGTCTACGTCAGATGCAGGGCCGTCATCAATACGCCGGGGTATTTCTGGTGGTGATGTTCGGGAAGAGGGGACGTGAGAAATGCGAGAAGGCTATGAATCTACACGGCTGACGGGCCCAGGGCTGTGAAGAGGCGAAAGAATAACGAAGGGCCTGATTTTCTACGGGCAATGCAGCTGCGGTAGCACTCTGTGCCGCATCGCTGCGCCCGCTCGGTGGCATAGGTTACTGAGGCACTGGCCAAAAACCGTTGGTGTTGGAAAAGGTGCTGCCGGGGTCGCCCGTGGACAAGACGTGATCATTTCGAAAACCATCACCGCTGATGGGGGGAGAAGTAGGCTCGTAGGAACGACTCCAACCTGGTCTCTAGATCAAATCAATTGCCTGTCTGCATGACCCCGTCGCCCCTCGTTGATGTCTTCAGTAGCGCGTGTCCATATCCTCCAGATCCGCCGCGTCTGCCTCCTCCTCACCGCTCTCTTGGTGTTCACTGCCACTCGGATACAGCTCTTTCATCTGCGTGGGTGTCAAGTCGACCACCAATGGGGCGAACTCGCCTTTCTCGTCATCTTCATCCGCTCCATTGACCTCCATCTCGACTCTTTCCCCGTCCTCCAACTCCAGCATCCCCCTTTTGACATAGGAGTCGTCCAGTTCCCAGCCAAACACGTCTCTGACATACTCCTGCAGTTCGTCGAATTCCTTCACCAAGCGCTTCTTCCAATCTCCTTCAAGTTCCTCCAAGGTTCTACGGAACTTTCGAAGCAGCGGTTTCAGGAAGCCACCTCCTTGCTCGTTCAGGTCGAACATGCCCGCTTCCATATCTGCACAGTGCGACAACTGTAATCGTAGGGTTTTGCATAGCTCGACGAACATGTGCGTTCGTTCTCTCACGGCTTTCTGGCAGGTAAATAGTAAGGTCAGCAGTCGTTTCCACTGCTCGAGACAAGAATTGTTGTTGAGCGTAAGGACCATGAGAAAGCAGAACTGCACTTCTCCTAACACTTCGTCTTCTCCTCCTCGAGGATCCCTCGCTTTGCAGTGGTTCTCGATGAGGTCGCCCAATGCCCACGACCGGTCTTGGGCGGCTTCGGTACGCTCGCTTCCTGTTGCGCCCAATCTCCATGTGCGTTTTAGGTCTATGGGTAGGAGATTCAGCTCCTTCTCAGGATGTAAGAAGCTGTTACTTGATTCGAGGCCGGGGATATTTTCCAAGTCCTGCGGTGCGGAAGATGCGGATGACAAGCTCCAATGATCAGGATTTAGACCGGTAATCCGAGACAGCAATGAAGGGTTTATTCGTGAAGTCAGTTCTGCCCAGTCTGGACTCTCTTCCACTGCTTCACCCTCCTCTTTCGAATCTGATGAGACAATTTGCCGATACGGCGTCAACCCATCCTTCCATATACTTCCCAAATTCGCTTTCCACCGTAGGACCTCGGACTGCGAAGTTTCCGCTACCAGATCCTCAGTCGTCGGATCCCATTTCTTGATGAAAACCTGCGGTGAACCAGTCCCTGGCGAGACGTAAAACCAGGCACCGTGCCGTACAGAAACCGTTGCATCACTGGAGGCAAACAAGAAATGCAAGCCAGGAGGCAAATTCTTGACACCTCGGAAGCGGGGGGTGGTCGTAAAGGAGAGTAAGTCGATGCCTCCCAATGCAGATGGCGGCAAGTTCAATAGCAGCACACAATGTGTCTGCATTGCAGGGTCCATGGAGACGTGGAAGAGCGCCTCAAGGTCGGTGTGGCGCAGAATCTTGAAAGGCGGCGAAGGGCATCAAACAGTCGATGATGTTGAGTACCAAATGGGGAAATCCGAGGCTTTCGCTTGTGACGGGTGTTTCTCAGCTCTTCCTGCGGCTTCGTCAGGTATGAAGGAAGGGGATGTCAGCTAGTGGAGATGGCCGTTTGGGCGTTTCTCAAGCTACCCTATAGCGGGCAAAAATAAGTCGTGACGGTACGCATGGTTTGTTGTGTAACCTTTGGTGTAGGATGGGGGTTTGAGATGTGAACGAACGCCACAGACCCCACTAGTTACCCCACGTCACAAGCATGCCAAGGCGCTCCAAGCCGCAGCTCAAGAACGGGAAGCCTCGTATATCTACAAACACATGTAGAGCGTCTCCTGCCCGAACGTCCAAAGACCATCCATCATGGACCGGCCGCGCCGTACACCCGGTCTCTCGTCATTGTCGAGCTCCCGAATCGCCTCCTCCCAATATGCCTCGCACGGCGCCTCCCTACGGAACCAGAGCGAGCAATCGCTCAGCACCCAGCTGGAGGTGTTCCAGTCGTTACTCCACAACTTCGCCGTCACGCATGCCAAAGACATACGAGCGAACCCTGCCTTCCGGGCCGAATTCGCACGCATGTGCAGTGCCTTGGGGGTCGACTTTCTCGCATCGAGCCATCACCGAGAGAAGGGCAAGGATGGAGGGAGTGGCAGTATATGGGCTCAAATGCTAGGAAGCTCCGTCAACGACTTCTACTTCAACCTCGGTGTGCTCATCGTGGAAGAGTGCCGCGCAACTCGGGCTGAGAATGGCGGGCTGATATCTGTAGCTGAGATTCGTCAACGGATACAGCGCGGGCGCGGCATCGGAGGAGGCATGGAGGTCTCAGACGACGACATCACAAGAGCTGTGGAGTCGCTTTCGCCTCTTGGATCGTGCTTCTCCATCATGAAGATTGGGCACAGGAGTCTGATCAGGAGCGTGCCAAAGGAGCTGAATACGGACCAGAGCACCGTTCTAGAAGCCATCCAAGTGCTCGGATACGTGACCGTGTCGATGCTGCAGCTCAACCTTTCTTGGGACCGGCCCCGCGCCGTCGCTGTCGTTGAAGACCTGATGGCAGATTCTTTGGTTTGGGTGGATACACAAGCAGGCGAGAACGAATACTGGAGTCCGGCGTATATGAGTGGTCCGGCGACCGGCAATGGATGAAAAAGAGCCGCAGCTTGCGTTGTCCATGCACCGTATCAGCATATTAAACCCCCCAAGAAGCATGCTTGAAAGGGAGGACCTGGTTCAACGGCATCTGGTCACAAGCAGGGAGAGGGAGGATTTCTCGCTCTGGCTGCGCATGACATCAACGGGACCTTGACCGTTGCGACCGCAGATGTCGTGGATCGCCGAAGCAAGTGGCTTGCCGGTAACACTATAATACTCCAGGAGTGTCCTATTGGTTCCAATCGTGGTGATTCAGAAATCCGGATACTGTGGTACACCGTCGCACGGACCAGGGGTGAAGGAGCTGTTGTTGTGTGACGTCAGGATCAACATCGCGGCCCGTTTTCGCAACAACGCGATTCCTGTTGACAGGGAGAATCACGCAAAGCATCATTGGAGAATACTGTGTAATGATGCATTTTGCTGCAGTATTCGGGACCCGAATCCACTCCCTGTACAAGTAACAGGGCACACGAAGGATACCCGTGCGCTAGCAGAGCACCGTTGTGTCACCGTTTCCTGTTGTTGTCGCAAAATCGCAACCAAGCTTTGGAGGTGGATCTATCCAAGCTTTTACTATGTAATCCTCCACTTCTTGTTTCAACACCCGACCGCCCAACGCAGAAATAATCGTCGACTTTCACTTGCGATTATGCTCTGGAACCCGTCCATTTAACTGCATTTGGAGAAAGAGTAGGGATGCGAGCCTGCTTGTGGCTTGCATCGTCATCACAGCACATGGACACACTCCAGCAGGGAGGGTGAATGATGTCGTGCCTGTTGAGGGTACACAGTACGGCGGCACCAATAATGGGCGACCAGCGATGACGCATTTTGTAGTACAGAGTACAAATACTTGTAGAGGACGAGGGAAGGGCGAGGCGAGCATTTTCTCTTACCACAGCACCAAAGGGAACCGTTGTTGTTGTTTTTTGTCGTCTTCGCCTGCACCTGAGCGTTTCGTTTGCTGTGTGGTCTGCACCTTCCTCACATTCGACTGGCTCCTGCCTTGTTTGACACCCGACATTGTCATTCTTCCCACCTGCACCTTTTCTTTATAACTCTGCCAACCTTTCAACGTCCTCTCTTCCTCATCTTCCCTCTCACCATACCATCATCAACACCTTCACCAAACCAGCATGGGTTTCTTCAATCGGCGCGCAGCGCCCATTGACGCTGACACCACCACGGCAACTGGCACGCACGAGAAGAAGCCGGGCATCTTCAGTCGTCGACATGGCGCCGCTACAACCGCCTCGGGTGCCCCGGCTTGGAACACTCGCCCGACATTCGGCCAATGGATCAAGGCCACCGCCTTGGACATTGTCACCATGGCCGCCATGGGCGCAGTCGGTTTGGGCGTCTACCACGCAAAGCCCGCTCCGAGCCGCAGCTTTCCAAGTAAGTGTGCACTCTTCTTCGGTGGCAGCTGATCTAGCCGTCTCCGCACGTTATCGACCATCTCAGCACTAACAAGCAAACAGTCACCTTCCAAGACGGGGAAGTCGTCTATCCCGACTTCGCCTACCCTATGAGGCACGAGATCGTTCCCATCTGGGCGGCCGCTCTCCTGGCTGCACTCGTCCCCATCGCAGTCTTTCTCATCTGCCAGATCCGTGTTCGGAGCTTCTGGGACCTGAACAATGCCACAATCGGTCTCCTCTATTCGCTCATCTCGGCCGCCGTCTTCCAGGTCTTCATCAAGTGGCTCATCGGAGGTCTGCGCCCGCACTTCCTCGCCGTTTGCAAACCGCAGGTTCCGCCCTTCAGTCTCCCGTCCGGCAACGGATACCGCCAGATAATGTACGACCGGAAAGTGTGCACTGGCGATGAGAAGGAGATCAACGATGCTCTCGAGTCAATGCCCTCTGGACATAGCACAGCTGCTTTTGCCGGCTTTGTCTTCCTGTATCTCTACCTGAACGCAAAGTTGAAGGTTTTCTCCAACTATCATCCCGCCATGTGGAAGTTGATCGCTCTTTATGCACCACTGCTCGGCGCTTGTCTGATCGCTGGAGCACTCACCATCGATGAGTATCACAATTGGTACGATCTTCTCGCCGGAGCAGTCATCGGAACTGTCTTTGCCTTCTCCTCGTACCGCATGGTGTACGCATCGGTTTGGGACTTCCGCTGTAAGTTGACCTTCCGTCGTTCTGCTAGGCAATAATCTAACCCGTCTATCTAGTCAACCATATTCCCCTTCTTCGTCACTCACCCTTCATTTACGGCGCCGGTCCCTCGACATATGACGGATTCCACTCCGCTGTGTTCACTCGTAAGGCTGGATGGGGAGAGCATGACGGCGGCGCATGGGGCGGTGCTCCGTTTGATGCGGCAGACGGCCCTCGAGGCACTATACCCGCTGGGACTGGCGATCTCACCGGCCCGGCTGCTCATGGTGCTGCCAACGGTCGTGGCACACATGGTGGGGTTGTGGGTGAGGGGACAGCTGCTCACCATTCGATTGACAGGAGGCCCGTCGGAGCTACCAGGTACGGCGAGCAGGCCGTCTAGTACGAACGAGCGGAATCGATGCAGCATTACAGGCTAATTGATTATTGGCTGATGATGGAGCAACAGGCGGAGATTAGTAATTGGGATAGGGGCAGCATGGCTATGCCTTTCTTATTTTTCTCTTTCGGGTGCTTCAACTAGGTGACTGGTGGTTTCTTCAGGGGAAAGGAGTAATGTGCAGTAGCGTGATACCACTCCAGAGCTGATAGGATGACAGAAATAATGATTCTCCATTCCTATTGCTCCGCTTTCAACACGACCATTATATATTATGGGTCTGATTTGGGGAATTGAAAAAAACTTCAAGCAAAACACGAGAATAGCGAACGCAACCTGTCTCTCCTCCTGGTACTCCACTTCCCTCGTCTGTTTATACCACTTGGCTCGTCGTTACGAATGGAGGAGGTGGTGGATTGGCCATCCAGCTGGATTCCATGCGGCTGACGGATGTGAAACCGAATAAGCCGCCAGGCGGTCGAACGGGGGGGATATAGAGAGCTGGATGGGGGTGGTTGAAGGTGCTGTTTTTCATGCTTCTAGGGTTGCTGCTGCTGTACTTGGACTTGTGGTTAGTGGTGGGTGGAGCGGTGGTTGCTGAGGCGGGGTAGGAGGAGGAGGAGTAGGAGGAGGAGTAAGAGGAGGAGTAGGAAGAGGAGTAGGAGGAGGAGTAGGAGGAGGAGTAGGAG